GTTTTTCTCTAACAACTCTTCCCATTCTACCAAGTTATATAGTTCATTTTCAACATAGTGTCTAGTAAGTATCACTGCTGCATTTGTTCCCCCAAACAGGTACACTTACATACAAGACAAAAGCTACAGAAAGCAAAAAATTATACAGGACTCTAGGCATTCACACAGTGAGACCAAAAGATGATATTTTAAGGAGAGGATCACAAAGGCTCAATAACTATGTGCATATGATCATATAAAATGATGCTTATCAAAATAAACTCCAAGAAATGGAAATGAGTTTTTATTTTGATTTTTTTCTTCTTTGTTGCTGTTTTTGTTTTCTGTACCTTTTGTCTTGTATGGAAACTATATTTTCTTGAGAGTGAAAAAAGATAAGTGTTTCTTGTTCCCATTAAATATACTTACTTATCAGTGGCCATAGCTTTTTGTTTTGTGTTTTTACAAGGATTCACTTATTCACTGGTATGAAATGAATAGGACAAGTTTGTCCCTAGGGAGCAGGTGCTGTTGGGGAAATGGGCTTCTAAGCTGTTAATGGCAGCTGTGTGTGGTAAGGGCAACGAAACAACAGGTAGTTATTTAAAAAAGGAATTTATTATTTTCTCTATTGTCAGAAATTCTGCTAAAGACAGTTGTAAATATCCCAAATCTTATACTTTTTAAAAATTTAATTATATATATTACATATACAGAGGGGTTACAGTTACATGAGTAAGGTAATGAGTACGTTTCTCGATGAACATTGTTATACCCCTCCCTTATTTTTCTCCCACTTTGCCTTCCCCTCGTTTTCCTGCCCTCTTCTCAGATTGTAAAGTACATTTCCAACATAGTGTCTTTTTTTATTCAAAATTGAATACATCCCATATTTATTAGAAAGCTTGTAAGAAAAAATTTTAGTGTAGGATGAAACACTTGGAAGAACACTACAGTTTAAATTACATATAGCCGGGTGCTGCAATAGACAATAAAAATAAAATAAAATGACGTATAATTTATTACCAAGTCTGTACAAGGAAAACAGGTTATAATACATGGCAACATATGACTTCAAGTTACAAAGTTGCAGGGCATTTCCCCACTCTTGAGAACTAGGAGCAATCCATATTAATAAAACATAAAAAGACGAATGTTTTATACCAAATTTCAAAACATACTATATGTTAAGCAAAGGAAATGCAATAAGTATGCATTTCACAGTCTAGTAACATCATATGGGGTAATGAAGATGATTAACTGATTCATAAAAATCAATACAATGCAGTTAAAACATCCAATATCTTATGAATATCACTGTTGCATTGGTTCACCCTTTGTCTCACAATTTTGTTATTCCACTTCCCTTTCCCAAATTAGATAAACATATATACAAGACACAGGGTACCAAAATCAAAACCAGTGAACTGGGGGATAAACCAAAGGGAGGCATGGGGACAAAAGAGAAAAGAAATACCTTCACATAGTGCATTAAAAACAGCAAGAACAAAATCTCTCTTGTTTGCATATCTTGGAGTTTATTTTGATTAGCATCATTTTATATGGTCATTTGTACATAGCTGTTGAGCTATTGTGATCCTCTGCTAGGATTATCCTAAACATAGACTAATCATTACCAATGAAGGAACCATGGAGCCTATGTTTCTTTGGTCTGGCTTATTTCACTTAATATGATTGTTTTCTAAGTCTTTCCATTTCCATATAACTGGGGCGATGTTATTTTTTCTGATGGAAGCATAGAATTCCATTGTGTATATATACCATACCAAATGTTATATTTAATACTCAGGATTTTCTAGATTGTGGTAGAACTTTTTTTGTTTGTTTGTTTTGTGTTGGTTCTAGGGCTTGAACTTGGCCTGAGTCCTGTCTCTGAGCTTTCTTGCTCAAGGCTAGCTACTCTACCACTTGAGCCACAGCTTTTTGTAGGTTAATTGGAGATAAGGGCAAGACTCCATTAGCACAATGTCTTCAGAATGCCAGACATTGTTTTGAATGGCTTAAATGTGTGAACTCATAAGTTCCAAAGTAAACTATTACACATGATGTAAAAACACAGAAAGAGTAGGGATTTTGCACAAACAAAATTGAAATGTCAGAACTGTTTCTTGAACTCGGGTATTCTAGTACCCTAGTGCCATGCTGTTAATCTGTATAATTGGCTGCTCTTGCCTTCTTCCTTGTGTGTAGATTTCCTCTCCCTGTTCTAGAACATTACAGCTATTCCTTCTTTCATTCTTACACTCTAGCCTATCATATCAAGTAATTGTTGCTAGGCTATTAACTGATATTTGTGAAGCTATATGATGAAAGCTTCTCAGTTTGGTTTGGCTCAAGTAAGTATTTGCATTAAAAAATTTTAAGCATATTTACAAACTAAAGAAGAAAGATATGATATCAGAATGACAGATTACTAGGTTGGTATTGTATTTTTGGGTTGGAAGACAGCTATTTGGCTAGAAGGAAAGAGCAAGAGATAGTTGCTTGGGCAAAAATGCCCATCCCAGCTGCTGTATCTTATCCTCCAATTTTAATGCTTCTTTCTCTTGACACTCAGGTTTACTTAATGGATTTTAATCAATTACTACTATTTATTTTTAAGTTGTCCCAGATTTTGTCCTCGGGAATCTCTTGAAGCTGACTCTATCTTTTTCATATATTGCTGTCATTCTTTGACCAGTTCTTTTTTTTTTTTTTTGGGGTGGGGGGTCCGGTGGTGGGGCCTGAGCTCTGGGCCTGGGCACTGTCCCTCAGCTCTTCAGCTCAAGGCTAGCGCTCTACCACTTGAGCCACAGTGCCACTTCCGGGTTTTTTCTTTTTTGCTTATTTGGTGCTGAGGAATTGAACCCAGGGCCTCATACATGCAAGGCAAGTGCTCTACCACTGAGCCACCTTCTCAGCCCTTGACCAGTTCTTTTTGAAAAACACGGCTCATCTTGACTTTCTCTGCCTTAACTTTGAAATCAGCCATTTCTTCAAAGGATGCTGATTCCTCTTAGAAGAAAGTAGGTTTTCAAAACATGTTTTGTGTTCATTTTTAGTGGAGTGTTGCTATTCCCTGCACCTGTTTGTGAAAGCATGCATACATATACATGTGCATAGACACATGTAATACACATGCTTATTTCTCCATTTATATTGAAAACCCTATCTCCAGTTCTTATCTATTTCCCAGGACTCTTCATTTTTCTTTCTCTCTCTATGTCTACAACAGTGAGTACCTTAGCTTCCATCCTCTTGAATATATTTATTTAATTGATTAATTGGGCCCACTCCCCAGGTATATATCTGTCTTCCTAATCCTTTTTCTACTCATGCTGCTCAGATTGCTCTTCTGCATAGAAGCCCTGTGTAACCTTTCAAGTTTGATGCCTTCCTCCTGGTTCTAACTCACTGTATGGAGCAACCTTGTGCAGTTGTTCTTCTCACTCTGCTAAGGCTGTTGGTTTTCTTAGGTTCTAAGACTGGACTTAGATTACTTCTCCTTGCAACTCTTTCAGCTGCTGTGGATACACTGCACCTGGCCTCTTTCCTGGATGTATGCCCTTCTTACCATTCTGCCTTTGACACTCAGACTCTGACATTCTGAGATGTGTCCGCTGCTCACAGAAGTAGATGCTTAACTCCTGCCAGGAATCAAACATCTTACTGTAGGACACTGAGACTCTTGCTTCTCTCTTCCTCATATTCTTTTCTCTGCTTTACCTGAAAGTTTTAGGTTGAGTTATTCAGAATGAGTAGAGGAAGAAGAAACAACTAACTCTTTTTCTCCCTCCTTCCCTTTCATCATTTGCTCCATAAAGATTATGCAGTACCTTCTTTTTTGCATTTCATTTTTTTTTGAAACAAGGTCTTACTGTTGTATGGGATGGCTTTAACCTCACTGTGTAGGGGCAGAGAGGGTGGCTCAGTGGTAGAGTGCTTGCCTTGCTTGCATGAGGCACTGGGTTTGATTCCTCAGCACCATATAATCAGAAAAAGCCGGAAGTGGCGCTGTGGCTCAAGTGGTAGAGCGCCAGCCTTGATCTGGGACAGTGCCCAGGCCCACAGTTCAGGCCCTATGACTAACAAAAACAAAACAAAGAGTTCTAAACTCACTGTGTAGTCCAGGCTGACCTCAAATTTGAGATACTCCTTCCTCAGCCTCCTCAGTGCTGAAATTGTAAGTGTGCACATCATTCCTGGTTATGGTAGATATTTCTTATTAGATTTAAGCATAATCTGCCTGCTTCAGGTTCCTCACACCTATGATTCTAGCAACTTAGGAGGCTAAGATTTAGAATCATGATTTGAAGCTAGCCAGATCCAGTTAATCAACACAAAGCTAGAAGTAGAGATGTGGCTCAGGTAACAGGGCCATGATCAAAAAGCTGAGGGAAACCAGATGCCAGTGGCTCATCCCTGTATCTTAGCTCCTCAGAAGACTGAGATAGGAGGATACAGGATCAAATCCTGGGCAGGAAAATCCATGAGACTCTTCTCTCCAAAAAATAAAGCTGCAAGTTGGACTGTGGCTCAAGTGGTAGAATGCTAGCCTTGACAACTAAAGCTCACAAACAGCACCCAGGCCCTGAATTCAAGCTCTACGAGTATGTGCGCCCACATGTGCGCACACGCATACACACACACACACACACACACACACACACACACACACAGCTAAGGGTGAGTGAGAGACTGAGTTCAAGCCCTAGTATTCACACACACACACACACACACACACACACACACACACACACACACACGAAGGAATCATGTCTCTTAATAACTGAAGGTTAGTCTTTCATAATATTTAGAATGATGAAATAAAGCCATTATGAATATTTTACATAGTCTATATTTAGATAGAAATGTGGGTATATTTTGCTGTATGTTTTTGCATTTCCATCATTGGAGGAAACATTGATTTAGTAAACCTTTATTCAATTCACCTTTTCCCCCTTTCTATAATTTCTCTATCAATTACTTTTAATTCTAAATTTAACCTTTGATCTCTTTAGGCCTTTAGATGCAGTTCTGGAAAAACTTCAGTAATGGATCAAAGGAAGAATGACAGTATTGTTCCCAGTATCACTCAATTAGAAGATTTTCTTACAGAACACAATTCCAATGTTGTTTGGCTCCTTGTTGGTACGTCAAATATATTTTCTAATACTTTATTATGTTTATTCCATGTGTATTAGCAACTATGATATTTTAAGCAGTGGTTTATTGAACTTGGAGTGTTTATAATACCCTAATACCACTTATTTATTTTTGATTTTTCAGCAGTTTTTAAAAAATATTTTTTCTTGTAAAAATACTGTACAGAGGGGTTATAGTTACATGAGCAAGGTAATGACTACATTTCCTTTCAAACATTATTACCTCCTCCTTTGTTTTTCCCCTACCCTCCCTTCCCTCCCACCTCCACAATTACACTCCCCTCCCCGCCACCCCCACCCCTCTTTCCTCCCCCTTCTCCCTGCCTAAATTGTAAAGTTCATTTTCAGCATAGTGTCTTGTACATCTCATTGTTACAATGGGTCAACCTGTATCCCTGTTTAAGCATTTTGTTTTTTCCCTTCTCCTTCCCAAGCTAGAGAAGTGTATATACAAGATGCAGAGAACCCACATCAAATACAGTGAAAACGGGTTATACCGTGGGGGAGGAACATACAAAGAAACAAAAAAATCACATGGTACATTATAAATACGTTAGGAACAATAGCAAGAAAGCAAAAACCACTTGTGTCCCTACCTTGGGGTTCATTTTGCTTAACTTCATCTTATCTGGTCATATGTACATAGTTTTTGACCTTTTCTGCTTGTCCCAGACATATACTAGTTATTGCAAATAAGGGAAACCATAGGACCTATGTTTCTTTGGTTTCAGCAGTTTTTGATTATTTATTTATTCATCTTTTAAATTATATTTTTATTATTCTTACATAGGTATACAAAGGAGTTTCAATTCAATACACCAATATGTGTATGGTGCCTATTGATCAACATCATTACATCATTGTCTCCTCCATCTATCCCAACCCTACCCATCCTCTCAAGTTACATGGTTCCATTTTTACATGTGTATATTGAATATTATGACTGTATTCACCCACCATTCTTCTCTCCATTCTTTGCCCTGCTTCATCTGGAGCCCTACTGCTTCTTAGGAAATGAGTACTTACAAAAAGGGTGGTGGGGCCAAGGGAAAAAAGGGTAGATGAATAGGGCAGGGGAGAATACAATCAATAAATAATTCATTATGTATACCACAAAATTAAGAAAAGTGAGGGAATGAGTGAGTCAGAGAATGTTGGTAAGAATGTTGAAGGGGGTGAAACTGAAACAAAGGAGGTACTGTTTTTTTTTTTTTTTTTTGCCAGTCATAGTGCCTGAACTCTGGGCCTGGGCGCTGTCCCTCAGCTCTTCAGCTCAAGGCTAGTGCTCTACCACTTGAGCCACAGCACCACTTCCAGCTTTTTTTTTTTTCTGCTCATGTGGTGCTGAGGAATCAAACCCAGGGCCTCATGCATGCAAGGCAAGGACTCTACCACTGAGCCACATTCCCAGCCCGAGGAGGTACTGTTTAACAAAGCAGTTTATGAATACAATGCATTTGGATGTTTCTCCTGTTTTCAGGAAAGAAAATGTTAATGTATCGATATTTCATGAAGCTTCTCTAAAATGTTCTTTACTTTTTCTTGGACACTTCATTATCTAACTTAGGGAAAGTGGGTAGAAAAAAAAGATTACACTGGGCTTATTTCTCCAGTTACAGGGCACCTCTCCACTTCTACCCCCGCATATACACAGTTCTGTATGTTTTCTTTAAGACTAAAAAAATCCTCACAGTAAGTATATTTTTACAGTAAAGTAGAATGAAATGTTTTAAATGTTTACCATTTGTGTACTTGACAGTGAACTGTGCTATTTATAAATTTTTATATAATCTGGACTTTTTCTGGGTATATATAAATAGTTTAAAATAGTGCATTATTAAATAGTAGGAGAGAAGGAGGAAGGCTGGAGTCAGTGAATGATTGGATGGTGTGGGGAAGCAGAGGAAGAAATACAAAAATAATAAAGAAAAGGGAGAGATTACCAAGGGCATTTATTACCCAATATTTTTGTGGAAGAATGGTATCTGATCAAAATTTGGTATTGGAATTGAAAACAGAGAGGAAAGTAGGAAAGGTAAAAAAGGAAAAGGACATTAATGATATTTATGGATATGACATAGGATATTTATGGTATTTATGGTATTCATAGATAGGCATTTTTTATGTTTCACTGCTCAGCATATGTTTTAATATGCTGAATAATTAAGGCTTATAGATATTGAATCATGAATATAGGTTACACAATTGTTTTATTTTTTCTCAATTGTTATTTATGCTTCTTTTAAGATACCATGAGTACTAACAAGTTTTTAAATCAGAGATTGATCTATATCCAGTTTTCCTTTTTCCTTGGTCATGAGCAAAAAAGCATAGATTTATGCTCAGATCAGTTAAAAAATGTTTCAAGTATATTGGTTTTCTTTACTTTTTTGTTTCTTTTTTCACTGCTTTATACTGTTTTAGTTACTAAATAAATATATTCTAGGAAGAGAAAGCCCATGTGTCTGTATATTCAGAAAATTATTCACCTTTATTAGGCTGAAAGTATATAACAAATTCATTCCCAAGCCATTTACCAAAATAAGTTACAGCCTTTGAAAAGAAAACTGAGGATTTTTTAAATTAGAGAAAAGGCATTTTAAAAAATCAACAAATCTGTTCTGTAAAGAAATGGTAATAGAAGTAGAAATTTTCATCTAAAGTCACATTAGGTAGAGCACCTTACAGTAAGTATTTTGCAATAGTGAATAAGGCAACCTACATTTGAAGAATATTGAGTGTGTTTCAGTTTTTGCATATAACTCATTTTTCATAATGTCACCTATTAAATTCATATTCCCCTCAAACTTCTAGCTCATGAATGCATAAAAAACAAAATACAAACAGCCATTAAAAAAATAGCTTTTCAGTTGATGTTAGGGAAATGAACCCTAACATATGTATTCAAAGGTTTTTTTTCTTTCATGTGATTGTTTCTAACACATTTATAAGATTATTTCTTTGTTACTTTGTATGTCCCTCCCCCACTGTACAACCCCTGCTTTCACTGTATTTGATGTTGTTATAATTTGTGGAGGGGAAGGGAAAAAAACAAATCGTTTAAATAGGGATACAGGTGGACCCATTGCAACAATGAAATGTACAGGTCCTTATGTCGCGAAAAGGAACTTTACAACTTTGGTGGGGGGGGGGAGGAGGAGGGTTGGATGGCGGGGCAGGTTGAGGATGGGAACCCCTCTGTACAGTATTTTCACAATAAAAAAATAACTTTTTCTTTTAAAAAGTTCACTTTTAAATTAGGAAAAAATAAAACAATTTAACATGTGTTGCTAAAAGTAACAACCCATTAAACAGTTACTAAGTCAAAATAAAATGTAACATTTTTTAATGGTAATGGCAAGTGCTTTGGTTTGTCTGTGAAACTTATTTCTAGAAAAAATACCCTTTTCTCTCCTCTTGCTATTGTTTTTTTCTTAAAGGGTTTATATACAATAAGAAGTAGTCTGTGTCCCTATGCAACAATGAGATGTGTACAAGACATTTTGTTGAAAAACAAATTTTATAACTTGGGGGAGGGCAAGGAGGGGGAGATGGGAAGGGATGGGAAGGGGAAACAAAGGAGGGGGCAACAATGCTTGATAAGAAATGTACTCATTACTTTGCTCATTTAATTATAACCCCTCTGTATAGTATTTTCACACACACACACACACACAAAACAAGTAGTCTGTGTTAAAATAGGGGACAGGTATGAAATAAGAATGCTGTGCCTGCTGGGTGCCCGTGGCTCATGCCCGTAATCCTAACTACTCTTGAGGCTGAGATCTGAGGATCACGGTTCAAAGCCAGCCTGGGCAGGAAAGTCCGTGAGACTCATCTCCAATAAACCACTAGAAAACCGGAAGTAGTAGAGCACAAGTGGTAGAGCACTCGCCTTGAGCTGAAGAGCTAAGGTATAGCGCCCAGGCCAAGAGTTCAAGCCCCACAACTGACAAAAAAAAAAAAAAAAAAAAGAATGCTGTGGCCTTGAGGAAAGTAGTTCTCTAATGCTGCTTTTATGAAGTTCCATTTCATTACTCATATTTAGTATTTTTGGCTTTCATTAATAATTTATAATAGTTTCAGACATTACCATTTAGAAGTCAGCCTTATAATTTCTGATTTTTTTTTTCCTTTCAACAGCTACTATTTTGTCCTGTGGATGGATTATTTATCTTACATACTATAATTCAAGAAATGTTGGTCTTATTTTAACACTGGTTCTTAACAGATTATACAAGCATGGCTATATCCATATTGGTAAGTCTGAGTAACACTATTTTTTTCTCACACATAATTGTGAGATAAATACTATAAGTTTATCAATAGGTTGTATATAAAGATATATAGTAGCTTTGGTAACTTACCTTTCATGAAATTTAAAGTAACATTTAACCTTACTAGACTGTCTCATGCAACATTATATAACTAGAAATGAACTACCATTTGGTGAGGTCTTTTACCCTATCCTCTTTTACAGTACTTATAAAATAACTTTTTGACTTACTTTGCTGGTAAAAGCTGTGAGAAATTTATCATATGGAAATAAAAATTTGGCTATATGTAAAGAAATAATTTAAAGTCTTCTATCATTTTTCTAATTTGGCTCAATGACTGGTCCCATTCAGATTCCTGGAAGAAAATGATAAATTAATGACTGCTATAAGACTTTTTAATGATAGTGTATAATTAAGAGATATGAAACAATTACTAATTTTTCCTATTTGGTTGTTCAGTATCTTGGCCATATTAATGGTACACGTGGCATTTTCCCTTCTTTCCTTCCTTCCTTCCTTCCCTCCTTCCTTCCTTCCCTCCCTCCTTCCTTCCTTCCTTCCTTCCTTCCTTCCTTCCTTCCTTCCTTCCTTCCTTCCTTCCTTCCTTCCTTCCTTCCTTCCTTCCTTCTCTCCCTCTTCCATCCCTTCTCTCTACCTTGCTTTCTTTTTTCCTTTTTCCCTTTCCCCCTCCCCTTCCCTCCTTACTTCTCTTTTTCTCTTTCCTTCTTTTCACCTTCCCCTTCCTTTTCCCCTTCTCTCTCCTCCTTTCCCCTCCCCTCCTCTCCCTTGTATGAGTAACCACCACTTTCTGCTGTCCTGTTATCAATTGCATTGATGACTATTGTGTTCTTTTTTTCTCTTACAATAGGTTCCTTCTCTTTCTCAGTTCTTTCTGGAAAAGTCATGGTTCGTGAAATTTATTACATTACAGAAGACATGTCTATCAGGTAACAATAAAACATAAAATGACACAGACAAAAATGAAATGTGTAAAAAAAATTCTAAGTATTCACTTATTTATACTTTTAAATCTTAAATAAAAAAATCATACTTGGTGAATTCATATATTTGAAGATATCTTTATTAGTGGATTGATGTAACTGACACACAGGCTGGAAAGAAGTTTCTCAAATAGCAATTTATAGTAAATACCTCACTTCATTTTTAGATGGATTATTAAGTTACCTGACCATTTCAGTTGTAGAATGTTTGGTGAGCACTTGTTATATTAACAAAGATCTGGAATGTTGAAGGTTCTCATCTATTAGCACCTTACTTTGAGATAAGTTTAGATAGAAGTATTTAATTTTGTTAGCAACTGTAATTTTATTCTTAGAAATGCAAATCTGAATGGGTCAGTCATAATATGTTTGAAGTATTCCTTCTACTCATAGCTTTGAAGAAAAGCCTGTTCTGTTTTTGTAGTTTTTCTTAAAACATATCTTAGAGAACATTTTGTATTAATTAGAGATGCATGTGGTAGGATTTGACAGTGCTTGTACCGCACTTCATGTTTTAGGAGGCAATTCTTGTGGTCTTCTAAAATTATTAAAAGTCAAAAATGAAAAAAGTTAACAGGTTATGAATGTACCCTTTATTAGATCACTTAATATAAATTAAGTTTTTTGTGCTTTAATATCACCTTTTAATATTTAATTTTTTATGTAATTTTTATATTTAAAAAATAGTTACTTAAATGAAGTACTTATTTTCCTGTTAAGTATTATCTATTGCATTTTCCCTAAGTAGAAGGACCTAATATTTCTAAACATGTTGTATATTACAATAATACAGCTTTTGTCAAATTTTAAGATTTAATGATTTCTTCATTACTTGGACCTGTATAATTCTCTTTTTTTTTTAACTAGAAGATTATAGAACATTGGTTTATAACTGCTAGTCCTGAAGAAGTTGTATATTTTTGCATGCCAGTGTCTTTTTGAGAATTTTCTCTTTTTCTTATTCATTACCAATTGCTTACCTTCTATAATTAAGAAGTAATTTCAGTAAATTGTTACTTAAGTTCTCATCTTTATAATCTTGCTTAGAATTCAGGATGGATTTATCATTTTTCGGTGGTGGAAGATGTACAACCCAAAGCAGAAACAACATGGTAAATACTTATTTCTTCATGTGTTTAAAATTCTCAATCATATAATCTGATTTTATACTTAGAGATAATTAAATGTTTCACATATTTTTTTTTTTGTTGTTGTTGTTGTTGGCTGGCCTTTGAATAGTTATGTAGCATAGACAGGCCTGGAACTCATCCTTCTGCCTCAGCCTGCTGAATTTTAGGAGGTGTGCAGCACCATGCCCAGCAAGGAAGTAATTTGGGTTATATTTTGGCAGTACTAGAGATTGAGTTGGGTCTATTCTTGCTTATTCAAGAGCTTTAACACTTCGTTCATGTATCTTAGCTGACATCTTCTAGTAGATAACCTTTAAAGTTTTATAGTTTACAATTTTTAAAAAAAATTTCATTTTGGTTGAAAAATCCTTTAGTAGTTTTCCTGTTGCCTGATTAACTTCAGGTACTTGAACATATCACTCATTTAGAGTTATCTTCAGTATAATCTTTACATACATTTCTAGCCTTTTGTGTCAAATCTGTGGGCCTGGCTATGTTGTGACTCAGATGCCCTCCCTAGTACTCTGATCTTTCTAAAATATTCGTATATATATATTTTTTTTAGCTTCTGTGACTTTATTCAGACTTGCTATGTTGTTTCTATGTTGTGCAGGCTAGTTTTGGACTCTTGTGTTCTAGTGATTCTCCTACCTCAGCTTCCCAAGTAGATGGGAATAAAGATGCATGCCACCACATTGGCCTAGTTTGCATTTATCTTCAGAGCCTTACTTTTTATCATCTCAATTTTCCTCTCAGATTTTTTTATGACTGTGTAAGTGTTCTCGGCTCTTCCACTACCCTTTCTAATTCTACGTTAACTATACCACTTCTTCGAGGGTAGACCTTGTCCTTACTTTCTAGAACTTACTTTTTCAAACATTCATCATGGGAATCTTTACATTCTTCTAAATTATTGAGGTTGCCACAGAGTTTTTATTTTTGTGAATTCTATCTCTTTATATGTACTGCATTAGAAATTAAGCCTGATAATTGTAAAAATATTTAAATTTCATTAATATTAATAAACCATTATATGTTTAAAACACGGTTCATGAAAAATAGCTTCCAAAGCAAAAAAAAAAACAAAACAGTGACATTGTTTTGTATTTTGCATTTGTCTTAATATTTGGCTTAGTAGAAGATAGCTGGACTCTCACTTTGCTTCTGTATTCAGTCTGCTGAAGTATCTACCATATATGTTATAGCCTTTGAAAAATTTACTGCTGGCTTCTGGAAGAGTGATTGCAAGAGTCAAAATATCTCAATAATCTTATTGTTAAGTTTTGATTTTTTTTTTTAGGCTTCTATAGAGGGACTCCTCCAAAGGTCCTACATCATACTTTGAAAACCACGTTTCAAGAAGGTTGTAGGTGGGACCTGGGAATATAAGGTCTCTTTGGATCATTTCTGCTTTTAATAACCTATGTTGAGATTCTGAAATGATGATTAGGAACTATGTAACTTTGTAACTTTCCAATTAAATGTTGGGTTTTAAAATTTGTTTTGATAGACTTACCTATCATTTACAACTTTTTTCCTATAAGAAAATAAATTAAAGTTCTAAAAGTGGCCAAGCCAGCCTAAACTACTTTAAATTTCAGTGTTATTTTACTGTTAGTCTTTTTTTTTTATGCTTTTCTTCCTTCAGTCCTATATGGATGTACTCTTATATACAATGTATTCTTTTCTATATTGAGGCTGGGATGAATGGGTTAGTATTTGGCATGTGTGGAACTAGTGAAATCAGAGTGAATAGAAATGAGAATCATGGGCAAGCTTCATATCTGGAAAGACAACAGATGGAGTTGTTCAGTAGGTAACTGAATAGAACACAAGTTTTTCTGTATGATAAAGTATTATGAGGGTATTTGAAATGGCTTCTGGAGGTTTTCCATCTGTAATTTAGAATGGATATAAGGTTAATAGTTTTTGGAATATCAATTACTATGCCAGCATTTTAACATTTTTTCTTTGTTGTTACTGCTAGCATTCTTACTGAAAAAATAATATGTATTGGGAATTTAGCATATTGGAAATCTTTTAGTTTTGTGTTTTTATTAATATGAATGAATCCTAGGTTTGGTGTTATTTTCTGGTACTATTCATGTTCATTTTGTGGAGGAAATATGTATTTTTATAAATATATATAAATCCTTTACAGCTTGTAAGTCCTTATAAGTTGTTAAGATGTCACTTAAGTAAAGATAACTTACTTGTTTATACTTCATAGATGGCTAAAACTCATTTCTAATGGTCAGTCCCTTTGAGTTCAGTCCTAGGTTTTCACAAATTCATTTTACTTGGAGCACGCTCTATGTTTTTGCCACTTATTTAATTTGTAAAGTCTGTTCAATTTGTTGCTTAGAGATGAGTTTATGTAGAGCACATTTTCCCCTTGTATGTCATGCTTCTATCAATCTTGCAGACTCTTTGTTACTCTCTTAATCTTTGTTTTATTTTTTTATGCTTAGTTAACATAAGTGTGTTTCTTAATAACATAAGTGTGTTTCTTTTATCAATACATGAAATCAAAGAGTTTTCCACCCCAAATCCTTCATGTGAGGTAGTTTTTGTTGAAATAAAAAAGATCTTTTGAGTATGGCATGAGGAAAATACTGAGAACCATCCTCCAAATTTCTAATGTTGATATGGGCCACTTAGTGTAGTAACAAACAGGATCCTGGTTTGAGGTTGTTTTAAGAGTTCTACCCATCTGTCAGAAGGCAGAATGGTAGATGAAGTTTGTGAGATTCTCTCATTCCTTAAACATCGTGCATGGTAATGACAGTGAGTAGGATATATCAGACATTGGTTAAAGGCCAATTAGGGATCTGACAAAACATCTTACTTTGTTTTGGGATAGTTGATTTTAATCTGTTGTTTTGGAAAATAAACAGGACATGTGATGACATCTCCATGTTGAGATGCATATGGGATATGAGTAAGTAGTCATGTACCTTTCCTACCCTAAAGGAATTCTTTGACTACAAAGTGAATTTTGCTGATAAATTATGCCCTTTTTATTATTTTATTGTTTATGCTTAACATTCTAGGGCTTTTAAAAGGTTATTTCATCTAAATCTTATTTGTTAAATAAATAAAAACACCTGAGCCATCTTTCAAAGCTTAGCAGGCTGTTTTTGTAGTATTCACTTTTGGCAATATTTCTGCATCTTTTCTTTCTTTTTTTATGTTGGTCCTGGAGCTTGGATTCAGATCCTGGCTACTTTCTATGTTCTTCTTTTACTTATGGCTAGTGCTCTACCACTTCCAGCTTTTTTGGGTAGTTAATTGCAGATACGAGCCTCATGGGCTTAGCTGACTTTCAAGCACAATCCTCAGATCTCAGCCTCCTAAGTATCTAGGATTACAGTAAAGATGTGGGCTCAGATCTCAGACTCCTAAGTATCCAGGATTACAGTAAAGGTGTGAGCCACTGGCACCTGGCTCTTATTTTTTAAAAATAGTTAAGTAATCATGGATATTTAATGACATACTGTGACTATATGCCTGCATAATATACTGTCATTTCTTTTGTTCTGTGTGTGTGTGTGTTTACCAGTATGGGGGTTTGAACTCAGGGCCTGCATATTCTCACTTAGCTTTTTTTGCTAGGCAGGTGATATACCATTTGAGCCATACCCCAGCTTTTTGATTTAGTTATTATTTTTTTAAATAAAATCTCTTGTTTTTGCCCAGATTGCTCTGGGTATCAATCTTATTTATGCTTCTTGTATTGCACATGTGCACGCGCGCACACACACACACACACACACTTGTATTGCACATGTGCGCACACACACACACACACACACACACACACACACACACACACACACACACACACACACACACACACACACACACACACCCTTATTGGTTGGAATGGGGTCTCGATTAACTTTTTTGCCTATACCAATTTTTTGAACTATGATTTTCCTTATTACAGTTCCTATAGCTGCCCCCATGCCCAACCCAAAAGTACTCTTTAGATACTTAGCAATTGCTGTTTCTTTAATTCTTTAACCAAATTTTGGAAGAAGCAATTCTCAACATCACTCACAATGATTAAGTGCATATTTCATTCATGTTTAAATTTTAAAGCCTATTTATTATTTTCCTATTTTTAATGATGCATCAAGTATTTGATGAGCATTTCCTATGTACCAACCACTATTTTAAGCACAAGGGGTACAATAATGAAGTTAACAGGAAGAATATCTTCTCTGTTGAAGTTTATATTCAAGTAGAAGAAGTATGAAGAAAAATGAAGTGATTTAAAAACTGGAAAAGCAATGAGGAATATGGAAGGGATCTTTAATTTTTTGAGAAAAGATTTCTTAAATGCATTTGGAGGTAAATTTGAGTTGAATTGTATATGATCTTGAAGAACAATGCAATAATTTCTACTTGTATAGATCTATTTGGCAATATAAAAAACATTCTTGTATTTATTTTGCTACACATGTTTGGTTCTAAGATTGCCTTGTTTTATGTAGGATTATGATACCTAGAAAGATGCTCTGCTGTTCTTTCATATAAGCAAGCTTTTCTGTGTATTAAACTTTGTTCTTGGTGCCAGGAATTTACTAGTGGATAAAATATAAAATGAAGTTCTGTCCATTACAGTCCTTGCTTCATTCAAGTTGGGAGGACTCAGATAAAAAGGAGGTAACGAGGAAAATACAGCATTAAAGAAAATGAAAGCTGGGTTAGTGGAGTAGGAAGTCCTGGTTTTCAGGGAAGTTTCTGTTAGGGAGTTAGGGAAATGTTTATTGGCAGTGGGTAGTGTGGAGTAACAGTAAGAGGATGAGCTACTGTGGCTGTTGGGGGGAGAACTTACCTGGTTGTGCTGGTCCTGTTTTGTTACTAATACCATGAGGCTAATTACTTGGAAGAAATTTTGTATAATTTTGACATCATTTTAAAGACCTTGGCATTACTGACTGGAATGGGAAGCTATTTGACAGTTTGGGAACAATGATCAACTGAATTTAGGTTTTTAAATGTCTCACACATGTGTTAAGCACAGGTATTAGTAGTACAGGGCTGAAGCAGGGAGATTAGTTAGGAGACTATTGGAAGTTAATTGTGAATTGGGCAAGGGTGGTAAGAAGTGGTTGAATTCTAGATCATGTTGAAAGAAAAGGTGACAAGTTTGGCTGATAATCTATGGGTCACAAAAGTATAAGAGCAGTAAGTTTTTAGACTGGAAAAATAGAAAAGGTAGACTCAATATCACTAAGCTGAGGAAATTGTAGATTAGATTTGGGTGAGTAAACCAGGTGTTTGGTTGGAAATGTCAAATTCCAGAAACCTGTTGGACATAAAATTGGAGATAATACTGTTGGATGCCTGACCCCAGCAGTCTAGGAGCCATTGATTACTGGCATCTATTACTGACCTAGACAGTGATAGAGTTTTACTTGGTTAAAATACTCATTTACAGCTGTGCACCATGGCTCACGCCTGTAATCCTAGCTACTCAAGAGGCTGAGATCTGAGGATCACGGTTCAAAGCCAGCCTGGGCAGGAAACTCTGTGAGACTCTTATCTCTGATAAACCACTCGAAAACTGGAAGTGGTGCTGTGGATCAAGCAGTAGAGGGCTTGCCTTGAGCTGAAGAGTGCAGGGAAAGCGCTCAGGCCCAGAGTTCAAGCCCCATGACCGACCAAAAAAACCCCCAAAAACCTCATTTATTACTTTCAAGAATTGGAATCTTTCATACATACTATAAACCTTTGTATTTACTAGTTTTTTTATCTTTAGGAATTTGACATACAGTAAGAAAGAGGAATTAAATGTTCAATATACCATAGTTCAGGGATTTTTAGCTTTAGTCAGGTGGCATATCTGAAGAACTAGGAGCGAATATGTCAAATAACTACTTAAGAAATAGTAGGAAAATTACAGGGCCTAACAATTTTTTGAAGTGTTGGGACTATCATTTTTTTCTCTCAGTTGTCATAGGACATTATAAGAAAATAATCCAAGACTGGAGAAAATCCCTAATTCAAAACATTTCTAGCCCAAAGATTGTAGATAAGGCATACTCAGCTTCTATGGCTATTAATCTTTTGGTTTTTTTTTTTTTTTTTTTTTGTCGATCATGGGGATTGAGCTCTGGGCCTGAGCTCTTCAGCTCAAGGCTAGTGCTCTACCACTTGAGCCACAGTGCCACTTCCAGTTTCCTGGTGGTTTTTATTGGATAAGAATCTCATGGGTTTTGTTCTTTTTTTTTTGGCTTTGTATGGCCCTCTCCTATGGATATAACCCCTCTTTTCACTGTATTTGATGTTGGTATAATTTGTGGAGGGGAAGGGAAAAAATAAATTATTTAAACAGAGGTACAGGTTGACCCATTTCAACAATGAGATGTAAAAGACGCTATGTCAAAAAATGAACTTTACAATTTAGGCCGTAGGGGGTTGGGGTAGGTAGTGTAATTGTGGAGATGGGAGGGAAGGGATGGTAAGGGAAAAACAAAGGAGGAGACAACAATGCTTGATAAGAACTGTACTCATTATCTTGCTCATGTAACTGTAACCTTTCCTCTGTACAATAGTCCCACAATAAAAAACTTATTAAAATATATAATTCATATTATATAATGATGGATAAAAAGGAAAATGAAGCTATCTTTAAAAAAAAAAAAGAGTCTCACAGGCTTTCCTGCCCGGGCTAATTTGAACCATGATCCTAAGATCTCAGCCTGCTGAGTAGCTAGGATTACAGGTGTGAGTCACCAGTCCCCAGGGGGCTATTAATCTTTAATGTAATTATGTCTTTTATTTGAGAAGGTTATTGCTTGACATCAACAGTTCATAAAATGTGTTAGTTTTGTACAATTTTTAAAAATAATGTTTATGGAGAATCCCTAGTTTCTTTTCTTTTTTTTTTTTTTGTTGGTCATGGGGCTTGAACTCTGGGCCTGGGCACTGTCTCTGCACTCTTCAGCTCAAGGCGAGCATTCTACCCCTTGAGCCACAGCGCCACTTCTGGTTTTCTAGTGGTTTATTGGAGATAAGAGTCTCATGGACTTTCTTGCCCAGGCTGGCTTTGAACTGAAATCCTCAGATCTCAGCCTCCTGAGTAGCTAGGATTATAGGCGTGAGCCACCAGCGCCCGGCTAGAATCCCTAGTTTCTATGGTGCAAATATCATAGTGCAGTTGCAAAATATTCACATGATATGTAAATATACTTAAACATTTTACTATGTGTATTTTATTATAACATTATAGCTATTTAGCGAAGTCTTTTATTTTTTTAATCCAGAATCAAGAAACTCAGGTTGGTTTTCAGGGTGTTAAATTATAATTCTAAATTTCTTTTGCCTGTATTTTATCTTTAATATGCATCTTTATTATGTAGGATTGTATTTTAAAATAAATGATTTGATTTACTTTGTGAAACAAGATTTGTCATGAAGCTTTGATTAATATTCTTTATAAGTTGACTAAGAGTTTATTTTTGGTACTTGTTATCTTTAGATCCAAAGGCAGAAACCAGGTTATACATCACAGTTAATGACTTCGAATTTCATGTCTACAATCGTTCTGATCTTTATGGACGTCTTCAAGAGTTGTTTGGTTTGGAGCCAACAATAATTCCACCCAAGAAAGATGATGATAAAAGCCGAAATGGAAGAACAAGAACCCAGTCTAAAATTGAAAGGTTCAATATCAAACTTGAATTTTATTAATTTCCAATGTTTAAACATTTCCTAGAATTTCATTAATCTAAACAGAGCCTAGTTTTTTCTTTTTATAAATTCAATGCAATATTTAGTTATAGATACTTAAATAATTAAAAAATTAAAACATAGAATTATTAAATGTTCCCAGAGTTCTGTCTGTTCCCTTTACTCAGCAGTCCTAATTTGTTTTATATTAATAACAGCTGTTATTAATTTGGTCTCTTCCTTTTGACTATCTGTACATACATATACAAATATGTACACTTTAAGGTACATATGTAAATATTTGATTTTGTCTTATGTGTTTTAAAAAACTCTTTAAAAATCTTGTATAGTGTGTATTGTTAATTTGCTCTATTGTTTATTTTGTGGTAATGTAGATTGAACCCAGGGTTTTGTATGTGGTAGATGAAGCTGTCACTGAGCCACACCCCCAGATCTGTAACTTGTATTTTATACAGCTATATATCTTCAAGATTTTTGTGTATCTGTATATATAGATTACCTTATATTAAAAAATATTCTATAGCAGGCTAGCAAACTTGAACCTACAGAACAAAGCTAAACTACCAATTGTTTTACAAATAAAGTTTTATTGGGACATAGCCCTACCCATTTGTTTAAATATTGTTGCTGGCTTCATTTGTGTTTTAGTGGTTGAGTTGAATAGTTGAAACAGAGACTATACAAGACAGACCATGAAACCTAAGATATGTGCTGTCGATTGCATTACAGAAAATGTTTGCTAAGCCCTGGTATAGAATAAATGAGAAAGAGTTGAAGTGGAGATTCAGAGCTAGTGGACAAAGTAGCCCAGGGAGGTGAGGAAAAGTTTAAAAAAAGACATCTAAGTCGCTCTACATACCTGTGGGTTCTGCTTTGACAGATTCATTCAACTGCAGATCAAAAATATCCAGAAAAGCCATGTTTTGGTGGTGGCTTATGCCACCTAGTACTACTCCTATCTGAGGATCATGGTTCAAAGCCAGCCTGGGCAGGAAAGTCCATGAGACTTTTACCTCCAATAAACTACCAGAAAACTGGAAGTGATGCTGTAGCTCAAGTAGTAAAGTGCTAGCCTTGATCTGAAAAGTTGAGGGATAGTGCGCAGGCCCAGAGTTCAAGCCCCATGACTGGTAAAAAAAAAAAAAAAATCCAGAAAAAATAGTTTCTACTGAACAATTATAGACTTTTTTCTTAATGTTCTTAGATAATACAGTATAACAACTATTTACACTGAATTAGATGCTAGAAATTATATGGAGATGATTTAAAGTATGCCAAATAATATGCACAGATTTTATGCAAATAACATGACATTTTTCTGTGAGCAACTTGAGCATCATAAATTTTGGTTTCCTTGAAGGTCCTGGAGCCAGTGCCCCATGGAACTGGTTTATATGGATGACCATATAAGAGAAAAACTCTGGAGAAAAACAACTTTCTGATAGATTAATGAACTATAAGGAAAAGTTAAATAGTATGGAGTAGGTATAATAGTCTGTAAATAATATTTTTAGCCATCTATAAGTAATTCATTATACACCTTTTCTAGAAAATGAAAAATTCTTTAACAATATTTAAAGACAGTAAAGGGAAACTATAAATGAAAATTCAGTTAAAATCCAAGAATAAGTTGAAATGATTTTTGGTTTCTAAATACAATACAGTTTTATAAAGAAATGAATAAAATTTGGAATCAAGTTTGGAATTTAAGAAATGGTTTATGGCTAGCCTTCAAACCACATCAATATCTTGAAGAGGCACCGGCACTTCCATTCTCATTGTAGCCTTAAATGTAATAGCTGAGCTGTGGAATCAGCCTACAAGTCTATAAATGAGTGAAGACAATGTGGTATATAGGCATTGTGAAATATTATTCAGTTTTAAAAGAACAAGCAAGTTTTGTCCTTTGCAACAAAATGGGCAAACTGAAATAAGCTCGGTACAGAAAGTTAAATACCTTGTCATCTCTCTCATATTGTAGAATCTAAAAACGTTAAACTCCTAGGAGTAGAAAGTAGAATGATTGTTAGCAGCAGTCACAGATGTGGAGGGTTTAGGAAGATGTTCAGATGTTCAATAGGAATGAATTGAAGAGCTCTGTTATATAACATAATGACTGTAGTTTAAAATAATGTATTTTTGACAATTTCTACTAGTAGAGATTAAGTACTGTTGCCACAAAAATGCTAAGAAGAAAGATAGGGTATCTTTAGGCATTCTGAAAAAAAAAAAGCGGGGAGAAAAAAGAATCCAGATTTTAACTGAAACAGTGATCACCTTGAGTCAGGGAACCTTGATGAAAGAGACTTGGGTGGTAGTGGTGTTGATAGAGAAGGCTTTGGGAGTGTGCAGGAGCCATATGTGACTGGAGATGTCTCAAGCTTTCATTTTCAGATGTTACTGTGAAATACTTGGTTTCACCAGGCTGTGCACTTTTGTGTATGACCAATTTTCCTACTCTGAGCCAATGGCTTTAATTTTTTTGAGGGCAGATTATTTTGGCATAGGGTAATATGGGGAGGGAAAGAAGTTGAGCTGCTGCCTTACTTTCAGAGCTGCTAACAATAATGGAAAAGATTAAAGACTCATACCTTCCTTAATCATTGTTAACCTTGTTGATTTCATGAGAACTTTGGGTATCTTGTGAAATGCATGTGGTAACAATATATTCTACTTGATGGTTTTGTCATTAAAGCCTATTACTATAAAAGCATATGTTTGTAGTCTACATTAGCTTATATATCAAAAAGCTGATGTGAAAAAACCCATTCTAAGAGATACTTTTAGGGATATTGATATTTCCTTATATAATTCACTTATATAATTCACTGAAGTAGTCATTATATGTGTATAGGTGGTATTAATAATGCATCTTGTGCTAGGTGCTGGTGGCTCACACTTGTAATCCTGGGTACTAAGGAGGCTGAGAATGGGAGGATTGAGGTTTGCAGCCAGGCCAAGTTTGAGACTCCTTTTCTACCCATAGATGGCACTATGATGTACATCTGTCATCCCAAGGTATATGAGAGGCTGATATTAGGAAGATCTTGGTTCGAGGCTAGCCTAGGCAGAAAAAATGTGTGAGATTCCCATTTCCATAGGTCAAAGGGAGTTGATGAGGTGCCACATGCCTATGATCCCAGCAATAGGAAGCCTAAGTAGGTAGGAACAGGTAGCCTAACTTGGTGGGAAACTAGACCTTAGCCTAAAAATGAATGAAAAACAGAACTGGAGTTATGACTCATTTTTAGCAATATCTTTCTACTAGGCCAAACAAGCACAAGGCCCTGGGTTCAAACCCTGGTACCACCAAAAAAAAAGTATGTTTCAGAAAATGAATTGTATCCTCTATATTTAAGGTTTTCTCATGCATGTAAATTTTATTTTTTCTTGTCAGAGTTAAAGTGAAAACAGAATCTCAAGACCCCACATCCTCTTGGAGATCACTTATTCCAGTAATAAAGGTCAATGTTAGCACAGTAAGTACATTTTGTTACAATGATTAGTGAGTTAAAATGGAAAACTTTCTGTGTTTTTTCAAAAGTCATTTTTCATGTTAGTAAAAGAAGGCAATTTGGTGGAGTTTTTAGTTCTTATTTCTGTAAAGTGCAAAAACATTTTAATACCAGTACTGTTTTAGAGCAAGTTTTTTAAACTTGGAAGGCTGTTTAGTCATTGTTTTTCATGTCTCTTTAAATTTGCTTAAATATTGTTTTTTAGATCCATAGAATAATTTAGTATATAATGTTAAAATAGAATAATTTCATTTTTGATTTTTCATTGATTTTTTTCCCCCTAGGGACGTTTGGCCTTTGGGAATCATTACCAACCACAGACTCTCTGCATTAATTTTGATGATGCTTTCTTAACTTATACTACAAAACCACCTTCAAGTCACCTTGACCAATTCATGCATATTGTGAAAGGAAAGCTTGAAAATGTTCGAGTTATGCTTGTTCCTAGTCCAAGATATGTTGGTCTTCAAAATGATGAGTAAGAAAACTTTATAATTTCTTTTTAGCTATTATAGATATCAGCTAGAACTTTTAGCATACCTTAAATTTCTTTGCTAAAGGTTGTGCCTTTCTCAGTCTATTAAAGTCATTAACAGTTATTCTTGCTTTATAGGATCATTATGCTACATGGTGTGTTTCATTGTGTGTTTCATGTGTGTTTCATTGTGTTTCCATGTGGTTATAACTATTGTTTTTACTTTCTCACTCTATTTTGGAAACATACTTGAGATGGCCTCATGTGGGTTTTTTTTCTAAACATGGATATATAGTAAACTAAAGAGTTCCATGACATAGAGTACCATTTTGAGTTAGAAAAAGTTGAAAATAGAATTGAAACTACTTTTGGGAAAACTAATGAAGTTAGTATGGTCTGGTTTTGAGACCTGTTTGTTTCTTTGAAACCTAAACTCTTAGTTTCCCATTTAGCTACCCAGACCTTGTCATTCAGTGAAGTAGTTCCTTTTATTTATTATGTAATGCTGTACATTAGATTCATCTCAGTGTGGTGAGATTCTTATACGGGAATAGACCAGGACCTGAGGGAACAGATTCATTTGACTTCAGGCCATATTCATGGGTTGGTTAATGGGCCCTCATGATTTTTTTCAGTCTGTTTTGTTTTATATTAAGGGAACTCTGTTGTTGAATGTATGTCATTTAAATGTTACATGCAGAGTTCCTACTATAATATTTTAGCTTGTATCTATCTTTGTTGCATAGACAATATAAAATCTGGGTTTATGAGAAAAATGATTATTTTTTTTTTTACTTATAGTTCTTGACTGAGTTGCTATTGTATTTTTCAAGATTGGCTAGTAAGACAGGATTTTTCACCTTTTGGGATGCAGGTATCTGTGGGTATATCTGGTCTTTCTCATTGAGATTATGGACTGGATTGAGCATCTTTTGGAATGTGGGCTATGCACACATTCTTTATTTATAGGTAAAGGCAAACTGAATAAATCTGTCCTTAAAACTACTAGAGAGTAGGACAAAAGAGTGTGCAGTATTTTAATAATTTGTGTGAATAAAATATCATTATTCAAAAGTAGAAATTTACTACACTTTGTGATTTCATACATTTTAGAAGAAAAAAGTTTGTACATAGTGTATTATCTTACTGAGAAGTTCATTTTAATGTGGAAATATTATAGTATATGATAGAGAAAAATTGTTAAAGCAAGGATTAATACTTTTTGAGAAGATGAAGACAGAATTATTCACACCAGAGTTTAGCTTCAAGATATTTGCTTTAAGTTTAAGTTGATCAGTAAAAATGAGGGCTACATAGAGAGTTTGAGACCAGCCTGGGCTATATATCTAGACTCTGTCTCAAAGCAAAGCAACAACAGCAGCAAGCCTCCAAGGAAATAGATGTTACATTGTTACAAACAAAAATGTTATAGGTTATTTTTTGTTGTTGCTGTTGGTTGTGGCCCCTGAACTCAGGGCCTGGGTGTTGACCCTGAGCCTCTTTGTTCAAGGCTAGTGCTCTACTACTTGAACCACAGCACCATTTCAGGCTTTTTCTGAGTAGTTTATTGGAGATAAGTGTTTCATGGACTTTTCTGCCTAGGCTGGCAGAATCTACAATCCTCAGATCTCAGCCTCCTGAGTAGCTAGGATTATAAGCATGAGTTAGCAATGTCTGACTAGATCAAAACTTTTAATGCTTCTGAATGATTATACTTTAGGCCACTGAAAGAGTAGATATTTATTTAGGATTGTAGTATTAATCGAAATGACTTAATTTTAATTTTGTCATAAATGTAGAAGATGTCACTATTTCAGTAATTATTATATTGAATTTAAAATTTGTTTTACATTGATTTCTCTCATTCAGAGTAGATTTCTCTCATTCAAAATGTAAAATCAGAGCAATAAAATCCAAAATGTTTTCTTCTTGAACTTAATTTGCTGGTAAAATTTCAGTACCATTTTATTTTAGTGTAGTATCAAATATAACTTTGAAACAACTTAAGATGATTTTTTAAAGTTTTTCTCTTTTTAAGATATCACTCATGATGTGCTTTGTAGTTTGTTCCTTTCTTTTCTTTTTTCCCATGATTATTTAGAGTATAGAGTATTTTGTATTTTAGAGATGTACTTCATTTGCCCTCACTCTGTCTTCTTGCAGACCACCTAGACTGATGGGAGAAGGCTTTGTGGTAATGCAGTCAAATGACGTTGACATCTACTACTACATGGATGAGCCAGGTATTGCTTTCTTCAAGTATGTTCATAGTTAAAATTCTGTAATGCTGATATCCAAGAATACTTAAAATCTTACTTTGTGACATTTCTCAATAGTCAAGTATTAACTTGGCTTTTGAGACAAAAATATAGTAATATTTTTAGACTAAAATATAGTGATCTTAAAATCCATTTACACAAATAGAGCTGGGCATCAGTGGTTCATACTTGTAATCCTGGCAACTCAGGTTAAGATCTGAGGATCATGGTTTGAAGTCAGCCCAGGCAAAAAGGTTCATTAGACTCTTTAGTTAACCAGCAAAAAGTTGAAAGTGATACAATGTAAGCCTTTAGTAAAAAAGTTAAGGGTGAGCTCCCAGGCCCTGAGTTTGAACTGTAGTATTGGCACACACACGCACATACACACACACACACACACACACACACACACAATCACAATCACATTTTCACAAATATATCTCAAAACTTCAATCACAAGCAGGTATGGTGGTGCACACTTGTAATTTTAGCAACTTGGGAAACTCAGGCAGGAGGATTATGAATTCTAAGCAATCAACATTGAATTTGCAAATAACTATGAATGAAAACTTTTAGGGAAAGTGATATAATTCAGCTAGATCATTTTAGCTTAGGAAGAACATCAATCACATTCTGTTAGATTGGAAGTTTAATGCTTAAGATTGAAGTCCAAGTAGTTACATTGCTTGATAGGTGGCTTTCATTTGATAAAAGCAGATAAGTATTGAAATTGTTTTTTTTTTATCTGATCTTGGTATTTGAACTTAGGGCCTGTGTGCTGTCCCTGAGCTTTTTTGCTTAAGGTTAGTGCTCTACGACTTGAGCCACAGTTCTGTTTCTGGCTTTTTTGGTGCTTAATTGGAGATAAGAGTCTCATGAACCTTTCTGCCCAGTCTGGCTTTGAACCTTATTCCTCAGATCTCAACCTCCTAAGTAATTAGGATTATAAGCATGAGCCATCAGTTCCTGGCTCTCTTAAAAAATTTTGAGAGTATAAAGGATTCCTGAAACCAAAATGTTTTAGAACTGCTCACCCAAGGAAACTTTTTGAGTGATATTGTAGGTAACTGTCTTTATGTTGTGTGTTTGAAATACAGGACTTGTTCCAGAAGAAACTGAAGAAAATATTGAAGGAGAAATAAGCAGTGAAGATTGCAAATTACAAGATTTACCACCCTGTTGGGGACTGGATATTGTTTGTGGTAAAGGAACAGATTTTAATTATGGACCATGGGCTGACAGGCAGAGGTACTTGAGTAAATTATATTTTTAATAAAGTCTATTGAATATTAAGATAATACTTAGCTTTATATATAAATATACATATATACATGTACATATGTATATATATATTTATATTTGCCCATAGACTTTTTTTTTAATTGTTGTTGGTCATGGGGCTTGAACTCTGGGCCTGGGCACTGTCCCTCAGCTCTTCAGCTCAAAGCTAGTGTTCTACCACTTGAGCCACAGTGCCACTTCCAGCCCATAGACTTTAAAAATTGTTGTTATAAAGGTAAAGTATAGCGGGGTTACAGTTATAAGTCAGATAATAAGTACATTTCTTTTTTTGGACAGTGTCAGTCTTTCCCTCTTGCTAGCTTAATATTTTTGTAAACTTTTTCAAGCTACTAAGTTGTCACTAAATATTTCAGTTTAAATAGTAGCTTGCTTATGGAGAAATGATAAGCAAGTTTGCTCCAAAGGAGAATTAATATATAAAGATGGTGAGTGAGCAGCATATTTACTGGTTTCTTTATTTTTTTTTCTTTTGTGTTTAATCAGTTTATTTATTGGCCTTACTATATGCCAGGCATTGTTGAGGATTTAGGGCAGGATTCAGAAATAAAACATGCATAGATTGGTTTTAGTGGTGGAGAAAAAAAAGTTTTTGTTATGTGTGGTAACAAAGTTAAATACAGGTGCCAAGTTTAGAAAATTACACTTTGCTTCTGAGAGTTGACTTACCAAAGCTGCCCAGAAGATGGAGCTGAAACAATGGAAGATTGTTTCTGAAGGACAGAAATCGGACTTGAGTGTGGGCAAGGTTGGCTCCTTTGGAGAACAGTAGGATATGGCCAAGTGTCTCTCAGTGGCTTCTAGGTCATGGTCTCCTATTCTTTCCATGTTTCCCTCTGTAAATGCATACTTGTACAAGATTGCTTTACAAGGAGGATAATGTATGCCCTGCTGACCTCACTTAAACTTCGTTACTTCAACAAATGTAGTCTCATTGGTATTAAGAGTGAAACATCAGGGTGTGTGTGTGTGTGTGTGTGTGTGTGCGTGCGTGTGTGTGTGTGTGTGTGTGTGTGTGTGTGTATCCTGGGGCTTGAACAGGTCTAAGCATTGTTCTTAAAACATCAGGGGTGTGTGTATGTGTGTGTGTGTGTGTATGTGTGTGTGTGTATGTGTGTATGTGTATCCTGGGGCTTGAACTCAGGTCTACATCAGGGGTGTGTGTGGGTGTGGGTGTGTATCCTGGGGCTTGAACAGGTCTAAGCATTGTTCTTAAAACATCGGTGTGTGTGTGTGTGTGTGTGTGTGTGTGTGTGTGTGTGTGTGTGTGTGTGTGTGTGTGTATCCTGGGGCTTGAACTCAGGTCTAAGCATTGTTCTTGAAACATCAGGGGTGTGTGTGTGTGAATTCTGGGGCTTAAACTCAGGTGTAAGCATTGTTCTTGAGCTTTCCTTCCCCTCAGTGGTAGCATCCATTCAATCACTTGAACAACAGCTTCACTTTAGGCTTTTTGGTGATTAATTGGAGAGAAGAGTCTCACAGACTTTTCCTGCCTGGACTGGCTTCAAACAGTGATCCTCAGATCTCAGCCACCTGAGTAGTTAGGATTACAGGTGTGAGCTGCTAGCCCCTTGTGTGAAACATGAATTTTTAGGATATAACTCAGTTCATAACAAGTACATAACTTATACCAGAGTAGGGGAGAAAAGAACAAAGGAAGGCTTTGGTAGAGGTAACATGTCACTTTAGTTTTAAAAATGAGTAAAAGTTTTCTAGGGAAAGAGAGAGGTATGAATAAACAAGACAGATGCATGGGGCAGTGGAGGATTGTCCTGTAGGTACTGAAGATAGTTCAGAGTTCTGTAATAATAAAGAGCTGTGAAGCTGGATGCTGGTTCCTCACATCCTGTACTACTAGCAACTCAGGAGGCTGAGATCTGAGCATCATGGTTTGAAGCCAGCTTGGGTAGAAAAGTCCATAACACTTATCTACAATTAAACAAAAAGCCAAAAGTGAGGGTATAGTTCAGATGATAGAGTGCCAGCCTTGAGCAAAGAAGCCAAATGAGAGTGTGAGGCTTGAGTGGCTGGGCATGAATTTAAGCAGTCTGATGGCAGAAGAAAGCAGGAGGATAGAGTGTGAGGTTAAGTGGAGCTACATAGTGAGACCCTGTCTCAAAAATATAAATCAAGTGCCAACAGTATAGCTCAGTGATAGAATGTTTGCCTTGCATGTGCCATGTTTGGTTTCAGCATTGCCAAAAAAGAAAGTATTGATTTTATACAGGAGATTAAAAATGCGTGCGTGCGTGTGTGTGTGTGTGTGCGTGTGTGTGTGTGTGTGTGTGTGTGTCTGTGTGTGTGTTTGTGTCTGTATGTCTCCCTAATGATGCTCAGGCTGTCTTGAGCTCAAGTGATCCTGTACTCTCAGTCTTTCAATAGCTGAAACTACATTGAATCACTGTACCTGTCTGATTTCTTATTAGTCATTGTATTAGTTTTATTTTTACTATACTATGAACATTTTTCTATTTACTGTAGAATATAAAATTCTACTTACTGTATAATATGAAAGGAGAGAATATTTGTTATTAATTGTGAAGGAAAAAACATCTAAACTCCCTCTGTTTTTGGTAACATGAGGGTTTGAACTAAGGGCTTCATACTTATGAGGCGAGTACTCTACCATTTCAGCCATATTTATAGCCCTTTTCACTTTAGTTTTTTTCTTTTTAGTTAGGATCTCATGCTTTTTTTGGCTTGCCTCAGTCCTCTGTCCTCAGCCTTTCCTTAGGTCTCCTGCTAGGTTTACAGGCATACATCATCACACTTCGTTTGTTCTCGGAAGATGGGTCTCCTCTTTTTTTTTTTTTTTTTTTTTGGTGTTTGGTGTTTGGGTTGACCTTGAACCACAATCCTCCTGTCTCTGTATCCCACATAGCTGAGATTATAGGTATGAGACACTGTCTGAAAAATTAGTTCTTGAATCACTTTAAGTCAAGTCATTCTCTGAGTCAGCTGTCACTGGGATGTCACCAACTCTTGATGTTCTGGGGTTTTGATAACTTTTTAGTTTTGAAAGTACTACCTATTATTACAAATACTCTTTATTAAATATTATGATCTCAACTATAACTCTTCTGACATCACGTTTATAGTAACAATAAAAATAATATGATTTCTCTGTCTCTCTCTCTCTGTCAAACTCTCCCTTCTCCTTATCTCCCCCCTTCTTTCTCTTGGTTTCTGTTTCTGTCTCTGTCTGTCTGCCTGTCTGTCTCTCTCTCTCACCTCTTTTTTTCCTTTCTCCCCTCTCTTGCCTAGCAAGCTGTCTGTTCTTTTACAATTTGTAGTATATAGTGTATAGATAGGTAGGTAGGTAGATAGATAGATAGATAGATAGTATTCCAAGTAGTATTTCTTGTCACTGCTGACTGCTTCTTTAACCTTTCTTTAAAAACCACCAACTTGCCCTTCTGAAAATATGAGCAACATTGTATTAAGTTTGGCTTACACTGAATTGGAAATTATTGTTTATCTTCATTATTTGATAGACACTAATTGAAGTCTTAGCATATAAACACCTATGTACTTTTTAGAGATAAGTTGATCTTTAGCCTTTTATTGATACCATATTAAAAATGATTATGAAAGGAATAAAAAATTTGTTCAGCTGGGTGCTGGTGGCTCTCGCCTCTAATCCTAGCCACTCAGGAGGCTGAGATCTGAGGATTAGGTTCAAAGCCAGCCCAGGCAGAAAAGTCTGTGAGACTCTGATCTTCAGTAAACCACTAGAAAAACTGGAAGTGGCATTGTGGATCAAGCGATAGAGTGCTCGCCATGAGCTGAAGAGCGCAGGGACAGCGCCCAGGCCCAGAGTTCAAGCTCCACAACCAACAAAAATAATAATAATAATAAAATAAAATAAATTGTTCCATGCTCCAGTTACCTGCTCAGTTTTTCAGATACGTTGTATTTAATCCTTAGAAGCATGCTTAGAGACAAGTTAAGGCATGCCTGTGTCTTAGACAAGGAAGGAAGTCAAGTTTTCTCAGAAAGCTTAAATCTTTGTTTAGTGTGGGAGTGCAGTTCTAATTAAGCTCTCCTCTGTCATTATTTACTATTTGAGCAATTGACACAAAATGTAAAATGTTTTTGATTCCTCAGTACATTTGTATAATCAAATTTGGTCTTACCTATGTCTCATTTTGTAATAGTATAGGAAGTGGTCAAGACATTGGAGAAAACAGTAATTGTCAAATGAGAACAATTGTCATGTACTCTTATAAAACTACTCTGAGGGGTTGGGAAGGTGGCTCAGTGGTAGAGCGCTTGCCTTGCATGCATGAGGCCCTGGGTTCGATTTCTCAGCACCACATAAGCAGAAAAAAAAAGCCGGAAGTGGTACTATGGCTCAAGTGGTAGCGTGCTAGCCTTGAACTGAAGAGCTGAGGGGCAGCGCCCAGGCCCAGAATTCAGGCCCCACGACTGGACCCAAAAAAAAAACCAAAAAAAACCCCAAAAAAACAAACTACTCTGAGCCCTTATCAGAGGTAATCTTGGTTTGCATTACATATCTTTTTTTTTCTATCTATCTTCTTATATAGAGATTGTTTATGGAAGTTTTTCTTTCCACCTGATTATCAAGTTCTGAAAGTTTCTGAAATTGCACAGCCTGGAAGACCAAGACAGATCCTTGCTTTTGAACTACGAATGAATATTATAGCAGATGCCACCATTGACTTGCTGTTTACCAAAAACAGGGTAATTATTGTAATAGTGTAGTAGCAATTATGTTTAAAATTTGAATAAAAATTTTTAGACAATATTTCTGGTACCCATTCCTGTACCTAAATTCATTTCTGTGATCTTTATTCCACTCCCCATAAATGTATGTATGTAACTTACTTTTATATTTTTATTAACTATAATTCAGGAAGAGAAACTAATGATGAATAATAATGGCCCTTCATGTTATATTATGGTTCAGTTTCTCTTTGGTGTTTTGTTAAAAGTTGTTCTAGTTTAGGTATAAATTGGAATTATTGTTCTTACAGATTTTTAATGCTTGTTTCACAACATTCGTAGTTTCTTTGAGAAGAAAAACATGATGGAACTAAATCTTTTATGTATTCTTTTGGTAGGAAACAAATGCTGTACATGTGAATGTAGGAGCTGGCTCATATTTAGAAATTAATATTCCGATGACAGTTGAAGAAAATGGTAAGTGGTAATCGTTTTGTTTTTTTCAAATCTGAAATGATTAGTGAAAAGATTACTATAAAATGATATAGTTCTTTTAAATAAACATTAATAAAGCATAAAATAGACTTAGGTCTTAGGAAGAACAATGTAATCAGGAGAGTAATGTAATCATAAGCCAGATTCAGGTATTTGGAAAGGAAAAAAAAAAATCCCTTAATTAAGCAAGATACATGTAACTAGCATGTGACTAGTCAGTGTTCATAGAGAGGAAACCCATCCAGAAAGGAACTGTGATGCTATGCTTTCCTGCCTTTGTGGAGAATGGGCTGCATTGTTAGAAAATAGTCATTTCACGAGGAATAGAGGTTGTTTCAAACTCATTTTATAGACATGGTTGAAATGAAGCAAATATGTACTCTTGAGTCTGCGATAAAGAAAAAAATGTAAGTTGTATTAAAGTGTAGAAAACTGTTATGTAGAGATAGGCACAGACAATTATCTTATTCATGGATTCAACCAACTGTGAGTTGAAAATATTTAAAAAATCCTGTCTGTACTGAACATGGTCAGGTTTTCTTATACTTAAAACAGCATAGTATAACAACTATTTACATGGAATTTACATTGCCTTAGGTGTTGTAACTGTCCTAGAGATAATTTGAAACATGTGGACCATGTCTGTAGGTAATAGGAAAATCCTGTAGCTTATATAGAGGTATAAAGGATTTGAGCATGTACAGATTTTGGAATTCAAAGAGGTTCCTGGAAACAATCTCCCATAAATGCTGAGAGACTGCTGTAGTTTTGGACTCAAAAGCAAAATCAGCATAGATATCACATGGTGAAGATCTTTCCTGAGACCTGTTCAAAATAAGAAGCATCCGTATTAACAAGATTGAGGTGTTGTGTTTGGACAGTGACTAACCACCATTTTTTAGCAATTTCACTTTTTAGAGGTGGTAGAAGTTCTAGTCCAAGATTACTAATTGTGTGCGATTTCCTGGCCCTTAATTTCTGTGTTTTTATTTATTAGGTTACACCCCTGCAATTAAAGGACAGCTCTTACATGTTGATGCCACTACTAGTATGCAATACCGGACCCTTCTAGAAGCAGAAATGGTAGCAGTAAGTCTGGCATATGTGACGATACATATACTTGGATGCAGTACAAATTTGGTTTGAATTTTCTGCTCTAAAATTTAAATAAAATGTCAGATTTATTCACAAACTACCAGGGTTCTTGACCCCATCTGTGGGAAGAAAAGTGCACTCTCATCTCTTCCCAGTGGTATAGACTGCCTGGTGTCTCTTGCTGTGTGTAGACATGTGAATAGAAGGCAATGAAAAGTGTGAAGTTTGTTAGAATATTGTTTGTAGACATCATATTTCTGTACTAAATTTCTCCTAAATTCCAAATAAAGTAATTTTTGTGATGTGATTTCTTGGCCCTATTGGGTTCTTTCTTAGAGCTTACATAGCATTAGTCATTTTGCTTTTAACTGAGTGAAAAAAATAAGTTGAGAGGAAGAAAGTTCTGTTGGTGTCTTGAGTTCCTCCCATTAGAAACAGAAGCAGTGTGAAAATGCCATGATTCAAATTGCAGCTTGGAAATGTATTGATTGGACATATTTTTTCTTTCTGTTTTTAAAAATGAAGATAATAACTACAAAGCCACTATGTACAATGTTTAATACTCACAAAAATACTTTAACATGATGTCATAGGGGCTTAATTTCTTAAGCCAGCATCTTACATACAACATAAATGCAAATTAGGAAATTTCTCAACTATCAAGAATTTATCAAACACCATAGATACATTTTGAATTGGCAAATTTAGTGCTTATTAAGTGTCGTCATTCATTAGAATTCTTGATCCATTATTAATACATGGGGCTGTGTGGCGGGCGATGCTGTTCCTTGTCAGGCAGCCTTTTCCTTGGCAGAAACTTAAAGCTTTTTAGCCATAACAGTGTCACTGTGTGATAGTAAATTATGCACACTGCACTCCTGTGCCTCTTATGAGGCTGAGGTGAAATAAGGATTACTGGGTTAGCTGGAGTATAGTTTCAAAACTACAGACTGATTTTCAAAGATTTTGACCACATCATGGCTTAATATTTCAGGGAGCTGTATATTACTGAGATACTCAACTTTCACCACAATTACATTAAAATCTCAAAGGTACTTCCTGTTCAGCTCAGTAGGAATAGAAGTTTTAATTCCTCCACAAAACATGTGACTTCATCCAATGCCGTTTACACAGTGTCTCATTTTAAGGACTAATGTTTATTTTGCAGTTCCACATCAATGCCAGCTACCCCCGACTTTGGAACATGCCCCAGACATGGCGGTGTGAGCTAGAGGTTTACAAAGCCACTTACCACTTCATTTTTGCACAGAAGAACTTCTTTACAGGTATTTTTTGAAAATACAAATAATAGGTTTTTCATGGTGAATTTGTTACTTCTAAATTAACTATAGAGATTTGAAAACATAATTCTTTTTTTTTTTTAAATTTTATTTTATTTTATTTGAGAACATACTGTACAGAGGGGTTACAATTACATGGGCAGGATAATGCATACATTTCTTACCAAGCATTGCAGCCTCCTCCTTTGTTTACCCTTCACCTCCCTTCCCAGCCTCCCCCCTCCCCCCCCACCCAATCATACCCCCCCCCCCCCACACAGACATTGTAAAGCTGGTTTTGACATGACATTTTGTACTTCTCATTGTTGCAACAGGTCCACCTGAATCCTTAAACGACTTGTTTGTCCCCATCTCCTCCACATGTTATACTGACATCAAATATAGTGAAAGCAGGGGTTACACTGTGGGGGAGGGACATACAAAGCAACAAAGAAATAATCTTATAAATGCGTTAGAAACACATGCATGGAAGAAACAAAAACATTAAAATATATATTTAAGGGTTCGTTTTCCTAACATCACATTATCTGACCTTTTCCGCTAAACTCATACATATACTAGATATGGCAAATAAGGGAAACCATGGGACCTATGCTTCTTTGGGCCTGGCTTACTTCACTTAATATAATTTTTTCCAAGCCTTTCCATTTCCTAACAAATGGGGAAATGTCATTCTTTCTGATGGAGGCGTAGAATTCCATTGTGTATATATACCACATTTTCTTGATCCATTCATCTACTGAGGGGCATCTGGGTTGGTTCAATATCTTAGCTATGGTAAATAATGCTGCAATAAACATAGTTGTGCTGGTAGCTTTAGTGTGGTCTTTTTTGTAAACATTAGGGTAAATGCCCAAAAGTGGGATTGCTGGGTCATAGGGGAGTTCTATGTGAAGTCTTTTGAGGAACCTCCATACTGCTTTCCAAAGTGGTTGAACAAGTTTACATTCCCACCAACAATGAAGTAAGGTTCCTTTCTGTCCACATCCCCTCCAGCATCTGTTGTTGTTAGAGTTCTTGATTTTTGCTGTTCTAACTGGAGTGAGGTGATATCTCAATGTTGTTTTGATTTGCATTTCTTTTATGGCTAGGGATGTTGAGTATTTCTTCATGTGTCTATTGGCCATCCTTCTTTCTTCTTCAGAGAAGCTTCTCTTTAGGTCTTTCGCCCACTTATTTATTGGGCAGTTGTTTCTTTGAGGATTTGTTGTTGGGTGGTTTAATTTTTTGAGTTCCAAGTATATTTTAGATATGAGACCCTTGTCCGTTGTATGGCTAGTGACGATCTTCTCCCAATCCGTGGGCTTTCTATTGATCTTGCTAGCTATGTCATTTGCCCTGCAGAAGCTCTGCAACCTTATGCAATCCCATTTGTCCAACCTTTCTTTGATTTGTTGTGTTTCCGGGTCTCTATTCAGAAAATTTCGGCCTGAGCCAAGGAGACCTAGGGTTTCTCCTATTCCATCCTGTAATGTTTTCAGAGTGTCTGCTTTGACTTCAAGGCCTTTGATCCATTTGGAGTTGATTCTGGTGCAGGGTGATATATAAGGATCAAGCTTTAGTTTTCTACATGTAGTTAACCAATTTTGCCAGCACCATTTACTGAAGAGGCTGTCTTTCTTCCATTGTATTGTTTTAGCTCCCTTATCGAAGATTAGATGGCTATAGGTCTGTAGGTTCATTTCTGGGTTTTCAATTCTATTCCATTGGTCCTGAGGTCTGTTCTTATGCCAATACCAAGCTGTTTTGATTACTATGGCTTTATAGTAGAGTTTGAAATTTGGTATTGATATTCCTCCAGCAGTGTTCTTTCCGTTAAGGAGCGTTTTTGCTATTCGGGGTCTTTTATTGTTCCATATGAATTTTTGGATTGCCTCTTCTATTTCCTTGAAGAATGAGGGTGGAATTTTGATAGGTATTGCGTTGAATTTGTAGATAGCCTTGGGAAGTATTGCCATTTTCACGATGTTAATCTTTCCAATCCAGGAGCATGGGAGGTTTTGCCATTTTTTAAGTTCTGTGTTGATTTCCTTTTTCAAGATTTTAAAGTTTTCATCATAGAGGTCCTTCACTTCTTTAGTTAAGTTAATTCCTAGGTATTTTATTTTTTGTGGGGCTATTACAAATGGAGTTGCTTTCCTAATTTCAGCCACACTTTTCTCATTGTTGGCATACAGAAAAGCCATTGATTTTTGGGGGTTAATTTTATAACCTGCTACTTTGCCAAAGTTTTGAATCAGCTGAAAACATCATTCTTGTTTTGTTACTTTTGCAATTTTCTTTTAGGCTGAGAATATCAAAGAGGAAATTTTTATCCAGATGTTTTGTGTTCTCTTCTAAACCAGACAACTTAGGCCAATGTTTTGTATCAGTGTAGGGATGGTAAGATTGTCTTGATGCATCAATTTCTTTCTCTTCTTAAGCATCAGCTTAACTTCATAATTTGTTTGAATTATTATAATCAATAATTATTGTAATCAAAAGCCAAAAGCATTGACTTTATATTCAGAGTCCCTGTTTACTCGTGTCCATTTGTATAGTTGATGTTATTAGTATTTAAAAAAAGCCCTTATTTCTTGGAGCAAGTTTTGGTAGCTATTCATCTTTCATGACTATGAAAAATATGTATTCTTAGTTATGAATAGTAGAAAGGTAGCTACATGCAAATTAACACATTTATGGAATCGTGTTCTAAAATTTAGTCCCAGAGAGTTGCTATAATGTATTAGGGTCAAAGACTAACCACAACCTAATGTTTGCTTGACTGCTTGCTTGCTTTCTCTGCCCATCCACTCACCTAACCCTTCCTCCATCCCTCATTTACAAACATCCAATCTGTTCTGAGTGCTACTAGGTATTTGGAGGAATAGTGGTGATTTAAACACAATTATAGATAATAGATAATAGAACAATAATGATAGACAATTTTATATAACATTATTTACTGTCACTGTGATGTTAAGTTACTTCATTGTTTAAATTTCAGTTTTCTTATTTGTATATAAGAATGAAAATTTTCACCCTAGTTTTGCTGCCAAGAGTTTGGCCTTTTAACTATTAGTGCAAAATTTTTAATTAATGAATGTGGGTATACTAGGAAAAGTATTTTTCAATCAAAAAGCAGTGCATAACACATGAATATAGAACTATAAAAATCTACATAGAAAAATATGAGAGGCAATCTATTCACAGTGTTGGATTATTTGGGAAGTAGGATATGACATGATTTCTGTTTGCTAGAATTTCTTGAAAAATAATATATTAAATATATGAAATTTTATATTTGGAACTATGACTAGTAAAGAGATATCACTTTACTGTCAAGCCTTTAATATCTGACACTTTATAAAAAACATTTCAATGTAAAAGATCTTTTCAGTTACAAAAATTCATTTTTTTCTAGTTAGAAACTTTTATTTTCTAAATTTCAGTTAACTTTATGTTCTGTACCCCAATAATTTTAGATTTAATTCAAGACTGGTCTAGTGATAGTGCTCCAGATATTTTTTCATTTGTTCCATACACGTGGAATTTTAAGATCATGTTTCATCAATTTGAAATGATTTGGGCTGCTAATCAGCACAACTGGATTGACTGTTCTACCAAACAACAGGAAAATGGTAAGCAATTTTTTAAAATTAGGTTTATCATTCTACTCATTAAGACATATATCAGTAAAGAAAATTAGTACTGACTTCAGTATTTTTGTAGATACTAGAATTGCTTTTCCCTCATTATCATGTGAAACTCTTTGAGGAGTATTTCTGAATTTGTGTTGGATTTTACCTATCATTTTACATTTAATTTCATTTAGTTGTGCAGTTAAGGCAGTTTTTACATTTAAATTTTATTGGCATTATAAATAAATATAGGGCTTGGAATGTGGCTCAGTCGTAGAGTGCTTGCTTAGCATGCATGAAGCTCTGGGTTTAATTCCTCAATACTACATAAACAGAAAAAGCTGGAAGTGGCGCTATGGCTCAATGGTAGAGGGCTAGCCTGGAGCTGAAGAGCTCAGGGACACCAACCCAGGCCCTGAGTTCAAGACCCATGGTCAGCAAAAAAAAAAAGTTAAATATATTTCCTCTTTTTATTATAGTGTACCTGGCAGCCTGTGGAGAAAGATTAAACATTGATTTTTCTTTGCCATTTACGGATTTTGTTCCAGCTACGTGTAACACTAAATTCTCCTTAAAAGTATGTATAAATGGATATATTGTTTATTTCAGAAGGTTTGTTAGTAAATTTGATTGACTTTAGTGTCCCAGAGTTCCTGCTCCTTTTTGTTACATGTTCCCCCTAAGAAATTGGCCAACAAAAAAAAAATCCCAAATTGATTATTTTCTTAGAGCCCTCATTTCTGATCTCTGTGGTTAATTTGTATGTTCTCTTAAGAACTCTGTCTAGCTCTGATGTTTTATGAACTGATTTTATACTTCCTGTATATTTGATTCTTAATTTAAAAATGAATTCAGGAGATAACCAAAAGTATCTTTCTTCCTTTTTCAAAAAGCAACTCTTACATACTTCTCCCCAGCTTAAAACTTGATGGGTTTGGATAATGGTAGGGTTTGGATAATTATTAGTAATTGTAGTGATAATGTGAGTTATAGTGGTAAAAATAGGAAAATAATAATAGGAACAGCTGACACTTATTAAACATTTTCTGTGTGCAGACACTGTTCTGAATCCTTTATGTGTAGTAATTCATCTAATCCTCAAAACAGTTTTCTAATAGTTACTACTATTTTCTGTATGTTGGAATATCAAGCATGGTATGGTGGTGTGACACATGCCTGCAATCCTAATACTAAGGAGACAGAGGCAGGGGGATCACAAGTTCAAAGCTAGCTTAGGCTATAAGGGAGAGAAACATTGAGAGAGGAACAAAGTTATAGTTTTCACATAGATAATGAGTTTCCATGTTAATTTTGAGCCCTTGCTTATGCTGCTTGTTACTGCATTTTTGTAGCTGCTCTCTTGTGTGTACTTTAGGGATAAATGTAATAGAAGTGCGTTGTGTGTGTGTGTGGCTGTGTGTGTATGTATGCATGTGTGTATGTGTGTATATGTGTATATGGAAATAGCATAGTGAAACCCAATAAAATTGTTTAAACAAAGTGGGGGAGGGGAAGAGGGTAGTGGTCAAGGATGTACAAGAGAAGGGAAAGTCAAGTATGTTATATGTATATATGGAGATAGAGTGAAAGAAACCTCATGGTAAGTAGGTTTGCCATTTTGAACAGTAGAAACACCCAAAAGAAAGAAAATATACTAGACATCAAAGTGAACAAAGAATAGAGAGTTTTTCTTTATTATTATTTTTTTAATGAGGGGATTTCTTGTGTAGGCAAGTGCTCTACCACTTGAGCTGTTGCTTTTGTCTGGGCCAGTCCAGTAGCTGGGATTAAAAGCTTGTGCCATCAGGCTGAATCTTTTACTTTTCTTGAGTTTTACATCAAGTATCCATCCAAGGAAACCATAGAAGACAGTTTTACACTATCATGTGGAATATGTGTTTTTTTTTTAAACAATTTCCAGTCAGAATTTAATTATAGCCTAACAAAAGCTTATTCCAGGTATTTACCTGACCGTTCAATAAAAATATACAGTTTTTAAGTTTTAGTATCTTATGTTGAATTCATTTTCAAGATTGTTATATATTGATTTGCTTTTAAATGTTGGTCTAACATATTGATGTCCTGATTTTATTACTTGGGTTATTATAAATTATTTTTTAGGGAGAAGATGTTGATCTTCATTTGTTTCTGCCAGATTGCCATCCTAGTAAATATTCGTTGTTTATGCTGGTAAAGAACTGCCACCCAAATAAGACGATTCATGATGCTGGCATTCCTGGTGAGTGCCAGAGTGGCCAGAAAACAGCTAAACCAAAATGGCGCAACATTACTCAGGAAAAGTGAGTGCATTATGACCAGGCATTTTGTGCTTATATGTGGAGAAATTTCTTCTTTCAAATAATGAAAATGTTTACTAATCTGTAAGTAGTATTTGAGTATTAGTCAAGAAAAAGTATCTGACTAGAAACTGTTTTTTACTCTTCATAGGGCTGGTTGGGTTGAATGCTGGACTGTCCCAAGTGTCATGCTTACAATTGATTATACATGGCATCCAATTTATCCACAAAAGGCAGATGAACAGCTAAAACAATCATGTAAGAGTTTTTATAGAATTTATACTTTGAAACAGCTGCTGTTACAGTTAATACTCATCAGAAAACAAAGAATGCAAAATTGAAATGTATTTGTTCTAAAATAAGTATATAAATTTACCGTATTTTAAATACTTTGGACTGATTATAGCTAACTTTTGAACATTTATTGAATAGATTAAATGTTGTAGAATCTTTACAACAGCTCTGTGAAGGAAATAATTATTCTTATTTTGGAGTTGGAAAAATAGGCTCAGAAAAAGTAAGTAACTTTCTTAAAGTCTGCCAAACTAGTAACAACAGAACTAGAATATGAAGCCATGTATGTGTTAATTTGTATATTTATAATGCTTGATTTCGTGGAAATGTTTCTTTAAGGCATTTTGGCTATTGTCATATAGTTTATAGCTTCCTGAAGATAATTTGCCTTATTCTTGTGTCCAAAAAAAGTCAAATAATTGTTTTCTTTGTGTTTTTCTAGTGTGTAAAGTTTCACAGAATAGTTTTCCTAGTTGTTCATATAGTCTAGAGGGTAATAATGTTACACTGCAGTTATGGCCCACATTTGTACCACAGATTGTTATTTATGTTAACAGCAACTTTTTATTTTTCTTTGAAGTCTGATTTATACGTTTCTCTTAATGTATCAGTGAAGTTGTTTTTTATTTGCCTTCTTAATTATTGGTCTTTCAAATCTTTTTAAAAATTATATACTCTAGGCATACCAAGATCATTTGATTTTATACTTGGAAAGTAAAATTTCTTAGTATTTCCTTGAAGAACTTTTAGGATGTCATTTCCTCCTTTCCTCAAATATTTATCTTTCTTTCCCTTCAATTTTTTCTAGTATCAGAAATGGAAGAAACTATGCTGTCTGTCCTAAGGCCAGCACAGAAAACAGCAGACAGAGTTGTTTCTTCACCCTTGACCTCTTCACGCCCTCCTGTGGATCCTTCAGAACTGCCACCAGATAAACTACATGTGGAAATGGAACTTTCCCCAGATTCTCAGATAACACTCTATGGACCTCTGCTAAATGCATTTCTCTGTATAAAGGTATGCTTTTTAAAGGAACATACATTTTTCCATGGAGGCAGCTGACACATTTGAAATTGCCAGTTGTATAACTTAAATTTTTGAGGATACATTAAATGATGCTTACTGGATGTGCACCCCAGAATCAGTTACAGCAGTACTTACCACTTAGTAAAATGCAGTCAACAACTTTAACTTCTAGCATTCTAGGAAGGGTGCTAGTTACAGATAAAGATAATTCAGGGTCTGTTTTCCAGAAAGTTAGAGCAATAGCTAAAGGAACAGGCTGATTTATGGACAAATTTTGACACATAATGCAGCAACAAAAGCATTGCTTGTTATCTGGCAGTAGTTACTACTAGGAAAATTCTCATTTCATGTGTGTCCACCGAAACATGACAACACTTCATGATGGAAAATGAGCCAAGATTTGATTTGAGCTTTATCTTAGAGAAACAGTTATATTAAAATAAGTTTAGAAAAATAAAATAAAATAAATTTAGATCAGAATATGCCAAATTTCAGTTCTGAATAAATGTGTACTACATCTTAGAACAAAAAATGAATTTATGTTGATTCCTTTGGGAACAATTTTTCCACTGAAATTGTGTGATGGCATAGTTTGATGACACTGAAAGTTGATGTCTGTACCATGATTTTGAAGACAGGCTATTTTTGGAAAAATATTTGAGGATTTCATCAGTTTTCTAGAGATCATGATCATTCTTTTTATATCTGATTATACTGATTATACTTGTAAGAAGTTTCTTACCAGTAATCAACATCTTACTCATTTACTACTTCTTTCTCATAACGTTTTTAAACCTTGCTTATCTCTGATAGCTCAGCCTATGATGATAGCAGTGTTCCAGGACCAATTAACATTATTTTCATGAAGTTTTGCATTTTTCTCAGGACTTTGAAAGGTTACTTTACCTTTGGTTTTTATTACAATGTTGGATGTAAAGTATGTCTACTAATCAAAGATTTTTTTTCTCATCATGAACAAGAGAGTTACTTGTAGGAGTGATATTTGTGTAGCTTTAATTTTACACTGCATGCTTATTTGCTTTCTTTTGCATTTACTTAGCTGCAGAGATTTGGATATTAAAAATGTAGGTAACAGAATTCTATAATCCACAGTGGTAGGAGTGATTAATTCTGGAGAGGGACTAGGGTTTGTCAGGGAGAGCCAGTCAAGATCTTTAGTGAAGGTTTTTTTTTTGGAGAAAGGACTGGCTTAGGAGAATTTTGAACATACATAAAAATCTAAGTATTTGACTCGTTATATTGTATTTGCTAAAAACTCTTGTAAGCATTAATTTATCTTAAAGTAAGATGCTATTACTATTTGTAAAAACCCAAGATTTTTATTAGTTACTTTTTCTCCCTTAGCATCTTTATTTTTATTTACTTATTCATTAATAATTATTTTTGCAGTTCTAAGGATTGAATGCTGAATTGTTAGGCAGTCACTCGGTCAGTTAGGCCACATTCCCAGTCCTTAGGTTTTTAGTTTGTTTTTCAGAGAGGATCTTGCACTTTGCCTTCTGAGCTGCTGGGACCACTTCATGCACCATTGTATTTTCCTAGATTTGTTTGCATATTATGTTCTTTTATGCCACATATACATCACTTGTGTGCAGACAGCAAGTTTTTTTCACTTATTGAAGAGTCTGCCTTTGCTCCAATGTATGTTTGCGCTCCTTTGTCAAAGATTAGATGGCTGTAACAATGTTATTTTTATTTCTTAGTCTTCTATTTTGCTCCATTGATCTTTATGTCTGCTTTTGTTACTATGTAATAATTTCTGATGCAAAAGAATTCAAAATATTAATAATTGAAACATTTTGATACTAAAAAAGTGAATGAAATATGTGAAAAAATATAGCTGTTGATAACACATGCTATTATCTGATCAAACTTGGGTAGTTTTAGTAAAGCTGTTAGAACATTCCTTATAAATATTCCAACTGTAATATATAAATTATAACATGTAGCTAATTGGATTTACACAAATTGATTTTCAGTGACTGAATCTTCTTTCCTTAATGGGTGACCCTGGGGAGTGCTTCAGAACTCAGAAGCAAAAATTGAAAACTGTTAAGCCATGCAAATATTCAGAGTTCTCCTTGATGATCTAAATGATAAGTTTTTGCTATCGTTGGGGTGGTGTCATGAAGCTTTACTATAAATCTTTGTGATCGCTTGCCTTTTTTTTTTTTTTTTTGGGTCCGGTCGTGGGGCCTGAACTCTGGGCCTGGGCGCTGTCCCTCAGCTCTTCAGCTCAAGGCTAGCGCTCTACCACTTGAGCCACAGCGCCACTTCCGGCTTTTTTCTTTTTGCTTATGTGGTGCTGAGGAATCGAACCCAGGGCCTCAGGCTTGCAAGGCAAGCGCTCTACCACTGAGCCACCTTCTCAGCCCCGATCGCTTGCCTTTTTGCTATAGAAGATGTATACTAAGATAAATATATATATTTTGATACATTGTGAAAATAGTCCTGGTGCTTTTAATTAATAGTAGAGTAGAGGCATGTGTTACATACAAATTTAGGGCTCATGAGTGAACGGTATTGCAAATCTCTTGTAATGGCAGCTTGGCTTTTCTTAATATTCTAGGAAAACTACTTTGGGGAAGATGACATGTATATGGACTTTGAGGAAGTTGTTTCAAGCCCTGTTCTCTCATTATCAACCTCATCCAGCTCTGGATGGACTGCTGTTGGGATGGAAAATGACAAAAGGGAAAATGAAAGTTCAGCCAAGTCAATTCATCCTCTCACTTTGCGTCCTTGGGATATCACTGTCCTTGTTAATTTGTACAAAGTTCATGGGCGTCTTCCTGTTGTAAGTGCTTATGTATCAAAATGGTCTGTAGTATATAATGATACCTATTTAGAATGGTAAATTCTCTGTGTATGTGTGCTTTGGTACAGGGTACACATGTACACAAAAAAAGATAAAAAAATTTTTTGAATTTATCTCTAACTGTATAAAGCTAGCTTCCTGTTCTGTGTAACTTTAGCACATTTAGTCGTGATATAGAGTTTTGTTATGATGATATTCTAGGACTTTGCATTTTGAGGCTCTAGACTAGTTTGGACCATTATGATGAGCCTATTGTAAAAATCAAATTTTGGGCTCGGCCTAGAAGTTGAGTTGTGTCTCAGGTTTGGATCTAGCATGGGTTCCTCGTTTACTCTAAAGATGACCCCTGGCCATGTTGAGGCTGACCTGGACTGCAGTCATGCCTGTAGAACATGGGGACTTTGGATTAGGAATAGTGAGGAAGAGGAGGTAAACCCTGGAACATTACTTATGTTGTGTACCAGGGTCTATATCAGGAACCAGTACTGCATAAACGAGGTCACTCACCTCTGTTGCTTAGTGTCCTTACTAAGGTGCAAAGTAATCAATTTTGTCAGTATGCATTGTTACTCCTTTTGAAAATCAAATTCTTCTAATCACAATAAATAAAATTTTTATTTTCCTTCAAGTTCTCACCATTGACTTTATTTTTTGTGTGTCTGTAGCATGGAACTACTGATGGTCCTGAGTGTCCCACAGCTTTCTTGGAAAGACTATGTTTTGAAATGAAAAAGGGGTTCAGAGAGACCATGTTGCAACTTGTCCTGTCACCTCTGAATGTGTTTGTCAGTGATAACTATCAGGTAATAAAACTAAGATTTGGTAAAGACATAGAGATTGATTATATGTCTAAGTAATGTATTTTCTCTTTGTGAAATATATGATTTCTTTTAAAATTATAGTCTTAATTCAGTTTTGTGTCTATGCATATCTGAAAATTATTTAGAGTCCTATTGTATTCCTATATTGCTCCCTGTTTATATGATCCTAAATTACACTTAACCTATATTGTCTTTAAAACATTTTTTTATTGTAAAGGTGATGTAGAGAAGGGTTACAGTTATATAAGTAAGGTAATGAGTACATTTCTTTTTGAGCAGTGTTACCCCTTCCCTCATTTTCTCTGCTTTTCCCTCCCCCCACTCCCTGCCCTCCTGCCCCAAGTTGTAAAGTTCTTTTCCAACATAATGTCTAATGAGTATTGCAGTTGCATTGGTTCACCCCTTATTCCACTGTTTCTGTGATTCCCCTACCCTTCCCCAAATCAGATAAACTTATATATAAGACCAAGGGTACTAGAATCGGAAACAGTGACCACAGGGAATAAACCAGAAGAGAAAAAAAAAAAGACAAAAGAAATAGCTGCAAACAGTACACTTGAAAAAAAGAAAAGAAAAACAAACAACTACACACACAAAAAACCAGACCTCTTGTTTCTATATCGTGGACATCATTTCAATTAGCATTATTTTATGTGGTCACATGTACAGAGCTTTTGGGAACCTCTGCTAGGGCAATCCTAGGCATACACCAAATATTGCAAATAGGGAAACCATGGAGCCTATGTTTCTTTGGGTCTGGCTTACTTCAGTTAGTATGATTTTTTTTCCCAAGTCTTTTTGTTTCCATATGAATTGGGGCAGTGTCATTCTTTCGGTTGGAAACAGAATTCCGTTGTGTATATATATCACATTTTCTTGACCCACTCATCTACTGAGGGGCATCTGGGTTTATTCCATAGCTTAGCTATGGTAAATAATGCTGTAGGTGAACATAGTTGTGCTGGTAGCTTTAGTGTGGCCTTGTTTGTGATCATTTGGGTAAATGCCCAGAAGGAGAGGTAGAGTGAAAATACCTATCTATGATTGTGAACCTCTAAAGTCTGTGCAACTTCTGCGCTCTGGGTTGGTTCTTGTATATTGTCTTTAGAAATGGAAAGAAATGCGTTGTGAATGTATACATACATATACATGTGTATATGAATATATGCATACATATATACATATGTGTGGAGAGTGTTGTTTTTTCCAAGACATGTGTACATAATTTAAGTTCATTATATCTTGGCCCTCCATAGAGTAACTGTAGTACCCTAGCACTTAACTTTTAATGTTGTCTTGTATTTATAGAAGGGGGAAATTAACTCATATATCTACTACAAAAATGTAAAACATGGATATATTCAATCAATGATTTATTCTTATTCACTTAACATAGTTACAATACGCTTAACAGATTCCTTTATTGTATGCTTGGGAGTCAGTGATATTAATCAAATGAGAATTTACTATATTCCTTGATATCACTTCATTATTTGTTAACTGCTAAATAGCTTCTCTTGGTACCTACTGCTGCCTTACAAGCTTTTCCTACTTAGTCACATAAAAAATATAAAAGTGGATTTTAATACAAGGCAAAGTAATGCTATAAATGAGAAGACAGTCAAATTCATTAGTACATGATCATTTTCATGGATTACACATAATAACATTTAGTTTTATGTCATGTAAATCACTTAAAATAATATATCACCATTTTGTCATAGCTGGTTATATTTTCTTTGTAGAGTTATTTTGCTTTTGTATTTATATATTTGACATAGCTGAAATTATAATATATAAGATAATTGTAAAGTAGGTTCTGTTTTTTTCTCCACAAAATGTTTAAATTTTTTTTTTTTTTTTTGGTCAGTCATGGAGCTTGAACTCTGGGCCTGGGCGCTGTCCCTCAGCTCTTCAGCTCAAGGCGAGTGCTCTACCTAGCTTGAGCCACAGCGCCACTTCCGGTTTTCTTGTGGTTTATTGGAAATAAGAGTCTCACGGTCTTTCCTGCCCGGGCTGGCTTCGAACTGCAATCCTCAGATCTTAGCCTCCTCAGTAACTAGGAGTACAGGCGTGAGCCACCGGCTCCCGGCTTAAAATTCTTTTATTTTAAAATAATTATAAATTCAAGAAGTTACTTTATAAACAAGTTTAGCCCTTACCTTTAGAGAGAATTTGTCCTTAAAGAGTGTATTTCTGCAAACCTCTGTTGAAAATTAGGAATGTTAACCCTGTAAGATGGCTTGGAACATGGTTCTAAAATTAGCTTGGTAAATACCTATGAACTGATAAATTATACAAGGGGGAGGCGGGTAGGAAAAACTGGGAGAGAGAGTTGGAAGGGGTGATACTGTTCAAAAAGAAATGTACCCATTATCTGACTTATGTAACTGTAACCTGTCTGTATATTACTTTTGCAATAACAATTTTAAAAAAAAATAAAATGAAAAAATAAAAATAAAAAATAAAATGAAGAAAAGGGAAATAGATATAAATTTTCTCAATGTATCCTGGAATATTAAGAGGGTCTGAGAATACTTACAGTGAAGAAATCTGTCTAGTCTGTCAGTACTTACTATTTGTGGTTACATTAATTAATGTGAGGTTCTTGCTGAGCAGGACAGGAATTGCCCTAATGAATTTGGTAGAAGAGCCAAATTGGGAAAAATATTAAAGTAAAATAAATAATTTAAACGCCAAAAGTGCTATAAGGAGAGGTGTTGCAGTGCCTTCATAGCACATCATGATCTGGAGACAAAAGCTGCATTTGATTTCGAAATGTCTGTGGTTATTGGTAGAGTTTAGGACAGAAAAAAAGAGAGTGAGTGCTGAGGGGCCTTTCAAAGGTCCTGGCAAGAGGGTGTTATTTGGACAAAGATGATAGTGAAGAAGGAAGAAGTCAGATAGAGCATTTGTGGCTGAGATTGCTGATAGATGAGTAGGGTATTTCTTTTTTTGTTTTTCCTCTCTATTTCTCTATTTCCTTCCTTCTCTTCCTTGTTCCCTGCCTTCCTCCATGACTCTCCTCTTTTTTTAGTAGTACTCAGTTTTGGGATTTGAATCACTTGAGCCTACTCCTAGCCTCCTTTTGCTTTTAGTTATTTTTCAGATAGACTCTTGCACTTTTCACCCAGGGCTAGTCTTAGATTATGACCTTACTGCCTTTTGTACTACACTTGGCTTGTTCTTTGAGATAGGGTCTTGCTAACAAATATATTTATCCCAGGCTGATCTAGAAGTGTGATCCTCCTATCTCTGTTTCCCAGGTAGCTGGGATTCAGGCATATGCCATGATGTCTGGCCTCTGTATTCTTTTTGTTTTTTAAGCATTTTTTTGTAAAGATACTATACAGAGGGGTTACAGTTACCTGAGTAAGGTAATGAGTACATTTCCTATCCAGCATTGTTATCCCTTCCTTTGTTTTTCCCCTACCATCCCTTCCCTTCCCACCTCCTCAACTCCTCCCTCCTCCCCGGAAGTTGTAAAAGTTCATTTTCAACATAGTGTCTAGTACATCTCGTCGTTACAATAGGTCAACCTGTATCCTTATTTCAACATTTTGTTATTTCCCTTCTCCTTCCCAAATTAGAATGTATATACAAGATACAGGGCACTGGACTCAAATACAGTGAAAACAGGAGTTATACCATGGTGGAAGAACATAGAAAAGAAACAAAACCTCTTGTGTCCCTATCTTGGGGTTCCTTTCACTTAACATCATCTTATATGGTCATATGTACATAGCTTTTGACCTTTTCTGCTTGTCTGGTAAGATTATCCTAGACATATAGTAGTTATTGCAAATAAGGGAAACCATGGAACCTATGTTTCTTTGGGTCTGGCTTACTTCACTTAATATAATTTTTCCAAGTCTTTCCATTTCCTACCAAATGGGGTGGTGTCATTCTTTCTGATGGAAGCATAGAATTCATATATATCACATTTTCTTGATCCATTCATCTACTGAGGGACATCTGGGTTGGTCATCTGGGTTGGTTCCATATCTTAGGAATGGTGAATAATGCTGCAATAAACAGTTGTGCTGGTAGCCTTAGGGTGGCCTTGTTGTGATTGTTTGGGTAATTGTGCAAAAGTGGGATTACTGGGTGATAGGGGAGCTCTATGATTAGTCTTTTGAGGAACCTCTATACTGCTTTCCAAAGTGGTTGAATAATTTACACTTCCACCAACAATGCAGTAGGACTCCCTTTTTGACCTCTGAATTCTTAAGTGTTCTATGGAACTAGTGTTTCATTAAATAGCTTTTGTTGTTGTTGTTGTTGTTGTTGGTCGTGGGGCCTGAATTCTGGGCCTGGGCACTGTCCCTTAGCTCTTCAGCTAAAGGCTAGTGCTCTACCACTTGAGCCACAGCGCCACTTCCAGCTTTTTTCTTTTTGCTTATGTGGTGCTGAGGAATCGAACCCAGGGCCTCATGCATGCAAGGCAAGCACTTGAGCCACCTTCCCAGCCCTTCCACTGACTTCTTATATTCCCTGGCCAAGTACTATTTTCTCTATTCATAGAGGCAGCTATACTGGCCAGTGATATGTAGATTTTGGACTCAGCAGTCATTCTCTGTAGGTGGGCAGTCATAAAAAAGGTGTTGCAATAGGAGAAGTCTTATTTTTCAGATAGTTAATTTGGTCAATCATCTCTGCAGGGATAAAGTATTTAGAGATTACAATGTGTTTTCTTGCACTTCTTTATATTTTCTCAGCAGCGCCCCCCTGTGGATGAAGTACTCAGGGAAGGTCACATCACTTTGTCTGGTCTGCAGCTGAGAGCACATGCTATGTTCTCAGCAGAAGGTCTTCCTTTAGGAAGTGATTCCTTAGAATACGCATGGCTAATTGATGTTCAGGCTGGCAGCCTTACAGCTAAGATCACAGCACCACAGGTGAGAATATCTATAAGAGATGTAGTCTCTTTCCTTTCCTTATCACTTTCCCAAGAATGACTTATATGACAGGCTCAGTGCTCACTAAGGACACTGTAAGGCTATTCTTGCCATTCGTACCTTAACAATAGATGAGTTACTGATAAATTATGTAGTTACACATAATTCAAGAATTTGAGACTTTCTTTGGGAAAGACTCAGGATTAAAAGCACTCTAGAAATTTATCATTAAAGTATATTGAGATATGTGGATATATATTATACATACATAATATATAAAATAAAATTTTAGTTGTCTGGAGGCAACTGTGGAAAAACTGTTGACACTATCTTTTTTTCTTAGTATATGGAATATTTTTCTAAGGGCTTTGCTTTCTTTTATATTTAAGTAAGATTTTGAAAATTGTCCTTATGATGTTAAGGAATAGGGCAGCATCATGTTTGCTATATCCCCAAGCAAGGTAATATAATTTATACCTATTATTAATAATGAATACTAGCTCTAAAAAATAAAAACAAATATTCCAGTAAATACATCTTAATGCTAGGTGTAACCCTTGGACTTAAATCTATTCCTACTCCCATCTAACTTAAGGTCCAGAGGCCTTAAAGATTTTGAAGCTATAGAAATAGACAATTACAATTTAGTTGAATAACCATAGTACTGTCATAGTTTACCTGTCAAGTCATGTATTTGGATAATATGAACGCTTGTCTTAGCATATCAGAAGACAAGAAAGGTTGGTACAAATGTATATACTCAATATCAACTAAAATTGAGAATGTACCTGGAATGTGTCTGAAACATACTCTGTACTTAGGGGTAGGTGGCAGCAGTAAGAAGGTACACACAGGATCTAGGAACCACTTTATATTGGATGGAAGTTGTCAGAACGCAGTAAAAATATTCTAGGAATATTCTAAATGCATTGAATTAGGAAGGGCTATTTTGGAGTTAAATGCTATCTCAGTATATTAGGAGATAAAAATAAGTGAAAAGAAATGTGTAATGGAATGTATAAAAATAGGTGAAAATAAATATTCAGTACCTTCTGAATATATCTTACAACTGCCTTCTCCTTACTTCTCCCACTTCTTATCCTGAAGTAAATGAATCAAAACAGAAGAATATACAAAGCAGTATGTTTTCTAACGAGACTAATCTACATGCTGGACACAACCTTTTGTTCTGAGGACTGGAAGAGTCTGATATTTATGAATTGATGTATTCTTAAGATGACTTACTTCCTTTGTGCATCACAATCTTGCTGTCACTCTTACCTACATACTTATGTATTGACAGATACCTTAGCCTCTTCTTCATATGTTTTAAATGTAAATTTCATGTTGCCTAATAGTTGAAATGACATGCTTCTTTGGGGGGACAATGTCATGTGTACACATCTCCCATGTGAAACTTCATTATTAGATAGTTATGGATGCCTTTCTGTGCTAGAATTTCAATTAGCTATATAAGAAAGATGGTATTACTTGGCAGAGAAGGAAGAGGGTGAGTATTTTCTTTACAAGTCGCTAAAGTGGAATATGTTTAATTGAAAAAAGTTTTCATTTTGCTGACACTTTGTCATTCACAAATGAAGAGTATCCCAAGCCTATAAATGATGTCAAGGTAGAAAAATAGAGGCTAACAAATAGATTATGAAGTGGCAGATGGAAGATAGTATTTGGTGTCTTTCATGTGAATATTGCTGATGAGGTTTTGACTCTAGCTTTAGTGCTAACATGTTGTCATCCTGTCCTGATTTATCTGCAGCTGGCATGTCTCTTGGAGTGGGGGCAGACATTCGCTTCTCATGTGGTATGTCGGGAATACGAACTGGAAAGACCAAAGTCTGTAATAATATGTCAGCATGGCATTGATCGTCGGTTCTGTGAATCTAAGGTATATTAGAAGATAGATTAGCAATGTCATAAAGATTGATGACTCTTTTTACAACCTGAAAGGTTGAGATTCAGCTTTATATTGCTACGAAATAAATATCATAGTTCAGTGCTTTTCAATTAATTATTCTGTAAATTCCTAGCCAGTTGATTCTAAAAGAATGAGATAATTATGAAAACATATATATATTCACACCAAGAGATGTAAAAATTATGTCTCATCTCTCATGTATTTGGCTGTCCAGATTACTGTTTTCATTACATTATTAACTTTTTGAAATATGACTGTAGAAGTATTTCAAAGTTTAAGCCAGTGGAAGGCTACATTATATACAGGATATGCTTTGCAGCCCATCCTGAAGCTGGTTAGTTTCCTCCGGTGGAATTCTTACTGTTGAGCATTTGTCAAGTCTGTTACATCTGTTTGCTCTCAAGAGCACTGAGCCACCTTCACTCAGGAATAGGATCAGAAACGGTAGGCTACAGTCCCTAAAAACCATACACGGTGACTAGTGAAATGTGTGGTTTTATTGCACAGAATTCTTTTTTTAGGAATTTGGAGGAGGGGGCAGTTTTCCCTTGAAGTTGGAATTAGGCTCATTTCAGAAAATCTGGAAAACATGGTGGTTCAAAAAAGGAGTATAATGTACATAACATTATTAACAATGTTGTTTTCCTTTCTAGTTCTTCCTAGTAGGTGTCATTGCTTATTTCTGTTACATTATTGTGAATTGAAGATAATTCATTGTAACTAGGTGCTGGTGGCTCACGCTTGTAATCCTAGCTACTTAGGAGTCTGAGATCTGAGGATCATGGTTCAAAGCCAACCCTGTCAGGAAAGTCTGTGAGACTTTTATCTCCAATTAACTACCAGAAAACTGGAAGTGATCCTGTGGCTCAAGTGGCAGAGTGCTAGCCTTGCTGAAGAGCTGAGGAACAGTGCCCAGGTCCAGAATTCAAGCCCCATGACCGATAACTACTACTACTACTACTACTACTACTAATTTATTCTGTTTTTAGCTTACTTCCTTGACAATAAAGGAAACAATTCAAAATATTGATAGAATTATTATTTATAATTATTAAACATATTGCCGCCCAACAGAGAATTGATTCCTCTTTCCCATGTCAGGCAATTACTTTCTTATGAGTAACCCACCCCTACCTTTAAGGTGCCTTTCCCTCTTTAAAAAAAAAAATCCTCAAGGGTCTGGGAAGGTGGCTCAGTGGTAGAGTGCTTGCCTTGCATGCCTGAGGCCCTGGGTTTGATTCCTCAGTACCACATAAGCAGAAAAAAAAAAGCCAGAAGTGGCATTGTGGCTCAAGCAGTAGAGCGCTAGCCTTGAGCTGAAGAGCTGAGGGACAGCGCCCAGGCCCAGAGTTCTGGCCCGAAGACCGGACCCCCCCAAAAAAAATCCTCAAAACTTTCATGTTGCATTACCAAAATTTTTAATAGTCAAGTTGATTTAAACATTTTATACACACCCTTTCTAAGCTGTAAAGTTTGCTGTTTAACAAGTGTTATGTACGTGTTTAGCCTTTAAGCCTTTAATAGTGAAGATTTAGAATCTTTGTATAACTTGAAAGATTTCTTGGTTGTTTTTCTTTTTTTCTCTTTTTTTTAAAGAGAAGAGCCCTTATCTCCCCACAATCATTGGCCTGAGTTTCATTACTCAAATTAGTTTGTTAGTTCTGTCCTTCTCTCTCTTCCCCTCCACACTCCCCATGCCATGGAGAGTATTTGTCAATATAGAGTACTGACTACTTGAAGGGCTGTTTATAGTCCTGGTTTAGCATCAGGGAGCTATTCTTTTCATACTACTAAGCTACCTACTTTATTCAGAAATTCATTGAATTGAGTGATGTGTATATTTTCCGCCAATCAGAATATTAACATATATTAACAAATACTTTAGAAGAAAGTGCAATTCAATTTCTGTGTATTAACCTATGTCATCATAATATTTACAGTTGATATGTATGCAAGTAAGTGTGAAATAAAATGCACATGTGTGTTTTCATAAAGAAATCTTTTGCCTCTGAAAGCTTATATAATTCTTTTTAACCTTGTAATTCTGTTTGTCTGTTTACTTTGTTCTTTTTTAGTTTAAGTTATAAATCATAGGCATATTATATCTGTTAGATTTGCCATTGTCCTTTTTGAATAAAGTTGACAAATTGTTAATTAGGTCTAGTTTTCTAACTGGTAATGCTTTGATTACTGATGCTTTCATTTATCATTATAAAAGAATGAACTTTTGATTTTTTTCTTTGTGTGCCACTCCTGGGGTTTGATTTCAGGGCCTGGGTATCTTGAGCTTTTTTGCCCAGGCTAAGTGTTTTATCACTTGAATCACAGCTCTACTTCCTGCCTTTTGGTAGTTGGAGATGAATCTCATAGAATTTCCAACCTAGGCTGGCTTTGAACCAGAACTCTCAGATCTAAGCCTCTGCATGCCCGATGCCCAGCCTGACTTTTTTTTTTTGTTGTTGTTGTTGTTGGTTGTGGGGTCTTAACCCTGGGCCTGTGCACTGTCCCTCAGCTCTTCAGCTCAAGGCTAGCGCTCTACCACTTGAGCCACAGAGCCACTTGCGGCTTTTTCTGTTTATGTGGTACTGAGGATTGAACCCAGGGCCTCATGCATGTGAGACAAGCACTCTACCACTAAGCCACCTTTCTAGCCCCTTTGACTGATTTTTTTAAAACATGTACATGTAAACAGAGTTTTATGTGTTTATTTAAATAAGGCAGTTTACTTGATGTCCATGTAGTAAATTGATGGTGGTAAATTAATTGCACACTTCTTATTTTAGTTGAGCTGCATTCCTGGGCCTTGTCCAACTTCAGATGATTTGAAGTATACTATGACTCGTTTAGCAGTGGATGGAGCTGATATTTACATTGTGGAGCATGGTTGTGCTACAAATATAAAGGTGAACATTTGTCAACTTCTCTGTCAATCTAATTCTTTTTCATTTTACTAAACCAAGTCTCCTGTCTTGACATGCAGCATACATTTATAGTTTGTCATTTTCGAGACTACCAGGAGATTTCGGAAGATAAAGTTTCCAGTATTTTACCAATCATGCCCTCTTCTAGCATTAAGTTTTCCCAGCACCTTTATTCTGATTGGATTACTGTGACATTGCCTTATGCCGGTGTAGAAAGTAGCAGACTGCCTTTCAGGCAATGGTATTTTAAAAGGTTTTGTTTTGAATATCTTATGAGATTTTTGTTTGTTTTTATTTTTATTTTTTGATGGTACTAGGAATTGAATTTAGGGCTTCATGGCTGCTAGGCCAGTGCTCTACTTGAGCAACATCCCCAGTCTTATTCTTTTTTTTTTTTTTTTTTAGTCTGTTTTTCAGATAGGCTTTTCCCTAGGATCCTTATACTATAGTTCTCCAAAGTAGCTGGGATTCATTGACAGCCATCACCCCTCCCACTTGCTTTTGAGCTAGGTCTTAACAACCCTTTGGCTGATCTGATTCAAACTATGTCTCAGTCTCTTTTAAGAGTGGGGATTACAGGCATAAATCATGTGTCTGACATGTATCTTTAGTTTTTTTTTTTTGTTGTTGTTGTTGTTTTGTCGGTCTGGGGCTTAAACTCTGGGCCTGAGTGCTGTCCCTACGCTCTTCAGCTCAAGGAGAACACTCTACCATTTGAGCCACAGCGCCACTTCTGGTTTTCTAATGGCTTATTGGAGATAAGAGTCTCACGGACTTTTCTGCCCAGGCTGGCTTTGAACCGTGATCCTCAGAACTCAGCCTCCTGAATAGCTAGGATTATAGGAGTGAGCCCCCATTGCCTGGCAACTTTAAGTTTTATATACTTAAATTTCCTGCTTGGAAATATAAACATTTGTTTATCACTTCTGCTTTATAAATTCTGGTTCAAATTAAGCTTTATCAGGTTTTGTTGTTTTTGATTACTTAACACCCAGCTAATTTTTCTCCTTATATTGTTTTTCTTTGAATTTATACTTCTTTAAAAAAATTCCACATTTCTTCTATTATTGCATTTACCTTTTGGATTTTTTTGTTTCCCTTTTCAAATGTTTTCCTTTTTTCTTAACCCATTTCTTGTTTCTTTCTATTCTATTTTCTTCCACCTGCCTTCCACTGTGTGAAATGGTTACCTATTTTGCAGTTTCTCCCACACTACTTAAAATTATTGAACAATTTTAATTTCTTCCTTCTACTTAAGATGGGTGCAGTTCGGATTGCAAACTGTAATCTCCACAATCAAACAGTTGGGGAAGGAATAAGTGCTGCTATTCAGGATTTCCAAGTGAGACAGTTCATTGAACAATTAAATAACTGCCGAGTGGGACTTCAGCCCGCTGTGCTGCGGAGGGCCTACTGGCTTGAAGCCGGGTCAGCCAATTTAGGACTTATTACTGTTGATATTGCACTAGCCGCAGTCCATCATTCTACACATGAAGCACAAAGACATTTCCTGGAAACCCATGATGCCAGAACTAAGAGGTGGGTGACAAATTTAACAATTGTAGTAGACTCAGATTCAGATGAAAATTCCTATATCGTTGTAGAAGAAATTCTGCGTTTAGGAATGGAGTAAGAACATGAAGGACCTGATTCTTTTTTTTTTTTTTGGTTGGTTGTGGGGCCTAAACTCTGGGCCTGGGCACTGTCCCTCAGCTAGCGCTCTACCATTTGAGCCACAGCACCACTTCCCCTGATTCTCAATTGAATTAAATACCTAATATTTCATCTCTAGTGATTGTACAGTTGCTGGAAATAACATTTTTTGAATGTTTTCCAGCATTTACTTCGCTAATATAAAGCTTGAATCCATCTTGATTTTATGTTTTTATTTTTTGAAGTAATCTAAAGGAAGAGATTTAGAGATTTTTCTACAAATACCTATTAAGATGCAAAAAGCATTCATTCTTAATACATTTTTATGTATTTTTCCATTTTACAAAATTTTAGTTTTCACTCATTAATTTCTCCAAATAATTTGAAGACTTCTTTTTTAGTTAAAAAAATCTACTAACATTCATTTTTATTGACTTTTCATTAAATTTTTAAATTGTTATAAGAAAACATCTTATAAAAATGGGCCTGGGAAGATGGCTCAGTGGTAGAGTGCTTGTTTTGCATGCATGAGGCCCTGGGTTCCATTCCTCAGCACCACATAAGCAGAAAAAGCCTAAAATGGCTCTGTGGCCCAAGTGGTAGAGCACTAGCCTTGAGCTAAAGAGCTGAGGGACAATGCCCAGGACCAGAGTTTAGGCCCCACGACTGACAAAAAACAAAACCAAAAAGCACCTGACTATGGAAATACATGTATGGTGAACGTTTTTATGAGAACATGCATTTTGCAAGATACTAGTGGCTTGTTCATGATTGGTGCCCTACTACTTGAGTTATACCTTCAGTCTGACGTTCTGCTGGTTAATTGGAGATGGACACTTAAGAGACTTTTCTGATCTGGGTGGCTTCAAAGTGTGATCCTCCAGGTCTTAGTCTCTTCATTAGCTAGGATTGCTGACTTGACCCAGTAGTACCTGGCTTAAAGTACTGGGTTTGACCCAATGGAGAAACAAATTTTTAAAAAGCTTGGGTTTCTTTATTAATTATTGTTTGTCTGCAGTTAGGTGAAGTGGCAGGACAAAAAGTTGCTGATGAAGTGAAGGAGCTCTTGGTAACTGAGGTTGTCTCAAATGGTTCATTTAGGTTGATTGCAATGTTCTACTTTGCCAACAGTTTTGCAGAATCTAGGATTTTACTCTGTTCAAAACCTAACATATTGGCCTAAAGTTTAATAAAAAATTTTAAATAGAAATTTTTAAATACTTTTGAGAATGTTAGCTATTTTTTAAAAACTGGATTTCAAGGTCTTATTTTTTTTTATATTTTTATGGTACTGGTTATTAAATCCAGAACATTGCATATGCTAGGTAAGGTTTTTACCTTTCTAGCTCTTTACTTTTTTTTTTTTTTTTTGAGACAAAGTCTTACTATCTAGGTTAGCCTGGCTTCAAACTCCCTATCCTCTTGCCTTTGCATCCATTGTGTTGGGTTTACAGGTGTATACCATACTCTAGGCTTGATTTTAGTATTTGCTTCTTTTTTCATGCTTTTTTTTTTTTTTGTGAGTTGTGGGGCTTGAACTCTGGGCTTGGGCCTTGTCTCTCAGCTCTTCTGCTCAAGGCTACCACTCTACCGCTTGAGCCACAGGGCCACTTTTGGTTTTCGAGTGGTTTATTGGAGATAAGAGTCTCACGGACTTTCCTGTCTAGACTGGCTTTGAACCGTGATCCTCAGATCTCAGCCTCCTGAGTAGCTAGGATTACAGGCGTGAGCTACCAGCACCCGGCTCATGCTGTGGTTTTTATGTGTACTATCTCTCACTTGACTTTGTAAGACTTTCTTAGAAAGTAACATGATTAAAAAGATAAACCACAACATAAATGTCTTTTATGTTCATTTTTGGTTTAAAATACATTAACAATAAACTTGTATTTATTTATCTGCCAAAAGTTTTTTTTTTATTTCTCAATGAATTTTCTTTTCTGTTGTTGTTTTTGTCTCTTTTGTTTTGAATTTTGTGTAGGTTGTGGTTTTTGTGGCCAGATGACACCCTGAAGAATAAGAGATGCAGAAACAAATGTGGTTGTCTGGGTGGCTGCAGGTTCTTTGGTGGCACAGTAACTGGCTTAGATTTCTTCAAACTTGAAGAGTTGACACCTTCTAGTAGCTCAGCGTTTTCAAGCACAAGTGCAGAGTTTGATATGTATTATGGACAATCTTTGCTACAGCCTGGAGAGTGGATTATTACTAAAGAAATCCCTAAAGTAGTAGATGGTAATACATTATGTTGTTTATGTCTTATGGTAACTTTCAGTTGTTTTTTATCCATGTGCCATTCTGAGAGAAGTTCAGTGTTGTTTTGACCTATTTAATTAACTTTTGAATAATGTCTTAGGTAAGATTTAGTATAAGCCACACTTATTTTGTAGGTAACAACTAAAGCCAGATAAGGCTAGTAGTCTCTTTTGGAATCTTGGAGGGACAAATCTCATGTTGTTGATAATAGGTGGCTTTTCCTGAAAAGCTGGTCCTAAATATTGTCTTAGATGTCATCATTTCCCTGTACCACAGCTTCTAGAGATACACTTAGGAGTAGTTGTGTCTCTCCTCTGTTTTACCATCTTTTATGGGAAAACTTAGCAGTAATAATATTTATATTATTGGCCCCAAGTTACCAACTACTTTTGCAAGACTTTTTTTAAAACTAAAATTGAACATTTCAAGCAGAGAAATTGATCTTTCTGTAAAATCTTTAGGATAATTTTTGTAAATACATTAGTTTTGCATGAGTGGCCTTAAGTGAATAGTTTTAGATTTAATTAGTGTCTTCTCCAAATACTCAGAAATGAAATTTTCTTTGAGTTTCTTAGTTATGCATCCCTGTACTTGAGGGTAATAATTACTATGAAATACGTAAAAGTCCTAATACTCTACGAATATTTGGTCTTTTCCCCTTAATCTATTTAAAAAATTTTTCCTTTTGTCAGTGGACAAAAATAAGAGAAAAGAAATAGCTTTAAGAGTTTTATATTTATTTCTCATGTGTAAAAGCTGTTAGAGAAAAGAGCTTGTCTTACTTGTATAAATCCTGTTCAAATGTTTTTTGATTAATAATGCATAAGCATGTACATGTTAGGGAAATTTTCTAAAACTGATATTTCAAGGCGAAAACAAATATTGTTTAACTATCTTCTTACAACTTTAGTTACATTTGAATAATGTTCATCTTTAAAGGTTTACACTGGCATTTCTTATTTAATCCCCAAGTTACCATGGCTGGTAGATATTATCCTTGTTTTATAGGCAAGAATTGGGCTTTTTGCTGAGGCTAAGTTGTACAAAGTCCTACAGTTAAGAATATGTCCCAGTAGAAACTAGAACCAGTCACTTTGGTAATTCTTTTATTTTTATCACAGTTAGCAATCTTTACTCTTAAAAAGACAAGAAAATGAACAAGTAAGTTACAGATTATTGGAAAGTATTGCAAATCTTATATACAATAAAGGAATCAGCATCACAATAAACAAAGGGCTCTACAATCCAGTGGTAAGAAAACAAAGCAACTCAATATTGCACAGAGGGGCTGAACTAATATTCCTTTAAAAAATAAAGTTGACAGTATTTATTAAATTTTAGCTATCAACATCTCTCTCCCTTTGCTCCCCTGCCCTCTTTTTTTTTTGCCAGTCCTGAGGCTTGAACTCAGGGCCTGGGCACTGTCCCTGAGCTTCTTTTGCTCAAGTCTAGCACTTTACCACTTGAGCCACAGTGCAACTTCCTGCCTTTTCTGTTTATGTGATACTGAGGAATTGAACCCAGGGTTTCATGCAAGCTAGGGAAGTACTCTGCTATTAAGCCACCTTCCCAGCCCTCCACCCCTTTTTAAGTTGTTTTTGTAGAGGTAATACACAGAGAAGTTACAGTTACATGAGTCAGGTAATGAGTATAATTCTTCCCTCACTGTCTCCCAGTTTTTCCCTCCTGACCTCACAAGATGTATAGTTCATTTTCCACAGTGCATAGTGAGTACCAGTGCTGTGTTTGTTTCTATGCTAAATCTGGCACTAATCCTAAAAAGTGCTTGATTTTGTAATTTGAAACTTAACTACCACAAACTCAAGAGTATCTACAAGGAGAGATGGTAAAAAAGGGAAAATAACTTCCCTTTCTAACAATGAACAAAGCAAAACTAATTATAATTCTTACTGTGTTGAATAGACAATCTCTATCCTTCTGGTGTGGTTCTCAGTAGTGAGTTATAAATGCTAAATTACCCTACCTCCCCTTCTCCCCTTGAAGATTGAAATTAGTCCCTACTCATGTATATGTGTTTATTATTGCTGAGTCTTAATAGCCAAGTATAGATGTGCCCTATCAGGATTTAATGAAGAAGTTTAGATTGGTAGAATTAAAGATCCACGCACTCAGTTCCTGTGATATAGAAGTAAACCAATTTTCCTTTTCCTTTTTGTTGTTCATTTTGCATGTTGCATTTGTGACAGTTGCAGTAGCTAGTATTACTTATATTGTAAGTCCCTAAGTCTCCCCCCCCCCCCCCCCCGCCATCCTAGAATTCCATATAGAATTGTATTCAAGGGATATTTTGTGCCATTAACAAGTTCTCTTTTCTTGGGTAATGCAGAGATGGCAGAGGAGGGTAAAGCTGAACAATTGTTACTGGTGGTGTAGGGGGTTTACAGGCAGCTACAGAATTCTCCTTTTACCTCTTGGTGTACTCCACCTCCAGTTATATAATACATCATAGGATTCTTTATGAAACTTTGAAATGATGGTAATCTACTCTGGTTGTAAACTAGTTTTTATTCATTCACCAAATCATGTTTTGAGTGCTTTGTGTGTTTGAGGTGGTTCTAGGAACTGGAAGTATCTAGACTGGAAAATGATACAGTCTGCTCTCATTGAACTTTTAGATGTCAAAATGTTTAAATCTGAATTAAAGATATATGATGTTCTTGTTATTTAAGCTTTCTTTGCAGTTTATTTTTACATTTTAATGCTAGAGATGGGATTGTGGTTTGTGTATGTACCTCATTCTCTACCACCAAGCTATTTCTGAAAATTTTTAAATAAAAGAATCAAAAAGACAAAAAATGTACTATCTATAGATTCTGAATCTAGACTTATGAATATATTTATGGTCTTTAACATTCTTGTACTTTAAAATGATTTTTTAAACTGCAATTAAGTTGTCATTTGTTATTGAAAAAATATTGCTTTGGAAACCTTCATGTTTGCTTAATGCACATTTGGTTTTTTTAGGTAATGTAAGTGGTATGAAAAGGAAAGAGTGGGAAAACAAGTCAGCAGGAATGGAAGGAGAGAGGAAAACCCAACACCTTAGTCTCCAAGTTCCCTTGCGATCTCATAGTTCTTCCTCTTCCTCAGAGGAGAATAGTAGCTCCAGTGCTGCACAGCCTTTGTTGGCTGGGGAAAAGGAAAGCCCATCTTCGGTTGCCGATGACCATTTGGTTCAAAAGGATTTCTTGCATGGTACCAAAAGAGATGATGGCCAAGTAAGGTCAGTAGTCAGTTAGAATTAGAAACTTGATCATAATAGTTGCTTAAAATAGCTGTGAAAAACTTCTTCCTTCTCTACGTCCCCACTTTACAAGAGTTTTTTCCTTGTAACTAAATGTATTGTGAAATTACTGTTTTCCTTTTTGAATAAGTTACACGCACACATACACACATTCATTTCAAATATTAGGAAAGCACAGAAATTAATTCTTCCCATGCCATCATTCAGAATGAATTATTACTGTTATTCAGATCCTGGCCTTCTAGTTTGTAGCTCTTTAGTAGCTTGCCACTTTCTTCTTTTGAAGCCCACTGTCCTCCTTGCATGATAGCCCAGTCCAGAATCTCCTGCTTTTTAGCTGTTTCTGCCTTAGTAAATGGCACTACTAAATCAGTTGTTGAAATGAAAAATACTGGCTCCTCTTCTTTAATAAAAAGCTCCTAGGTAGTTTGTTGGACAAACTTTCAGAAAATATGGACAAGATAAATACTCTTAAACATGCACTAGTATCTGTTATGGATTGAAGATTATATTCTAGATTTTTTAAAAGCATTTTATTGTGTTTAAGCTGTCTCATGCTTCTTTTGGAACAGCAAGGGATTATGAACATATAATTCAGTTTTGCTCCTTTGAATGGTTATTACAAATTTTTGGATTTTCTTTCACTTGCAAAATGATGAAAATTACTAAAAGGATTTTTATAAATATATCAGTTTATGCTTATTTTATATTTATGCCCTGAAATAGAAATTTCTCTGTTTTCTCTTTTAGTATTCCTGCAGAAATTTCAGGAACCAGCCCCGTGTCTCCTAACACTCAGGATAAATCAGTAGGTCAGTCTCCTCTTAGATCTCCCTTGAAGCGCCAAGCCTCTGTATGTTCCACCCGACTTGGAAGCACAAAGAGTCTTACTGCTGCATTTTATGGGGACAAACAGCCTGTTACAGTTGGAGTCCAGTTTAGTAGTGATGTCTCTCGTAGTGATGAGAATGTACTAGACTCACCAAAACAGAGGAGAAGTTTTGGTTCATTCCCATACACACCATCAGCAGATTCCAATTCATTTCATCAGTATCGATCAATGGATTCTAGCATGTCCATGGCTGATAGTGAAGCCTACTTCTCAGCAGCTGAAGAATTTGAACCCATCAGCAGTGATGAAGGACCTGGAACTTACCCTGGAAGAAAAAAGAAGAAAAAGCAAACACAGCAGATTGACTATAGTAGAGGTTCCATCTACCACAGCGTTGAAGGGCCACTAACTGGCCATGGAGAAAACATTCCGGATCCTCGAACTCTGCCATTCAAAACTCATCCATCCCAGGCTTCATTTGTTTCTGCCTTAGGTGGCGAGGATGAAGTTATAGAGCATCTATATGTTGTAGAAGGCGAGAAAACAGTAGAGAGTGAACAGATCACTTCTCAACAACCTGTAATGAATTGTTATCAGACTTACCTTACTCAGTTTCAGGTCATCAATTGGTCAGTTAAACACCCAACAAACAAGAGAACCTCAAAGTCCTCATTGCATCGTCCCCTTGATCTGGATACACCAACTAGTGAAGAAAATTCATCATCATTTGAACAGCTATCCATTCCAACATTTAAGGTATAAATCAAATCAGTGATTTCCACTGATGTAATTATTTAGAAAAGTAGTTTTTTTTGGTCAGTCGTGGGGCTTGAACTCTGGGCTTGGGCTCTGTCCCTGCATGCTTCAGTTCAAGGCAAGTGCTGTACCGCTTGAGCCACAGTGCCACTTCCAGTTTTCTAGTGGTTTATTGGAGATAAGAGTCTCACGGACTTTCCTGCCCAGGCTGGCTTTGAACTGTGATCCTCAGATCTCAGCCTCCTGAGTAATTAGGATTATAGGCATGAGCTACTGCTGCTTGGCAGAAAAGTAGGTTTTTAAAAATTGCTGTAAGAAATTCTGTTTTTGGTAAAGTTTCTGAAGTCATAGCTCCATCTATAACAATTAAATCTCAGAGTTATTGATGATTTCCACAAGTTTAAGCTAATTAGGGAATTTAATTTATGGTAATATAGTAGTAAGTTGACATAATGTCTGTCTTCATTTAAAACTGTGAATTTATTCAGTCCCACCTACTTGTATTTGACCTCTTACAATTTAATGTGTGTTAACTGTATTTCTGTAAATTACTGTTTTAGAAAGGCTAAAAACTACCTCTAAATCAACTTTGTGATAATAGCCACCATGAAAATCCTTACTTTTAAAGATAATGAATTATAAGGGAAATTTTTATGTTGTTAAGGACTAAAATTAAGTATGTAAAGTCTTAATGGAACTTAAAGGATGATTAATAGTTGAGGATGGGAGGACTTAGGACGTAGCATTTCAGGCAGACAGGGATCTTCCTAAAGCCATACGGTGGGAAAGAAGTCAGCACACTTGAGAAGTAGTGAGTTAGGAGACATGTTTGTGATGAGGTTGGAGACCAACAAGGGGCCAGATCATTCAACACTTACAATCTCTGGCATTAGGAGTTGGAATTTAATTTTAATTTTATTGGGAAATTTAGGGCCTTTAAGGAAATATGATATGACCTCAGGTACTTTGCCACCATTGAGAAAGGAGGTGGATGATGATTTAGTCAGTGCAAGGGCCTGCAAGAGATTTAGATGCCCTATTAATGATAGAAATGTAATCATGAATGTTATTGGAGTAATGAGGAACATTACTTAGAGTTGCAAAGTTATGATTTTAAGATTTTGCTCACCTCTTAACTTGTTTGAGATACATTTCCCATGTGAAGATTTTGAGTATTCCATGTAGCAATATATTGATACATTTTCTTCTGTAAAACTGAATTGTATTTGCAGTGCAAATTCTGAACAGAATCTTGGAAGTATGTAATTATTTCTGCACTTAAAAATTTCTAGTTAGTTGGATTTCTAGGGATGGTAAGTCAAGGAATTTATTCATTTGGGTGTGTGCGCGAGTGTGTGTGTGTGTGTGTGTGTGTGTGTGTGTGTGTGTGTGCGCGCGCGCACGTGCGCGCGAGTTTGTGTGTGTGTGTGTGTGTGTGTGTGTGTGTGTGTGTGCCAGTAAAACTGAATTGTATTTGCAGTGCAAATTCTGAACAGAATCTTGGAAGTATGTAATTATTTCTGCACTTAAAAATTTCTAGTTAGTTGGATTTCTAGGGATGGTAAGTCAAGGAATTTATTCATTTGGGTGTGTGCGCGAGTGTGTGTGTGTGTGTGTGTGTGTGTGTGTGTGCGCGCGCGCGCGCGCGCGAGTTTGTGTGTGTGTGTGTGTGTGTGTGTGTGTGTGTGTGTGTGTGTGCCAGTACTGGGATTTGAACTCAAGGTCTTGGCTCTCCTTTGGCTTTTCTTATGCAAAGCTGATGTTCTACCACTTGAGCCACACCTCCACTTCTGACTTTTTATTCGGTCCTGAGGCTTGAACTCTGGGTTTGGGCCCTGTCCCTGCGTTCTTTAGCTCAAGGCAAGCACTCTACTGCTTCCGGTTTTCTAGTGGTTTATTGGAGATAAGAGTCTCACAGACTTTCCTGCCGGGGCTGGCTTTGAACCGTGATCCTCAGATCTCTGCCTCCTAAGTAGCTAGGATTACAGATGTGAGCCACTGGCACCTGGCCTGATTTTTTGGTAGTTAACTAGAATCTCACAGTTAACTGGAGTCTCACAGATGTTTCTGCCTATGCCGTCTTTGAACTGAAGTTCTCAGATCTCAGCCTCATTATCTAGGATTACAGGTGTGAGCCACCAGTGCCTGACTAGGAATTTCTGTTTTTCGACAAGTTGGAAAATAGAGCTTAGGAAATAAGAGTTTTCTCCATTAAATTGAAACAACCCATAGCACTTTTATAGCTTTAGGCAGGTTTACTTACTCATCTTATTTATCCCTTATGGATGTAAAATGAAAATCTAGTTTTTTAAAATACAGTTTAATACTTCTCTGGGTCTCTTTTCTACCTAAAAGTTGGTTTGCCAGCAAAACAAAAAAAGAAATGACATCAAAAAAACTTAGTATTAAAAAGTACTCCAGACTGAATGTGATGGTTCACACCTGTAATACTAGCAATTCAGAGATTTTGAGCAGTAGGATCATAGGTCAAGGCCAACATAAGCAAAATGTTCATGAAACCCCTTCTCAAAAGCTGGGTATTGTAGTGTATACCCAACTTTATGGGAAGCAAATAGGAGGATCATAATCAAGACTGGCTTAGGGATAAATGTGACACTTCCTATCCTCAAAATAAGTAAAGCAAAAAGGATTGAGAACATAGCTCAAGTGGTAGAAGCATCTCCCTAGTAAGTGCAAGGTGATGAGTTCAAACCCCAGTCCTGAAAGCAAAATGAAAGAACTCTGGAGGAAAGACATTTAAAATCTTGTGTTAGTTGTACCCTTTTACTGTCATTGCTGCTGTATCATTTATTTAAACTACAGAAAATGAACAGTCAGATCTTCTGAAGGACTTTGCCCTGAATAAGCAAGAGAAGATGTTTCCCCACTGACAGGCATAGTGGGAAAAAATTGAAATTACCAATTGAATTGTTTCATGATTTTTTAATTTTTTCTGTTGATATTGTATATATCAAAATCTGTCAGTCATAAAATTAGAAAAATAATACTAAAGTTCTAGATGATAAATATTATTTATTTTATCCTAGGTTATCAAACAGGGGCTCACAGCTAATTCCTTGTTAGATAGAGGCATGCAGATTTCAGGCTCAAGTTCAAAGTAAGTAGGAATTACTTATTTTTATTTGGTTGTTGTTTATATTTATTTTAGTGATAAGGTCTTGCTATGTTTTCCAGGCTACCCAGGAAATTCTGGGCTCAAGGGATCCTTGTGCTCCTGTTGCTGGGACTACACTATCATGCTCAGCTAAAAATTTTGTAGTTTTAACTTTAAACAGAGTCTTCTTTAGTGACTTGAATTTGGGTCTTACTTTGAGAATAAATTACTGTTGTCTAGGTGCAGTGGTTCCTGCCCTATATAATTCCAGCTGTGCAGAAGCCACAAGTTGGGAGGATTGCTTTTCAAGTACATTCTGGATAAAAAGATACTGAGATTCACATCTCAACCAATAAAAATGTGGATATAGTGATATATGCTTGTGATCCCCAGCTACAGAGGAGATGTTGTTGGGATCACAGTATAGGTTGGCCTGGACAAAAAGTTAAGACCTATTTAACAAATAAGCAGAAAGGGTTATTAGGAGCTAGGCTGTATGGTTAGAGAACCTGACTGATAAGTATAAGGCCCTGAGTTCAAACCCCAATAATGCAAAAACACAACCAGTTACCCCAAATTGTGTAGTTCCTTTGCTTTTTATGACTTTGGCTGCATTTACTGAGAGCTAGTATAGTTCTATGAAAATCAGAACTTGGCATACCAAAATTTAATAAGAATGCAATATTGTGTTTTTCTTATTTTAGATCAAGTAAATATATGAAAAATATACTTTTATTGTTGAATATATTGGTTTCTTTGCCATTTTGCAATTTAGTACCTGGTTTGGCTTATGTTTGAAAAGTATTGAGGGCATGATATAGTAAGTCCAACTTGCTGAAATATTTATTGTGTTGAAGTAGATACCATTGAAATGTTTATTCACCTTAAGGAACTCCAACTTCTACTACTATTCAATCTTTTTTTAAATACATGCTTTTTAAATTGAATAGCACACCATATACCCCACTGGAAAAGAAAATCGTAGATCATACAGATGATGAGACATTGACTGAAGAGTGGACGTTGGATCAGCCAGTCTCTCAGACCAAGACAACGGCCATAGTAGAAGTAAAAGGAGCTGTTGGTATTGTTCTGACTCCACTGGTGGCTGAGGCATTAGACAGGTATTAATGTTTACAAATACAACTATTCCTTTATTAAATGACACATGGATATGATGTTATATGGTATGCTATGTTAATGAAGAAATTTGTAGCTGGCCGCTGGTGGCTTACACCTGTAATCCTAGCTACTCAGGAAGCTGAGATCTGAGGATCACATTCAAAGTCAGCCTGGGCAGGAAAGTCCATGAGACTCTTATCTCCAGTAAACCACTCAGAAAACCAGAAGTGATGCTGGGCTCAAGTGGTAGAGTGCTTGCCTTGAGCTGAATTGCTGAGGGACAGCGCCCAAGCCCAGAGTTCAAGCCCCATGACCGACAAAAAAAAAAAAAAAGAAAAAGAAAGAAATTCATTGTAGTGTACTTGTTTTAGTTATGTGAAAATGGAAATGCCTTTAAAGATCTGTGTTTCATGGCGGTATTAAGATTACACATGTAGCAATTGGTTGATCAGTGAGTGATCTGTTCTAACAATGTGTCTCAGCACCATCCTTGCAATTTGTACACATATGTAGAGTGGAATTACCCACTAATTTAGGATTAAAAAAAAGAACTCTGTTTCAGTTAATCATGTTATTCTTTCAACCCAAATTATATTACAATGTATTATATGTATATAATATATATATATATATAATATAATATATATATATATTCCCTTATGTGTTTACTTACTTTTTAAGTAGATACACATATATATTTCTATATGGATTAATAAGCATAAAGTTATCAAACACCTGGGAATGACTTATTGTTTCATATTCTCACTATATTATCTAGTTAATGAACACATAAAAGGGAAATAATAGGTACTCTGTCTTGCAAGGAAACTATAGTCTATCCCTAGAGGTAAGGCTTATATGAATAAAAGCCAGGATGGAATATAATGAAATAGAAAGTTTTGTGGAAAACATTGAACTCTGATGGAAGAGTTTAGAAGGGCTTCAGTGGGGACCAGTTTTAATGAAAGTCTTCTTTAAATGGAAAGGTTCATAGTTTATATGATATCCTGCTGGATAGGATGGCTCATTTCTATAATCTTAACTACTTGGGAGACTATAATGGGAATAAGTGAAGTTTGAGACTAGCCTATGAAATACATTCAATGACACCTTTTCAAATAATAGCTGTGTGTGGTGGCACATATCTGTCATCCTAGCAATGTGAGAAGCTGAGATACATGTGAATGGAAAAAGCTGAAGTGCAGTGGCATGTACCTGTCATCTTTGCTATGGCAGGAAGTATAAAAAGGAAGATTGTTGACGAGGGCAAAAAGCAAGCCTAGCTCAAAATAGCCAGTAAATATAAAGGACTGGAAGTATGGCTAACTAGCATGAAAATCAACCCAGTGGGTTAGAGTTAAATATAAGGCCAGCAGCTATGTATCTAACAGGAAAAATAATAGAGGAAACACTCAAGACAAGTTGAATGGGCAAGGATATTTTGGACAAGACCCACTAAAGCATAGAGAACAAAGCAAACATTGACAAATTAAATTAAAAAGTTTATGCTTGCCAAAGCATTCAATAAAGTGAAAAGACAATCTACTGAAAAGGAGAATGTAGAATGTAAGCAATTCACCTGACAAAAGGTTGATAACCCATGAATAAGAAACTCTAGAAAATGTAGAAAAAAAAGGTAGAATGGGCAAATAGATCTAAATAGATATGTCTCAGAAAAAGATAAATGATGGATGGTGTAGGCATATTAAAAACATGCTCAACCCCACTAGTCACCGAGATCCAAATAACACAATGAAATGCCACTTTGCCCCTGTAAAAATGATTGTTACAAAAAAAGGAAAGGACACGCTGTTAGTAGGACTATAAGTAAGTATAGTTATGAATGGAGGTTCTGCAACAAGTAAAAAAATTGAATTAGTCTTCTGATCCAGCAATCCAATACTGCATATATGTCAAAAGATAATGAAAACTGTGTATTGAAGAGATAGGCCTTTCTTGTTCATTTTAGCAAAATCCATAGTAGCTAAGAAATAGAAATAACTTGTGTCTACCAGTTGATGAATAGGTAAGTGCTGTCTGTGCACAGTCATAAAAAGAATGAAATATTTCTAGGCACTAGTGGTTTATGCCTATAATCCTAATTACCCTGGATGCTGAGATCTGAAGATCAAGGTTAAAAGCTAGTCTTGGCAGACATAAATGAAAGATGCTTAACTCCAATTAACAAGCAGAAAGAAAATGAAGGTGTGGTTCAATTGGTAGAGCATTAGCCTTGAGCAAAAATGGTAAGTGAAAGCATGTGTTCTTGAATTCAAGCTCCAGTAACAACACACAAAAAAATGTACAAATGAAAGAAAGAAATCCTGCCATTTGTGACAAATGGACAGCTGGAGGTCATTGTATTAATGAAATAAGTTCAGCATTGGAAGACAAATACCACATGATCTCACTTGTGGACTCTGAACACAGTGATCTCATAGAATTTGACAATTGAATGGTGTTAGGAGGGGTAGGAAGGTTGGTCAGTGGCTACTGAGTTATAGTTAAATAAGAGCCAGAGGCTCTCGTGTGCTCTAACACCAGAAGTTTACTGTAGACAGTGATGACCTACTGGGCAAAGAATAAATGATAAATAATAATGTGTGAGATAAATATACTTTACTGGGCTTAAACTGCATAATACAAACATGGTACTCTATTAATATTTATTTACCAGTTAAAACATAAAAAATGAATGCAGTGCTAAGGTGGAAGTCTGTCATAAAATAGCAAATTTATTTACCTTGTAGTAGAGAGAAAAATTATGCCCATCTGCAATACTTCATATTGTGAGGTCTCGTGTGTGTGTGTGTGTGTGTGTGAGAGAGAGAGAGAGAGAGAGAGAGAGAGAGAGAGAGAGAGAGAGAGAGTTCTGAAAATGTGATTTAGATATTCTTACTTCAGTATTGGAAGATTGTTGTAATACTTAAATGGTGCTGTTTTTCACTAATGAATCTCAATAAAATTAGTCATGGTATTAAGTGAAATCACAAACTCATTTACTTTTTTCCTTTTCTCAGATATATCGAAGCAATGGTTCACTGTGCTAGTACCCGACACCCAGCTGCAATTGTAGATGATCTTCATGCTAAAGTCCTTAGGGAAGCCGTCCAAAATAGCAAGACTACCTTCTCAGAAAATGTAAGGTTTTTATTCAGGGGGCATAGCAGATAGAATATTCTTCATGTCTACAGAATAGTCAAATTTATAAATACATGGATGTATTAAACTGGAATGTATAGGCCTGTTCCAAAACCATATATATGGCATAAAAGCCAGTAAATATAAAACTATACTGTGGATTAAGTAGTAGTAAAAGCTACTTTAGAAAGTAGAGCTTTCCTTTTTATTCTGAAAAGTAACAGCTCCAGGTCTTTTCTAAAGAGCTTTCGGTCTTCGAAATGATGTTTAGAATGTTTTCTAAATAAGTGAATGTTGTTTAGGATTCGTATCCTAATTTCTTGAGACACAAAAAGGCTTATTTTTACTTCCCTCTGTGTCAAGGGACTTTAATCTTTAATCTTGTTGTGAGGTTACTCTTGCTTGCCTCAGTCAAGTAACTGTCTCCTGTTATAAAATGTTGTGCTTCTGGACATGAAGTCAGTTGCACAGCAGTCATCTCCCATGCCCTCCCAGGGCTCCATTAGACTTTCAAACTGATCAGTATTGTATTTGGATTGAAGAGTTAAAAAGAAGAAATTTCAGATTGTTCCCAGCCAATAATGAGTCAGTATCAGAAACCAAGTGTGCCTTTAAGACATTAAGAGAGAAATGCCATCTTTTCAGTCTTTTTCTATCAGCTGATTTCACTTTAATATGTATACTTTCAGTCCTGCAGCTACTCTATCTCCCAGCTTTTCTCAGGTTTGGATTTTAAGATGGTGTTAAAGCAGGTGGCAGCTGGCATATCCACAGGCATGAGGGGCACCGTGGATGATGTAGAAATTATGAAAGATTTGTGAAGTAATGGCCCTTTCCACCTTTTTAGCTATCTTCCAAGCAAGATGTTCGAGGAACAAAAACTGAGCCCCCTACAATCGAAACAACTAATCAAGGACAAGCACAGACCAATCTTATTGCAAAGCAAGATAATGTAACAATAAAAGGTCTGCAGGCAAATGTTAGCATACCAAAGGTAACTATTAGTATTTCAAAAATTTTCCTGAAAGAGGAGAACATTTTCAGTGCTATTTATCCTTTGCATTTATTAAATAATAATGATGGTGGAATAGTTTGTAATATTACACACAACACACACATATACATACATACATATATGTATGTATGCCTGTCAATCAACAAATGTGTGTTTATCATTTCTGTGGATTGAACCCAGAATTGCAAGCAAGGTGTGTGCTCCTAGCCTTTTGCCTTTATTTTTCATTGTTTGAGGTAGGGTCTTGCTAACTTAACCCTAACTGGCTTGTGGTTCTACCTCTACCTCCCAAGTAGTTAGGATAATAGGCTATGCCATCATACCCAGCTTATGATATTCCCTTGTTCTAATATGGATTTAGTATGTTGTAAATAGTTTTTCTATCTTATTATAATTATTATGTATTATATATTTTATATATAATAGTTATATATTGTATAATTTATGACAGTTAATATATGTTCAACGTATTACTAAATAGTTTAACTTAGCAGAATATTGTACAATATTTAGTTAAAACTTCCTATCCATCCAGTAAACATGTTAACTTTTTTGTTGTTGTTGCTAGTCCTAGGGCTTGAACTCGGCCTGGGCACTGTCCCTGAGCTTCTTTTTTTCTTGCTCAAGGCTAGCACTCTACCACCTGAGCCACAGCACCACTTCTGGCTTTTTCTGTTTATATGATACTGAGGAATCGAACATAGGACCACATTCCCAGCTCAATATTTACTATTTTATAGAACCTATATTCATACATCTTGGCTTTTTACTAGTATTTTTTAATTTTCATGTACATTTTAAGTATGAAATACCTTTTTGCTTCTCGACTCTAAAATTTGTGACATTTTGTGATTTAGGTAAACCTATGTTTGCTACAAGCCTCAGTAGAAGAATCTCCAACTACAGCTCCTAGTAGAAGTGTGACTCATGTTTCTTTGGTGGCATTGTGCTTTGACAGAATTGTTACACAAGTTCGAATGAACAGGTGAGAATGATTTTTCTAATTTGAGTCATGAATATTTTGCTAGATGTGTAAACAAGCCTTAGTGATTTTTAACATACATTTCTGAGAGTTGTAATGTTAGAACTCAAACCTGTTTTTAGAATTTCAAATCTCACTTTATGTATTAGTAAAGTACTATTTAAAAAAGTTTGTTGTTTTTAACTAGTGTTTTCAATAAACATTAAATAATTTGTCACTAATATTGGTTAAATTGGTGGAATTTTTTGTTAAGTAAACCATTTCCTTAAAATGTTTTCACTGAACTATACTATTTAAATTTCAACCATTATGTACTTTTTTTTTCATAAAGAGGTGTGGTTGAAGAGACTTCAAATAATGCAGATCCTACCAAAGCATCAAATTTTGATAGATATGTTCATGCCACCAAGATGCAGCCTCAGTCATCAGGATCCCTCAGGTCCAATGCTGGAGCTGAAAAGGGCAAAGAAATTGCTGCCAAGTTAAATATTCACCGAGTTCACGGGCAACTTAGGGGCCTGGATACAACAGGTAGGATTTTGTATCAAATAGGTTTATCTTTGAAATATATGTGTTTGTGTGTGTGTGTGTGTGTGTGTGTGTGTGTGTGTGTGTGTGTGTGTGTGTGTAGATTTTGCAAAAGGAAACATGACTATTTCCTATGAATATTGCTACTGTTTGAATGTTGTATAGAAGGAGAATGAGATTTCTTACATCCATTGTTAAGTACATGGTATTTATTCATATTTGGTGCAAATGGGAAGTAACTTTGTTAAGAAAATAAATGTTATTGTCCTGAATTACAAATTGTTCTTTTCTCCTATGTGTTTTCTTCATGCAACTTTCTTTTTTTTTTTTTTTTTAATTTAATTTTATTTTATTTGAGAACATACTGTACAGAGGGGTTACAATTACATGGGCAGGATAATGCATACATTTCTTACCAAGCATTGCAGCCTCCTCCTTTGTTTACCCTTCACCTCCCTTCCCAGCCTCCCCCCTCCCCCCCACCCAATCATACCCCCCCTTCCCCCCCCCCCCCCACCGACATTGTAAAGCTGGTTTTGACATGACATTTTGTACTTCTCATTGTTGCAACAGGTCCACCTGAATCCTTAAACGACTTGTTTGTCCCCATCTCCTCCACATGTTATACTGACATCAAATATAGTGAAAGCGGGGGTTACACTGTGGGGGAGAGACATACAAAGCAACAAAGAAATAACCTTATAATTGCGTTAGAAACACATGCATGAAAGAAACAAAAACATTAAAATACATATTTGAGGGTTCGTTTTCCTAACATCACATTCTCTGACTTTTTCCACTTGACTCATACCTATACTAGATATTGCAAATAAGGGAAACCATGGGACCTTCGTTTCTTTGGGCCTGGCTTACTTCACTAAATATAATTTTTCCAAGCCTTTCCATTTCCTAACAAATGGGGAAATGTCATTCTTTCTGATGGAGGCATAGAATTCCATTGTGTATATATACCACATTTTCTTGATCCATTCGTCTACTGAGGGGCATCTGGGTTGGTTCCATATCTTAGCTATGGTAAATAATGCTGCAATAAACATAGTTGTGCTGGTAGCTTTAGTGTGGTCTTTTTTGTAAACATTAGGGTAAATGCCCAAAAGTGGGATTGCTGGGTCATAGGGGAGTTCTATGTGAAGTCTTTTGAGGAACCTCCATACTGCTTTCCAAAGTGGTTGAACAAGTTTACATTCCCACCAACAATGAAGTAAGGTTCCTTTCTGTCCACATCCCCTCCAGCATCTGTTGTTGTTAGAGTTCTTGATTTTTTTCATGCAACTTTCTTGTTCCTAATAGAACCAAAAAAATCTTGATATTTATGGTTTTTATTTTTTAAGTTATTTTTAAAACTCAATTTAAAGAATTGTTAATTAAGTCCTGATAGTCTAGTCATGAGTTAGTAGCAGTAAGAATGGTAGGTAATCCTTTTTTATTTTATATTTCTGTGCCAGTATTAGGGCTTGAACTCAGGTCCTCTACCTCTCACTTGGCTTTTTCATTCATGGCTTGAACCACTTGAACTATGCCTCCAGTTTTGGCTATATTCTGGCATTAATGGAGATAATTGTCTTTAAGACTTGTCTGCCCAGGCTGGCTTCAAACCTCAATCCTCAGATCTCAGCCTCTTAAGAAGTTAGGATTACAGATGTGAGCCTAGTACCTGCTTAGATATTTCTTTTAAAGTCACTGATCAGATGTTATATTATGTACCACTCCAATGTTTTTGAGATGAGTATGGTTGCTGAAGCCTGCAGTGTGAGACATATTGAATGAGTAGATGAAGTGCCTTGAATTTATTCACATATCTGTACATTGGTTAGGTTTTATGGTGCTTGTCTGCATTCTGGATTGTGTAATTGCTATCATCTTTCTTCTTAAGGCTTATTTCATCACACTGTGTAGGAGGCCAAAGCACTTACCTGAAGATATCAGGAGACTTTTTTAACCACGGAGATCTATAGTTCTAAAACTGGCATAAAATATGATTCATGTTTGTACCAGTAACCAAATTTGTTCTTGGTTGTTGGATATGCCATAAGCAATACCTCATATAATTGTGAAATCCTTCATTCTGAAATAAAACTCCCAACATCAAACTCCTAATGAAATTCTGCATTTGTGTAAAAATGTAGAAAAAAGTACGTTTTTGTTCATATGTATATGATATACCCTGTGAAATGTATGCAGTAATCTCAGGTTTGTTAGCCACAGCAGGTGAAGTAGGTAGCTGAGTGCAGTAGTGTTACAGGCTCTTTATTGTGCAATCTTCCATAATTTTTGAAACTTTAATTTATGTGAGTAGATTACCTAGTCAAAAAGTGTAAACACAATTCAGGTTATGTTCTCGCCTCTTTATCTGTACTTCAGAGTTAAATTCATGGGATTAAAAACAAATAGAGGTAATTCAATAGTGAAAATATTTTAGGAAAATGTAGGCAAATATTTATTCTCTCAAAAGGAAAAGGAAAACCTTTTCAATGCAAAGAATGGTATTTCTCACAGGATGAAGTTTTATATATATATATGTAGAGAGAGAGAGAGAGGGAGAGAGAGCGCTATTACAATGATACCTCAAAAAATTTCAAAAAATTTAGTGACCCGAAGAAATGATCATGATTCCTGTTTTCTGAAAAATGGAGGGTTTGCAAAATGATCTCTAGAAAGGTAAACAGCAGTTTAGTAAAATTGTAAGCAAGATATGTTGGGTTGGTAAATGATTTTTGTATTCTTTTTCTTTTCTGTATTCATTAGCTGTTTTCTTGTAAAATATAAAGTTCTTGCAGGCACACAGGATATTAGTTTTCACATAGCATCTATAAGCAGTGGAATCAGTGATGTCTGTGATGAATTATAGTTACATAAAATGGGTTACCAGAGAGCAGTCTTTCTGTAAAAGCAATAATTTTCTTAGAGAATAAGGTTATTGCTGACTGAATAATTGAGACTTTTTTTTTCTTTTGTAACAAGTTTCTTAAACTACTTTAGCTTATGGAGGAATTATTTAAGAGTTTATTAACTTTGTTTTTAAGGTGTTCTGCAATTTTCAGAAAAAGATTGATAGTCCTTTTGTTCAAAATATTATTCATTATGAAAATTTCTCTTTTAGATAGCATTATTTTAAAAAATAATTGACTTGTAAAAAATAGTTGACTTGTTTCTGTTTTCTTTTTCTTTTTTTTTTTTTTGTTGGTCATGGGGTTTGAACTCTGGGCCTGGGTGCTGTCCCTCAGCTCTTCAGCTCAAGGCTAGCGCTCTACCACTTGAGCCACAGCGCCACTTCTTTTTCTTTTTGACAGAATACTAAGGTATCTTTTTTAAGCCCACCTCTGTGCCCAATTTTTTTTGTTTTTAGATATAAGTATCTGTCTTTAACAACATTCATCTTGTTTTCTTAATAACAGATATCGGGACCTGTGCCATCACTGCTATTCCTTTTGAGAAGTCCAAAGTTTTGTTTACTCTTGAAGAACTGGACGAATTTACTTTTGTAGATGAAACAGATCAGCAAGCTGTCCCTGATGTTACTAGAATAGGACCCAGCCAAGAAAAATGGGGGTGGATAATGTTTGAATGTGGACTTGAAAATTTGACTATAAAAGGCAAGCCTTTTCTTTCTCTCTTTCTCTCTTTCCTTCCTTCTCTCTTTCTCTCTTTCTTTCCTTCTTTCTTTCTTTCTTTCTTTCTTTCTTTCTTTCTTTCTTTCTTTCTTTCTTTCTTTCTTTCTTTCTTTCTTTCTTTCTTTCTTTCTTTCTCGCTTTCTCGCTTTCTCTCTCTTTCTTTCTTTTTTCTTGCTGAATGCTTCATAGGCTGGGGATAATTTAGCTCACATTAGTTAAATGTTTTGAACGATTATGACCCTCTGGAACCTGAATGAACACAATAAAGCAGAAACTGTGAAACCCGTAATTATTCACAAGAAGTAGCTACCTCTGCATAGGTACCTTAACTGCACAGTAGCACTTTCTCTCCACTGGATGATTCAAACGTAGGCCAAGTGCAAACATACCCAACCTCAATGCTCCAATAAAATGTACTGTGTGATTCAGAAAAAATGCTAAATCAGATATAGAGCCATATAGCTTTTAAAAGATTACATTTTTGATTGTTAGAACTTTACAATATTAGGATGTAAACATTGAAAATCTTTTATTCAGTGAAAAGTACTGAAATATTTACCTCTTACATATTATTGAATAACACACTAAAGGAGGAAGGTTGCATTGTGCACAGGACTTGTACGTTTAGTCCTAGACATAGGACGTGTAGGTTTAGTCCTAGACAATGTAATAACTATTGTAAAATTAGTTGTGTATGCCTACATTTATTTACCAGATAAATCAATTATATGTCACTTTTAATAGATAAGTACAAAGTCTTGGTGAGGAAGACATGATCTTTATGCAATTTTATGTAGATACTAAACAGTACAAAATTGAGATGCATATTCACTGATTTTAATTAATAAATGCTTTCATTTTCATAGGAGGAAGACAGTCTGGTGCTGTTTTGTATAACAGCTTTGGAATTATGGGTAAAACTAGTGTCACAGAAAGAGGTGGAGTGCTGACGTCCAATAATTCTTCTGATTCTCCCACTGGCAGTGGCTACAATACTGACGTTTCTGATGACAATCTTCCATGTGATCGGACAAGCCCCTCCTCAGACTTAAATGGAAATTCTGTATCAGATGAACAAGTTAGTGAATCTGTTATGATAATAATAATATTGATTTTGAAATTACATTTCCTGTTTTAGATTTATATCTGCTTAGGTGTGATAGCATGTTGGCGAATATACGATGACTAGAGTTTTTAAGTCCACTTAATGTTTGTTGAGACAGTGAATTGGTTAAATTTAAGAAAAATGAGCCTTGTATATTTTGATGAATTTTAGCAGAAGCCATTTTAATAATTTGCTTTATTATTCATGCCTCATATAAGTTTTAGATATTTTCATTAACATCTGCTTATGGTAGAGTTCTGAATGAGACCTTATATTCAGTTCATTATTTCTATTGTGATAGAATTCTATAGTGATAGGTATAGCAACAGCAACAACAAAATTCTATATTGTAGAAAAGTTGAGCCACTACTGGTGCCTTGGGTAAGCAAGTTATTCAGCTTCTAGTTATCTTCATATGTAACAGGAACATGCAATGCTGTACTTTACAGATCTGTGAAGACAGAAGGAGACAATACATGTGAAGGGCTTATTGCAGTACCTACCACACAATAAGAATTTAGTGAATGAAAACACATATATTTTAATTTGGTGTATAGCTTAAGAATTTAATGGGTTTTCTGTAGCTATGTGGAGCTGTTTGGAGATAGATTAACATTTTAATTACGGAAATAAAAACTTTAGTATTAATCACAAAACAAAAGAGTGGGTTCAATATTCTGTCCTTTTTGTTTACTAAACTAACTTGACAGGAACTTAGGGGATCTTGAAATTCTACTCTTCTTGCTGAAAGTCCTTCAATTCTCTTAACTGCTTTCTTCAGTTTCTCTGTCTTTTCTTGGTCTATTTCTTAATGGAATTTTCCCTCCTCTCCAGGTATTCCCTGGAAGTTATATTCTTCATTTTTTCTTGCTGCTTGTTTATTCCTTGACTTTGTGATTTAGTGACACATCTCTTTTTCATCCATGTCTTTGGCTCCATCCTTTCAATGGAGCTCTAGAATTGTATCCAGTAGCATTTTGTATATTTGCATTTAGATAATCCATAGGCAACACAAATGTAGTCAGTCTACAACCAAATTTATTATTTCTTTAAGTTCTGTATCTTATCCACTGTTTGGCTAATAGCCTCTTATCAGAGGGCTTTTTTGAATTAATTTATTGGTTATATTTTTGTGTTCCTAGGCAACACAAATGTTGTAGCATGCTAGGCAAGAGCTCTACCACTGAACTACCTCCTCAGGTCTACATTTTATATATATTATATATATAATATATATATATATAGAGAGAGAGAGAGTTCTTTTTTGGGGGGGGTTGGTCATGGGGCTTGAATTCTGGGCTTGGGCGCTATCCCTCAGCTCTTCAGCCCAAGGCAAGTGCTCTACTGCTGGAGCCACAGCACCACTCCCATTTTTCTAGTGGTTTTATTGGAGATAAGAGTCTCACAGACTTTCCTGTCTGGGCTGGCTTTGAACCGTGATCCTCAGATCTCAGCCTCCTGAGTAGCTAGGATTACAGGCATAAGCCACTGGCGCCCAGCTTCGCACGATCTTCTTTTGTTGCACAGTCTAGCCCCAAACTCTTGGGATCAAATGATTATCCTGCCCTAGTCCCCCCACCTCTAAGTAGTGCCTATAGTAGGACTATAGGTGCGCTGCACTATACCCAGCTTAAATTTTATTTTAAAGGAAGATAATATGGTATATTTACTTACTTTATGTTGTATAAATTGCTAATGGAATCTAAGACAACACTTCATCTTGAAATATTTAAATAATTCTTGTCAACTTTAGTAAAGGCTCCAAGTAGGATAAATAGTCCCTCATCAGTTCAGACCAGATTTTACTGCCACAACTAATAAATGAATAAAATTAAAAATTTTTTAAAGTACTTTAAAAATATATTGTTATTGGAAAGTGATATACAAAGGTATACGGTTATATAAATCAGGTAAAGAGTACATTGCTTTTTGAACAATGTTACCTCTTCCCTTATTGTCTCCTATTTTTCCCTTCTGTCACCACAAGTTGTATAGTTCATTTTCAGCACAGTGTCTAATGAGCATCATTAATGCATTTGTTCATTCTTTGTCTCACCATTTCTGTGACTTCTCTTTACCATCCCAAAGACAGATAAACAAGACAAAAGGAAATGAAAACAAAACATCAGCAAAGAAGAAAAAATTCTTGGTTGCATTTCCTGGAGTTCATTTCCATAAATATTATTTTATATGGTCAGATGCACATAGCTATTATGTTTATCTGATCCTTTCCTAAGAATATCCTCCTTTGGTCTCACTGAATGCTTATGTCCCAGTGTATTGCTTTGTCTTTTACCATCCAGTGTGTTTCCTTATAGATTTATATGCACATTTTAGTTATCACAAGTAAGGGAAAGCATGAAACCTATTTTTCTTTGGGTCTGATTTACTTGGCTTAGTATAATTTTTCCATTTCCTTACAAATGGAACAATATCATTTGTTCTTATGAATGAGTAGAATTCCATGTGTATATATACCACATTTCCATAAGTTCACTATGAGGCATCTGGGTTGGTTTTATATCTTGGCTGTGATAAACAATGCTGCAATGAACATGATTGTGCTCTTAGCTTTAGTGTGGCCTTGTTTGTGTTCTATTGGATAAATGACCAGGAGTAGAATTTCTGGGTCATAAGGAAGTTTTATGTGTAGTCTTTTGAGGAACCTCTACACTGCTTTCCAGAGTGGTTGAACAAGTTTACATTCTTATCAACAGTGTAGTAGAGTTCCCTTTTGGCCACATCAGAAGTAGCATTTGTTATTGTTAGTTAAACCCTCAAAGAAACAACAACACAATTATTAAATAGGCTAAAGACTTAAAGAGAGACTTCTCAGAAGAAGAAGTAAGAATGGCCTATAGATAAATGAAGAAGTGTTCAACATCTCTGGCCATAAAAGAAATATAAATCCAAAAAACATTGAGATTCTGCCTCACCCCAGTTAAAATGGCCATTATCAAGAAAACTAACAATAACAAAAGCACATTTTAATAAAAATTTCTTTTTGGAACTTTGTGGATTTTAGAATTGTAGGTAATAGATTGTACACTCATATTTCTTTTCTTTATTGTGAAAATACCACACAGAGGGGTTACAATTACATGGGCAAGGTAATGAGTGCATTTCTTATCAAGTATTGTTGCCTCCTGTAAAGTTCATTTTCATCTAACATCTTGTACATCTCGTTGTTGCAATGGGTCCACCTGTATCCCTATTTAAACAATTTGTTTTTTCCCTTCCCCTCCACAAATTATACCAACATCAAATACAGTGAAAACAGGGGTTATACCGTAGGAGAGGGACATACAAAGCAACAAAGAAATATCTTATAAATATGTTAGACACAATAGCAAGAAAGAAAAAACATTTGAGTCCTTAACTTGGAGTTCATTTGCTTAACATCTGACCATTTCTGCTTGTCTCAGAAATATACTAGTTATTGCAAATAAGGGAAACCGTAGGACCTATGTTTCTTTGGGCCTGGCTTACTTCACTTAATATAATTTTTTCCAAGTCTTTCCATTTCCTAACAAATGGGGCAATGTCATTCTTTCTGATGGAGGCATAGAATTCCATTGTGTATATATACCACATTTTCTTTTTTCTTTCTTTCTTTTTTTCTTTCTTTCTTTTTTTTTTTTGTCCAGTCGTGGGGCCTGAACTCTGGGCCTGGGCGCTGTCCCTCACTCTTTAGGTCAAGGCTAGCGTTCTACCACTTGAGCCACAGCGCCACTTCCGGCTTTTTTCTTTTTGCTTATGTGGTGCTGAGGAATCGAACCCAGGGCCTCATGCATGCAAGGCAAGCGCTCTACCACTGAGCCACCTTCCCAGCCCCTATATACCACATTTTCTTGATCCATTCATCTACTGAGGGGCATCTGGGTTGGTTCCATATCTTAGCTATCATAAGTAATGCTGCAAATAAACATAGTTGTGCTAGTAGCTTTAGTATGGTCTTGTTTGTGAGCGTTTGGGTAAATGCCGAAAAGTGGGATTGCTGGGTCATAGGGGAGCTCTATGTGGAGTCTTTTGAGGAACCTCCATCCTGCTTTCCAAAGTGATTGAACAAGTTTACACTCCCACCAACAATGCAGTAGTGTTCCCTTCTGTCCACATCCCTTCCAGCATCTGTTGTTCTTAGAGTTCTTGATTATAGCCATTCTAGCTAGGGTGAGGTGGTATCTCAATGTTGTTTTGATTTGCATTTCTTTTATGCCTAGGGAGGTTGAGCATTTCTGCATGTTTACACTCCTATTTCTTAACTTCACCTTTTATACTTACCTATGATACAGTAAGATTCTAAGCTGTTTTGTGGGTATGCTTCATTCTCTGGATTTCTCATAAAAAATAAAGATCTTTCCCTATCTCAACCAGTAAAACCTGAAAGTGAACAGAGACTATCTGGTCAGAGACTTTGTTTCTTAATAATCTCCTTATTACCTTCCTTTTCAGAAAGTGAATTACACATTTGAAAAGTATTATTCCTATCATTCATTATAGTAGCACTTAGATTAACTTTTTAATTATAAAATATTCATTACTTAAGCATGTAGTAGTATTGTTATGACACTTAATGGGAAGTTTAAAATACTCTGTTTAGATGGAAATCAGATTTGTAGTAGGACTTCAGTTCTGTCACTTGTTCTGCATGGCAAGTTATGAGACATCACAGACCTCTTTCTCTTACTTCCTTCATCTGTAAAAAGTAGCAGTCAGCTTCCGAAGTGTAACTGAAGTGATAAGTTGAAGCCCTTTAGTTTTACAGGTTTTGATTGTGTTTTGTAATGCACACTTATCCTTGGTAGTTAGACTATGCTCCTTGGAGATATGAGGGATCCACAGATACTTCAGAGATTCAGCAAAGTTAGATTCAATTCATTTAGATTAACCAAGTTGACAACAGTTTTATGTGAAATTGTTATCTGTAAAACCTGATTAATAAAGGTTTTATTTTTACTTAAATCACTAGTATATACCTCTATACATTAATAAGTTTCTGGCATTTATTTTATACAGGATGAAGGAGTTGAATCTGATGATTTGAAAAAAGACCTACCGCTAATGCCTCCACCTCCAGATTCATGTAGCATGAAGTTGACCATTAAGGAAATTTGGTTTAGTTTTGCAGCTCCCACCAATGTCAGATCTCCCACGCATGCATTTTCTAGGTAAAAAGTTTTAAAAGTATAGTACTGTTCATTGATATTTCTTCTTTATTTCAAATAGCATACAGTTCTTCATTTTTCAAATAGTCTTTCTAATTCTTAATTTTTTCCTATCTGTCCCACTTCATACTTTATGTAGACATTATTTCTTGTTTTATTTAATTCATTTTTTTTTCTGTTAGTACTTTAGTTTAACTTTTGCCTTTGTCACTGCCTCAGCTGTCTCGACTGATCAACTTCCTATCTCTTTTGTTTACTCTTTTTAACTATGATAATTTTTCTCCTTTCCTAAAAGCCATTTTTGGTATTCTATACTTGTTTTTAATTCATGAATAATCAAAGGAAAAGAAAGTAATCTTACCTGAATAAAACAGCCAGTAGGGCCAGTCATGGTGACACAGCCTGCATTCATAGTACTTGGGAGCCTGAAGCAAGAAGATGGCAAGTTTGAGACCCGCCTAAGCTACATAGGGAGACCTTGTCTCAAAAGAGTAACAGCAACAAGCCAGTGAGAACCATAGATGTGGGAGACTGGTTGAATTGCAAACATTGATTTGTCTTACAATTTCTTTTAAAGGCAGCTGAACCTGTTAAGCACTGCAACTCCAGCTGTTGGAGCTTGGCTTGTTCCCATTGACCAGCTCAAGTCATCCTTAAACAAGCTAGAAACTGAGGGAACGTTGAGAATTTGTGCTGTCATGGGATGCATAATGACAGAAGCATTAGAGGTATATCTTTCAATTGTATAAGAAATCACACATACTTTTATTATTGAAAGTGTTTCCTTGTTGGTAATAATTATTGGAGAATATCAAACCAGCAAGTTCTTAATTACTAGCCATGTAGGATCATTTATATATGTCATTCTCAATCTGTTGTTGTTGCTTGGTTTCAGAACAAAAGTGTACATTTCCCCCTCAGAAGTAAATACAATAGACTTACAAAAGTTGCCCGCTTTCTCCAAGAAAATCCTTCCTGTTTACTTTGTAATATACTGCACCACTACTTGCACCAGGCAAATTACTCCATCATTGAGGATGCTACAATGGTAAGTTACTAAAGCTGTAGAAGGCAACTGTGCCTGTTGTGTCTCCAGTGGCTCATACTTGTAATTCTAGCTACTTAAAAGGCTGAGATCTGAGGATTGTAGCTTGAACCCAGTCTGAGTAGAAAAGTCCATGAGACTCTTGTCTCCAATTAACTACCAAAAAAGCCAGAAATAGAGCTATGTTAGAGAGCTCGTCTTGGGCAGAAAATCTCAGAGCCAGTGCCCAGGCACTGAGTTCAAACTCCAGGACTGTCCTCTTGCAGGAACACTGACCTCAGGTTCTAGATGTGTGGGGAGAGTCCAAAGGATAAATGTGATGAGAAATGTAGGCCGGTAGAGAACAGTGATTTAGGAGTTGCCAGAGTAACAATGTTCTTTGAAGCTGTGGATACAGGTGAGATTTCTCAGTGTGGTAAGTTGAGTGAAAAACTGGTAAAGGATGAATCCCTTTCTTCGAAGGAAGAAAGGGAGATTGGCTAGAGGAACATGGAGTTCCCAGGAGCAAACTGTGAGCAAACTATGTGATCTCTAAGTTTTACTTTCTTTATCTCTACAAGGAGAGTTAGGGATTTAAGTAAATAAATGTATACAGACCTTTCAGAGGAGACTGATTCCCATAATTTACTTACAACTTCCCATTGGTGTTACAGAGTGATGGGCTTCCTGCTCTGGTAACTTTAAAGAAAGGCCTGGTTGCACTGGCCCGACAGTGGATGAAGTTCATTGTGGTGACACCAGCCTTTAAAGGAGTCAGCTTGCACAGACCAGCTCAGCCTCTGAAACCTCCAGCAACTGTGGACCATGAACGTGAAGATGGCCTTGGTCTAGATAATGGGGGTGGGCTTCAGAGTGATACCAGTGCTGATGGGGCAGAGTTTGAATTTGATGCAGGTAATTTTAGCATAAGGTTCTCAAAGTATGCGTGCTTCAGCATTATTTACTACTATTTATGCTTTGCTCAGATAACATCTGTCTTCCCTTAATAAGGCTGTATATTAATAATCTATCTCGTTAAATGACAACAAAAAATTACTAATACAAGAAAATCCTCCAGCTAGAGATTATATTTGGTAAGATGGTAATTGTGTTAACTTCAATAGTTTGTGTCCCAAAGTTGAAAGTGTCATTGCTCAATTATCCAGATAGAGTTTTTGTTAATCCAAATAAATGGTAAAACCCAAATATATTGGCATCTTTATGTAGATTTCATGAGTTTGATTTTGTGATATACAATAGACTTCTCATTTTAGTTGTTTTTATTTTATTTGGTATTTCAAAATATAAAAAAGATCAAGATATTAACACAAGTTAGAATGACATCACCAATACCAGAACCGTTCAGAGTGTACAGCAGTCATTCCTTCCCTGCTCAATATAGTAGTGTGATGGAGAGAAAACTGGATGCCATGGGCGTGGTTAATAAATATTATCTCTTTCCAAAATCTCTCGCTATCCATACTGTCAAAAGACATCTTTATATAACACAATTTTTGTTGTTGACGTTGGTCTTGGGGCTTGAACTCTGGGCTTGGGTGCTGTTCCTGAGCTCTTCAGCTCAAGGCTAGTGCTCAACTACTTGAGCCACAGCACCAATTCTGGTTTTCTATTGGTTTATTGGAGATAAGAGTCTCACAGACTTTCTTGCCCAGGCTGGCTTTGAACCGCAGTTCTCAGATCTCAGCCTCCTGAATAGCTAGGATTACAGGTGTGAGCCAGTGCCTGGATAACAGAAATGTTTTGAATGAAACGCTTCCATATCCTTTTAAAAATAGTATTTGTTTATGTATTTGTTATTAAATAAGCCTTTATTTTATTACCTAGTATTTGAGTAAATTTGGGGCTCTGTTCTGAGTCTGTAGTTTTGTTATTAAGATGGTTTTGCCTGAACAAAGTATATATGTATGCTTGAAATGTGCATATTGACTTTCAAACATACATATTAAGTTTAGTTCTTTGCAAAGTTAATTTTTATTATGGATGTATGGCAAGAAAAGTTTTGTCTTAAAATACTAAGAAAAAATACTGTCAGTACTATGGGAAATAATAGTAGTCCTAAATTAGGGCTTTCAAAATGTTGATATACTTTATCCAGCTCAGTTTTTTTTATAACTTTAAAAAATATATTTTAAGGATTAGGCTAGATTTTGTTCTTTCTTTTCTAAAATTTCAAGTATACGTGAATGTTGAAAGAACAGTACAGCAAATATCCCCTTAATCCCCATATATGACTGTGTTAGTCTTCGGCATTGTGAACATTCTTGCATGCAAAGCGCTCTACCACTGAGCTCCCTTCCCAGCCCTTGTAAACATTCTTGAAATTGATTTAATTTAATTTTTGATCTCTATCTTTTGCATTATCTGTGAAAATTTTAATAGAAACTGTTCCTTTATGGGGACAGAGTAAGAGGTTAAGACTGGGAAATAAAAGGAAAATAAAAGTAGATATTATAGCAACCTTTATAGTTTGTCACATTATGAAAATTGATTATATTATTCAACCCAGAATATTGGGGCTAAGTTTCAAGAGAACTTGTGATAATACATGTTACCTTTTTCTTTTGAACACTTTCAGCCACTGTCAGTGAACACACAATGTTACTGGAAGGAATAGCCAACCGGCCGCCACCTGGTAGTTCTGGGCCAGTTACTGGAGCCGAAATCATGAGGAAGCTTTCTAAAACGCATACCCACAGTGACTCTGCATTAAAGATAAAGGTATATTAAACTGCTGGTTTTACTTAAAGATAATTTTGACTTACAGTGAAGACCTAAAATGTTGATGCTTCAGATATGTGTTAGGTGTCTACCATATGTACTCAAGTAGTTTCTTAGGTTGAAATCAACTGGATAAGTGACTTGTAATGTTTGTATTTGTTTTTTAATTAAAAAATTATTGTAAAGATTATGCACAGAGGGATTACAGTTTCATAAGTCAGGTATTGAGTACATTTCCTTTTGAACAGTGTCACTCCCTCCCTCATTTTCTCACAGATTTTCCCCTCCTAACCCTTTTTTCCCGTACGTTGTATAGTACATTTCCAACATAGTGTCTAGTGAACATCGCTGCTGAATTTGTTCACCTTTTCTGTGCTACCTTCTGCTCCCCAAATCAGATAAACTTATATACAAGACATATAAGAATATCCTCCTTTGTTCTCACTGTGTGACTGTTTAGAGTGTAATGTCTATATTGCTTTAAAAACTATATTATCAGGAATTAGAATTGAACAATAAGTATTTTAACTATCAAGTCTTAGTTCTTTCTTTTTATTTTACTATTTTATATAATAAAATCCAATACTGAAATGTTCGTAACCTAATAATTGTCTGTTTTAGTGAGAAGCCTTTTGGGCAGTGCATGATCAGGTTGGGTTTAGGTTAAAGAAGAACAACTACTTAAAGATAAAAAACATTTTTTAAGAAAACTATTGGATTAATTAAGAACTTTTGGAAACAAAAAGATATGATTAAGTGGATTCTGAATTTCTGTGGACTAGATTTTACTTCTGTTTTTAAGTACCTTTACTGAAAAATAATTTCTTCACTGAAGCACACTCAATATTAAAAATAAATAATTCACGATTCACTTTAAATTACATATTAAAATTTTAATTGCATATTAAAATGAATCGTGAATTATTTATTTATTTTTAATTAAAAAATATTTTTGTTGGCCATGCGACTTGAACTCTGGCCTGGGCATTGTTCCTCAGCTCTTCAGCTCAAGGCTAGGGCTCTACCACTTGAGCCACAGCACCACTTCCAGCTTTTTCTGTCCGTGTGGTGCTGAGGAATTGAACCCAGGCCCTGATGCATGCAAGGCAAGCACTCTACCACTGAGCCACCTTCCCAGCCCTTTGTCATGTATGTTTATTTATTTCCATCTCTTAAAATTTCTAGTAACATTCTGTTTCTTATCATTATAGAATATCTTTGGGCAGATATTTCAAGTAACATAAATCTAATGAATAAATAACACAAAAGGCAAAAAAAAATTGTGGTCAGATCCCCTCTCCCCACTCCGGAAGAGAGTCATACTACCACTTGGTGCTTTGAACTGCTTTGTGTCAGTTTCGTTCTCTGTAGGATAGTGATATTCACAGTAACTTCTGCTGGGGGACTGTTGGGAGAAGTAAACAGAATTAGGACATCTAAAAAATGCCTAGTGCATTCTGTCATTTAATACATTTTGTGGAGTTCTGTTTTTTTTTTCTTTTCTAGATTCCTTTTCTGAGCACTGAAGACAGTAATCAATAGTTTTCATTTCTTTGAGAATTGTATTCAGAATCCAAGCTAGGTGTGGTAGTTAACATCTGTAATCACAGCTCCAGAGGATTGCAGTGTGAGGCCGGCCCAGGGCCTTCCCCTCCAAAAAATGTTAGCAAGACTCTATCTTAATCCCATCTACAAAGGAGGTAGAGTTTGGAGGATTGTGGTCCAAACCTGGCTTGTGCAAGAATGTGTGTGACCCTAAATGAAAAATAGCTAAAGCAAAAAGGGTAAGAGTATGGCTCAAGGGCTAGTGTGAGGCTTAGAGCTCAAATGCTATTACTACCAAAATAATAATGGTGGTGATGATCTAACAGCAAATAAAATAAGTTTAGAATTTTGGCCATATTAAAGTTTAAGTTTTCTACATAGAAAAAGTTGTAACCCTAATAGATACAAGGGGGAATAACATTGTTATAATCACTGAGAAAGTCCAGAAACAAAAAATATTAAGCAGTTCACAGAAAAAAAGTACGTATATAAAAATGTATTCTTTTCAAAGACATAATGCTGTGTGTAGCTCTGATCATATAAAATAACTATCTTCTTTTTAAAAAAATAACTATCTTCTTATAGTGTATTTATCTTTTTATAATCTTTTATAGTGTATTTTAAATGGATAGGCAGTTGTAACCTTAGATGTAACAGCAGATAGAGACTGCAAAATCTATCTTCTTTATTTTTTATTAAAATTCCTAGAATTTTTTTGTTTTAGTGATCTCTAGAGAATCAGATTTTAGCAGGTTTTTAAAAATTAAGTTACTAGAAGGTCTAGTAGACTTTCGGAGAGATTTAGGCATATATGTTAAAAGAATCTGACTTTCCACTTACTTGGTTATATAAATCATTTTTCTTTTATGAGGTAAGAGTAATCTTGTTAGAGATTAAATCAAATTTTATGAAACTTCACAGTAAGTATATAGCCATTCTCACCATTCTTCTCCATTCTGTACAAACTTAGCTCTGTTTGCTTTCCACCAGTTTTTGTTCTCAACAGTCCCTGGTTTCCTTCCAGGTAGATGTTTATTTTCACCTTCACTAAAAAATTCAGGGAAGGCTGCTTAAGGCAAAAAAAACTTTTTCTAGTTTCTATGAGGACATAGACTGTAGTTTTGGTAGTATGTTACAGGTTACTTTCAGTACATAAGGACTGTTTTTCAGTGTGCAAAGTTACCCGGCTGAGGGAAAATTTTATATAAAGGATATTGTGTCTGGGTATTAGTTTTCTGGTTCAGTAAATAACCAACAATTTGCTTTTTTTTTTTTTTTAATCACCTGGGCTGTTTTTTAAATATTCAGCCTATGACTTTCTGAAGTTCTGATATTCTATCTACTGCTCCTTAGGTTATTTACTAGTAGTTTATTTCCTACAGTCTGTTGACATCTGTTGTACCTGTATGTTTGCCAAAGAGTCCTTTTCAGATTTAGGAGGGAAATAATTATATTGTTCAAATAAAGGATCATACGTCAATATAATACTGATAATAAAAGTAGGCCTTTGTATTGTACTGTAGAACTACAAAACATGCTTGCGTACACTTGAGACATACCACAGTTTTAGTGGGTAGAATCGTTTCTGGTATCCATGTAAAGAGTAAAAGCGACAGTTCTGATAATTTTAAGTGGCTCAGCAATATGTAGAGAAGCATGAACCCATGAACTGTTCCTTCTATAGGGCATCCACCCCTATCACTCTCTGAGCTACACCAGTGGAGACACTGCTACAGATTCTCCAGTCCATGTTGGACGTTCTGGGATGCCAGTAAAGGAGAGTCCAAGGAAGGAGAGCCTGCTCAGCTACCTGACTGGAAGCTTCCCAAGCCTACACAACCTTCTGGAAGGAACTCCTCAGAGAAGTAGTGCAGCTGTAAAAAGTAGCTCCCTAACAAGGACAGGTACATCCCCCAGTTCTGATAACTATGAACTTAATCTTTATGGGGGAATTAAAAACAGACAGGATGAAGATGTGTAAGTTTTAGTGATGTAACTAATATTTTATATTGTACTTTATTTTTCAAAAAATATTATACAAGACAGTCATTCTATTTATAACCTTTGGTATCTTTATTTTCATTTTGAAATTGTACTACTGGCCTGATGTTAACCTGGACATTTGTTGAGGTCTATGGTTAGATCAACTAACATAGAATCACTACCCTGTTATGATTTTTAAAAATTATCTATTAATGAATTAGTTTCCAAATACCAACATCAGGCTGTGAACATTTGTCCTCCACAAAAGAGGACATTTTAACTTAGCCTTTGAAAATAATTATATAAATCTCATTTTCTGTTCCTTAGTACATAAATAATTCTATACTCAGTGAACTTCTTTTCAGGAAATACAGTGGCCACTGATATGCTTTCTGAGCATCCTTTGCTATCTGAGCCATCATCTGTGAGTTTCTATAATTGGATGTCAAATGCTGTGGGTAATCGAGGAAGTGTGGTACAAGAATCTCCTGTTACAAAATCGGGCCACAATAGTCTTCCAACAGGTATTAAGTTATCTTACTTAGTTTAGCCGCCTATTGCAGCACATGTATTTATTCTAAAAAACTGTTTTGGAAGCTAATTCCAAAGAGTAAAGCATTTAATACTATTTTGGTTGAAATTGGCCTATTTATAAATGTCTTAGTTAGTACTGCTGTTGAGAGGGTAGCAAGCAGTCATTCAAGTGTTCTTGTGGAAAGAGATGGGCTAAATATAATTTGAGGGGTTTGCAACTAATATTTAATATGGCTGATTTAGTTTTTACACACTAAAAAGGTGACAAATGACAATATGGAAAATCTAATTATAACACTATGTACTTACAGCATAGAAAGTATTTTTAGTTTACTAAAACTCTTAGGAGACATAATAACTGTTATTCCTATACTCCTTATAGTTACTTAACAAATCTTTAAGTCTAAAGAAGTACCAAGAGGAATAAAATAAAATTCTTTTTCTCAAGGAGAGGGAGACAAGTAAGATCTATTTATTTTTGAAGAATATGTGACTGAAGAAATAAGACGGCAGAAATTCATCAAAGAACTGGTGGCTATTTGCAGAAAAATAAGTGGACCTACTTTTCCCTTTCTATTTTTTAATTTTCCAAGTTTATGAAGTACATATTGTTTCTTATAATGTAAACTTTTCCTTTATACTAAAAAGAATATCAAAGTGGTCTTTGATTCTAATTACGCTAAACAGCTGAAATTAATTCTTGTCACAGTACTTGAATCACAAATGCTTTTCAGACAGAAAATATAAAAAATGGTTTCTGGGTAACTACTTACCCAGCCCTGTTGCTGGTGTGGACCACCTTCAATCCAGAAATGCATGCTGGTTTTGGTATGACCCTTGGCTGAAGAAGATAGGAAGATGACACTTTCTGGTAGTAATTTCATTACTGACAGACAGAACATAAATTTCAAGAGGACCAAAATGTAATGTTTCCCCTATTGTTGGTCCTTTACATGGGGATTTAAATACAAACGGGAGTTCAAGCAAAAGTAGTAGTTCCAGCCTAGCTTTCTTCTGACCCAGAAAGCATGTGTATGATATGAGATGTGTATGGCCTTCACCATGCTGCACTGCCTTCTGTAGCTCTGTTACTGCCTACACTTTGCTTCATCAGTGTGATGCCAATGTGACAGAAAATGCTTTCACAGACCTTCCAACCACAAATTGTACCTTTTGCACTGACTGGCTCTTGATATATGTAAAAGATGACTTGATGTTTTCTGGGGGTATAATTTCATTTTTCACTAGTAAGTTCTGCAAAATAACCTTGAAATACTAATTTTTCTTTTTACTTTAAATGGCCTGGCAGTGAATGGCACTACAATATAGGCTTCAGAAGTTTATTGTGTATGTTGTTCCTGTTTATAGTAAGTTACATTTTATTCTTGAAAATGTACTCTGATAGGTGTTGCACCCAATCTGCCTACAATACCCTCAGCCTCTGATTTCAACACTGTCCTGTCGAGTGACCAGAACACTTTGGACGGGACACACTCTCAGCATAGCACGAGTCAGGATGATGTGGCAGGAGTAGAAGAGGCGAACCAAGGCTTTCCTGCTGTTCAGCTTGCTGATGCACAGGTAGGCTAGCCCAAATACGACTCCTTCAGCAGTACTTAGCACCTGGAGCCATCAGGTAACTGCAGATGTTTACTCTGTATCTGCCTGCTAAGAACCTTCATGTGCATAACAGGAATAGCCTCTTATGTTTATTGCAGCACTCTTCAACTCTTCACAATAACCAGTTAGTAGAAATAGTCTCACTTTCCATCAATAAAGACAGTGTGGTATATGTATGTATGTATGCATATATATATATATGATATACATCACATTGATATGTATCATACATATATACATACATATGTATATAAACCATATGTGATATATATATATATATATATATATATATATATATTCAGCCATAAAATGAGTGGGATTCTATCATTTGTGACAATATGGTTGGATTCTATCATTTGTGACAATATGGCTGGTACTGGAGATTATTATGTTAAGTAAACTAATATAGACACTGAAAAACAATACTTAAATGATTTCACTCATATGCAGAATACAGAAATCTTAATCACCTAAAAATTGAGAGCAGATGAAGTTACTCGAGATGGAGGATAGTGGGAAGAGAGGATGGAGAAAGACTGATTAGTACTAAATTATGCTTCGATAGAAGAAGGAAGTTTTGATGTTGTAGTGCACAATGGGAGGACAACAGTTAATGATAATGCACTGTATATAAAAAATAAAACTAAATGAACAGAGTTTGAATGTTTTCACCATAAAGAAATGGCAGCTTTTGGGGAGGATAGATATATTTACCCTACCTTTTACATTTGTCTATATAAATATTAGAATACCACATGATACTCCATAAATCTGCTTTTTTACTTTTTGAACTTTTCTTTGGTGGTACTAGGGTTTCAACGCAGATCCTCATACTTGCTAGTCAGGAGCTATATCACTGGAGCCACTCTTATCAGCCCCTTTTTGTGTTTATTACTTTTGGATAAGGTCTTTCTTACTTTATGGCTGGACAGGCCTGGACTGCTTTCCTCCTGTTTATGCTTTTCTATGTTGCTGAGATGTTGAGTGCATGGGACTCTTACCTTGTAGTTAGGATGACAGATATATGCCACTGTACCCAGGCATTGATCAAGATGGAGTCTCACAAGTATTTATTTTGGCCTGGGCTGGCCTCAAACTGGCCTCAGTTACTGCCTCTGAAGCAATTAGAGTTACAGGCTTTAGCCAACTGTGCCTGGCTGATATGTATAATTTTTATGTATAAGTCAAAAAATGAAAAACTATGTAAACTAGCTTAGAAATATATAAAAGTTGGAGTGAATGAGAAGATTGCTGACTTCAGGCCCCTGGCAAGAATGACACATAGTATTAAGGATCTATCTAGTTAAGGATTTAGGTCAATATTAAAGTTAGTTATAGGAGTAGAAAAGGAATGATCCTTTATAGATATACAAGAAAAGAATGGTGAAGAGTTGTAGTGTATAGTCTAGGAAGTGGCTGCAATGGAGTTTATGTCCAGGTTGTAAGGACAAGGATGTCCTATAACTTAGGAACTAAAATGTTGGTCTTGTCATCTCATAGGTAGCAAAGTTACTGGAATGGAAAAGAAAAAGGAGAAAAGCAGTTCAGAAGTCCTAATATATATGGAGGGTTAGCCAGAGGGCATAAACAAACAAGGGGAACAAAATTAGGAAAGATGTAAGATTTTTTAAACTTAGAAGAAATTTTCCATTGGGATGAAAGAACAAACCTAAGAAAGAGTGTGAAAGGAGTGTGCCATCTGAGTATGAAAGAGCCTCCTAATCGAGAATAAAAGGAGATTTCTCCCTAGACTTCTAGACTAGAGGAAAATTGTTGGAATTTATATTCTAGGCCTCTATTGCCACCAAAGGGGCATGTCTTTGCACATGATAGGTAGGTAGATAGGTAGATAGGTAGGTAGGTAGGTAGGTAGGTAGGTAGGCAGGCAGGCAGGCAGGCAGGCAGGCAGGCAGGCAGGCAGGCAGGCAGGAAGGGAGGCAGGCGGGCGGGTGGGCTGGCGGGCAGACAGACACAGACAGACAGACCAGAGAGATAAAGGGACCTAGAACAAGTGAAAGTGTGTACTTGGATCTCACTGTATAGATGATTCTTGTCCATTTGGATAGGTCATTTTAAGCTTCAGGAAAAGCTCACTAAGGAAGAATGGATAGTAGAAGAGTTAGGAGGAAAAGCACTGGGTAGCACTCAGGTTTGGGCTGGGGAACATGAAAGGGAAAGAATGAATGGTAACAATGAGTGCTTCAGACCTGAACACTTGGTGTGTTCTGTGAACTTGAGTTACAGATAAACTATATTTAGAAGCTAATATATCAGATTTTTTTTTAAAAAAAAAGGATGTAAAGAGTATATCTGTCTCTATCTCCCTATGCCTTTTTTAAAAGTAAGAGGTTGTATAAGTTAAACTTTCATACGCTTAGGCAGGATAAAGAATTATATTTCTTCACACTAGTAGTAACTAGTAGTACTGTGGTCAGATAGAGTGCATGGTCCTATGGATGTTAATGTCTTCCAGGTTGTTTTTAAGCCCCTCCTGAGCCATACAGGAATCCAGTCACAGGACTCGATGCCACTTTGCTATCGGATGTACTTCGGAGAGCACCTTTCATTCTCAGGAACTTTGGACTGTCTCCGAGCAGACATTGTAGACTCAGACACGGCTAAAGAGAGAAAAGGAAAAAGAGCAAGAAGGTGTCATTTGCATTTTTATATTAAAATGTTAGCATGAATTGCAGTAACTTTTAAAAACTTTTCTGTCTTCTCATTCTAATGAGAAACCAACTGTAAATATCTTAATGAGTAGATAATTTGAGTAAATTAGTATTGAATTTTCTTAAGAATATCTGGTTATTAATATGATGGAGAAGCCTACTTTTGAGTATGTGTGGGTGCACATGTGCATGCATGTGTGTGTGCATGTGCTTGCTTGTACAAGATTGCCAGTTCTGGGGCTTGAATTCAGGGCCTGTATGCTATCCCTGTGAGGTTTTTTTGCTCGAGGCTAACACTCTACCACTGAAGCTCTAAATGTACTTCTGGCTTTTTGCATTTAATTGGAGTTAAGAATCTCACAGACTTTCCTGCCCTGGCTTGCTTCAAACTGCGATCCTCAAATCTCAGCTTCCTGAGATCTGATTTGAGCATATTTGTGTAGCACGTTGGCACATATACAAATCTTTTGAAGTCTATTAATATTTATGCTCATTTATATACTTTTCTTGCAGCAGGTAAATTTTTATGGTCTTAAATTATTTTTTTGTATTTGTATCTTAGGAAGTCCTGTTATTATTAGAAATAGAAAGTCATACTGTGAATATAGCCATCAGATCAAATATGCAATAATACTGAATGTAGCCCACCTGCTATTCTGTAATTTCATGAATAATTCTTCAGTTTCTTCACTGTTTACACAAAAAATAATATACCTCAGCCTCCTGAGTAGCTAGGGTTATAGGTATGAGCTATCAGTGTCCAGATGGGTGTGTGTGTTGCTGTGAATAGGAATAGTGGAATATGGCAGCTTTTATGATGGTACTTTTGTAACAGTTTCATTCTATTTGTGCTTGGGCATGGAGGTAAAATAAAAGTAAAGTACACATTTCCAGTATGTAGCTAAGTAAATTATATTTTTCACCTGAAATCTTTTTTTTTTTTTTTTTGGCCCAGTCGTGGGCCTGAACTCTGGGCCTGGGCGCTGTCCCTCAGCTCTTCAGCTCAAGGCTAGCGCTCTACCACTTGAGCCACAGCGCCACTTCCGGCTTTTTTCTTTTTGCTTATGTGGTGCTGAGGAATTGAACCCAGGGCCTCAAGCATGCAAGGCAAGCGCTCTACCACTGAGCCACCTTCCCAGCCCCTCACCTGAAATCTTTTAAATGTTTAGATAATGTAATAAAATTAGTTTTTTATAACATTCTATAGAATTAAACAGGAAAAATTTGGCTTTCTAAAATTTTGTTTCAGGTCAGAATATCTGAGGATTTTCAATAACATTGGGACAAAGCAATTACATTGTCTCTTTTGTTTTGGTTTTGTGCTGTGACTGGAACTTGAATTCAGGTCCCTTAGCTTTTCTCTCAATACTGGCATTCTACCACTTGAGTCACATCTTCCATCTAGCTGCCTAATTGGAGTTAGGACTCAGGGACTTTTCTGCCTAGGCTGGCTTTGAGCTTTAGTTTGCATATCTTAGCCTTCTGAGTAGCTAGGACTACAGGCCTGAGTCTTCGGTGTCTAGCTGTTTGTGTTCTTTTCAATCAAAAACTGGGAATCCTTAACTTTTTACAACAGTGTGGGGAAGTGGCGCTGTAGCTCAACCAGTAGAGTGCTCACCTTGAGCGAAGAGCTGAGGGGCAGCGCCCAAGCCCAGAGTTCAAGCCCCACAACCGACCAAAAAAAAAAAAAATCATTCCAAAGGAAACTATTGCAACAGTGTGGTACCACAGGAACTACTGTACAGGTTGAAACTCTAAGATTGTAAAGATTAATGGGAAAAATTTATTTTGAAACATGGAGAGATGTATGTCAAACATCAGTGCTTATTATTATTGTATAGAACAATGAACAAAGAAAAATGAGAATTTAATATGTGAAACATTAAAAACATATAAAAACTGCTTAATGCTTTGTATAAACCTTACTAAAGAATAGTTGGAATACTTCTTTGCTTCTTCTTATCCCATAGCATAATTCTCACTTGTTAACCAAGTATAGAATAAATCAACAAGGGAGAGATGGGGCTTCAATTAAAATGTCTGGCACAAGTTATTTTTTAGTAGCTAATTGGGAATATGTTAGAAAAAAAATTAAGTCTTTGCTTTGATAAAGCAAAGAAGAAAAGCTGTTGCTAACAGAAATCCTGGCTTTCTGAGAATGCCCTTGCTAGATCTCTTGCTAAAATCATTTCCAGGGTTTGCAGTACATTTCACTTTAAGGATGACAGTTTGTTTTTTGTTTTGTTTTGTGTTGTACATTAGTAACATGGCACAGTTCAAGAAAGAGGAAGTAAACATTGTTCTGTTTGGAATGTTTCAGGCAAGGCCATGTGAACCTTCCTCCACTTGAGTTCAAGCCAGCATTAATGCTGGAGACCTTCAGTATCAGTGCAGTGGTGATGGAGAAGTCGGTGTGCACACCTCAGAATCCAACCAGTGCACTTTCCTTTCATGACCTCAACAAGCGCTATTACAACACTTTCCACTGTAACTTTACCATCTCCTGTCAGTCAATAAGCCAGCATGTAGACATGGCCTTGGTTCGTCTTATTCATCAGTTTAGTACAATGATAGATGACATCAAAGCCACTCAGACTGACATTAAACTTAGTAGATACACAGCCGGCTCAGCTTCCCCAACACCCACCTTCAAAACCAGAAAGCATCGGGATTTTCGCTCATCCGATTTCAGCCGCAGTTCTAGAGGAAGTCTTAATGGTACCAATCGAGTCAATAATGCTAAGAACAAACGGACCAACAATGAGAATAGCAAGAAAGAATCCCGAAACAAAAACTCGTTGGGAAGATCTGAAAGACGGACTTCAAAAGTATCTAGGAAAGGTTCCAAGGATGTGGTGGATCACATGACCATCCATATGGATGACTCTGATTCCATTACAGTGTCAGAGCAAAGTGAGCCCTCTGCAGAGTGCTGGCAGAACATGTATAAACTGCTCAACTTCTACTCTCTCATCTCAGACCCAACAGGCATACTGGAAAAATCTTCTGAGACATTTGGACCAGCAGGTAACGATTTTTAGCATCTTAATGTTTCTTTTTAGCAGTAGTGCTAAAAGATGTTATAATGAGATGAAATACAGAGAAATTGGCAATCAATTGGAGAGAAAGTAGTGACAATATTCAAATATGCTACTACCCTACTTCCTGTCCACTCAACTCTTACACAGTATGCTCTGGAAGGATTTAGATAATCTTCAATTACATATCTGGCACAAATATTTTTAATAGGTAATTTGGAAAATACGGAAAAGCAATGAAATCATTTTGGTAAGGCAGAGGAGAAAGCAGGCAGGTTGGAAGTGTTAAGGGAAAGAAAAGTAACATGGTATTTGGAATGTTCGTCTACTTTGCAGTTTTTATTTCTAAAACTATCTTTTCCATTTGCTGATAAAGGTGTTCGAAGCCCTACAGAGCCAACATGTAAAGTTGTGTTTGAGAATGAACAAGACAACAACAGTTTGACTAAGACGCAGAGGAAACGCAGCCTGGTGACAGCTGAGCCCCAACATGTTACTTTAATTGTGTTTGGGATAGGGATGGTGAACCGCACACACCTTGAGGCTGATATTGGGGGTCTTACAATGGAGTCAGAGCTGAAAAGGATCCATGGCAGTTTTACTCTTAAGGAAAAGATGAAAGGTAAAAGGATGTTCTAATATTACAGTGATACTTTTTTTTTTTTTGATCGGTTGTGGGGCTTGAACTCTGGGCCTGGGCACTATCCCTGAGCTCTTCAGCTCAAGGTGAGTGCTCTACCATTTGAGCCACAGTGCCACTTCCGGTTTTTTGGTGGTTAATTGGAGATAAGAGTCTCACGGACTTTCCTGCCCGGGCTGGCTTTGAACAGCAATCCTCAGATCTCAGCCTGCTGAGTAGCTAAAATTACAGGTGTGAGCCACTGGTGCCTGGCTCATAGTGCTACTTTTTCTGAAGGAAACCAGTGCTGTGTTTCTGAAATTCCTACTTGGCAGTATTTGTTTAGAAAGTGAAACAACAGAATTCTGAGGTAAAGTAACAAGGACTTTAAATGTAACACAAAGCTCAGTGAATTAATTGAGGCAACTTTTGATACCTAAGGAAAGTATTGGGAACACACATAAATACAGATCTAATGTATTTAATGCATAAAGCCCTATTAACAGTCTTTTTTTTTTGAGGTGGTACTAGAATTTGAACTCAAGGCTTAAGGGTTGGTAGGCAGCTACTCTAGCACTGGAACCATACCTCCAGCCATTTATGTTCTGGTTATTTTGAGTTCTTACTTTTTGTACAGGCCAGCCTGAACTATGATCCTCTTATTTATATTTCCCACCAGAATGGGGATAACAGGTGTATATCACCACACCCATTCTTTTTAATGTTAAGATGGAGCCTCATGACCATTTTTTGCCTGGGCTGGCCCAGAACAATAATCCTTCCAATCTCAGACTCCTGTGTAGCTGGGACGACAGGCACTCACCACTGAACCCAAATATTGGTTAAGATATGGTCTTGCCAACTTTTTGCTGGGGCTGGTCTTGAACTGCAGTCCTCCCTATCCTTGCCTTCTAAGTAGATAGGATTACAGGTGTACATAACCAGCTTTGGAGAGACTTATTCTTGACCATCTTTTAGTGTTGTCTGGTAAGATGTCTCTAGTGCCTGAAAACTTCAAGAAAATAATGAAATTTGTGCAGTACTTTTCTTCAGTACCACTACAGAAATCTTGTAACTCTCCATAAGAAGTTCTGCCAGCTGATAGAAAATTTCTGAGTGGCTGAAAATGTTCCATTTATTTCAAGAATGATCAAACAAATGATGGTATTTCAAATTAGGAAACCAAAAATGCACCATTCTTTTATCACAGAAAGAAAATAATGTCAGATTTGATCTGATGCTTTCAATTGTCAAACACATCCAAATTTCAGAGATGCTAAAGTAAAATCAAAGGCTTGGAATCAGTGGGAAGTACAGTATAGAACTCCTGGTAGGAAGGGCTCCAAGATCAGGAGCTTTTCTTTCTTGTTATAAAAAATAGCCTGATGAAAGGAGGAGGCTACAATGCTTGATAAGAACTGTACTCATTATCTTGTCATGTAATTGTAACCCCTCTGTACAGTATTTTCACAATAAAAAATAAATAAAAATTTAAAAAAATAGCCTGATAAATAACAAAAGGAAAGTCTTGTTAACTTTGTGGTTGTCAAATATTTACTGTCCATATAATCTTGAACCTTGTTTTCACCATGTACCCTGCTCTGTTATATTTTATACTCTTAAGTAAAATTTTCTCAAAAACTAATTTTAAATTAAAAATTATATAATACTAAAGAAAATTCTCTAGGGGAATTAGACAAATAATCAGTTGCTAAGAAAACTACAAACACATCAGCTCCTCCTTAAAACTATAATCAGAGGGCATAAAGAATACACATAAATTCATATGACTACACTGATATAACTTTCTTGAAATTGGTTAAAAAAATCAGTTTAAGAAAAATTAGTAATATATTGCCTTGTTTGGGGGAGAACCAGGGAAATGGATATGTCATTCACTTCTGAATGAATACATTAGACATTTCCAAACATTAACAAATAGTTTTTATTAATAGTTTTTAAACTACATTGATCCTTTTGCTCAGAAATTCCAGTTCTACAAACTAAGCAGGAAAACAAGTCTTACTTTGCACAAAAAAATTATGTGGGAAGATGTCTGTATAGAGAAGCAGGCAGGGCTAGGAAGATGGCTCAGTGGTAGAGTATTTGCTTGGCATGCATGAGACCCTGGGTTTGATTCCTCAGCACCACATAAGCAAAAAAAGCCGGAAGTGGTGCTGTGGTAGAGCTTTTGCCTTGAGCTGAGTACCTGAGGGATAGAGCCCAGGCCCAGAGTTCAAGCCCATGACCAACCAAAAAGAAAAGAGAGAGAGAGAGAGAGAGAGAGAGAGAGAGAAGCAAGCAAATGTCTGGTATTAAGTATTTGTTGTTATTTTTATAGCTATATGACAGTTTATAGTTTACCCATTAAAAGTTATATATAGAATATATTAATATGGAAAATGCCAAATGCAATGTGTGAATCATTTGTTTTTTAAACATTTATTTATAATTTATTTTAATAGCATATTTTGGTGGCACAGTATAATATGTATAATGTCTCCTGATCAAATTTACCCCCTGTATCACCCTCCCTCATTCCTCCTCACAGTCTTCTTCAAGCAGCCTCAGCAGGTTTCATTATTTTCCTGCACGCTATAAAATATTTATACCATATTCACCATTCTTCACCATATCTTCTTACTCTTCCCACTTTCACTGGTACCCACCCCCAACAGAACATGCCATACATTATAGTCATTTATTTTCTTTAGTTTATAGTAATTATACAAAGTGGTCCTACCGTGGTATTTCATGCATGCTTATATCTTCAGAGAGATTTACCTTCTCTATTGTCTCTTAATACATTTTCTTCCATGAAGATAACAGAATTATATGAAATGATAGAAACAGTTTATGTGGTTTTCCCTCTTACAAATTTTTATTTTTCAAGTTTTCTCCTCACTGTTATTTCTGAGATTAAAAATACTGGAAATGGAAGTGTGACTTAAGTGGTAGAACTCAGCAGAAAAGCCATATGAGAGCATAAGGCTCTGAGTTCATGCCTTGTGTGTATAAGTGCATGCACATGCTTGTGTATGCACACCTAAACACACACACATTTGCCAAGCATTGGTGGCTTATACCTGTAATCTTAGCTACTCAGAATGCTGAGATCAGAGATCTAGATTTGAACACAGCCTGTGCAGAAAAGTCCATGAAACTCTTATCTTCAAATTAACCAATAAGTAGGAAGTGGGGCACCGGTCTTGAGTGAAAGAGCCAAGCTTTACAGACCCTGAATTCAAGCCCAGTGGCAGTAGAAAAAAAAATATTGATAAGCTATTTAATGAATGAGTGAATATTTAATAATATGATGTATATTTTGCATTATCCTAAGTTTTATATGTAATATGTATGTATATATGATTACAGAGAAATAAGTAGCAAGAAGGACATTTTTTAGAGTAATCTGAAAATAGTTGGATAGTTTTGTGACTTTACAATTTTCTTTTGCATCTGAATATTATAAATAGTAAGCGATTTTAATATGAAGTACAATTATTTCCAGAAATCAAATTATTGTTTTTTCTTACATTTAAGATGTTTTACATCAAAAGATGACTGAGACATGTGCCACTGCTCATATTGGTGGGGTGAACATTGTGCTGCTTGAAGGAATTACACCAAATATACAGTGAGTGTGTTCATTTTTATTCTTTCCTTTTCCTTTTGCTTGCTTGGAATAGGGCTGGAGCCCTGGGCCTCATGCTTGCTAGGCAGATGCCCTACCATTTGAGCTATGCCTGCAGTCTGGTTCTTTTTTTCTTCTTATACTTGTTTTTTATAGGTAACTTGAAATTCTTTGGATGAACTCATACTTGTTGATTTTAGAATTTATATACAATATTTTCAAATGTTGTGATTTTGTTATCAAGAATATCCACAAATAAAATGGTTTTAGAAAGATAATTGTTTTTCTTCCTGAAATTTGTTTTACTACCTGTTCTTTCCCTTTACCTGCCAATATAGCCTAACTCTTAAAACATTGTAAGATTATCTAACAGGGAACTTGGTCACAGTATAAATTTCTGTTTAGTATATAACAAGCAAATGTTTGTGTAATTCAAGTAATTAATTAAAACAAAATTACAGGCCAAGTCTATACGTTTCTCCGATTAATCACTTTCACAGTGGATTTAAAAACTTTTCCCTGTCATTTTAACATTGAATTAACAAGGAAGTTTTTGAAATGTTGTAGAAAGGTAATGTTTTTTTTAACAGGTATACATAAGCTTTTATTTCACTCTTTTTTTGGTCTTAGATCTATTCTTACTTGTTCTGATAATGACTACCTGTGTATGTGGTAATCAAATCCCCAATTCATTATCAACAGATTTGATCATTTGACTATGTTATTCTCCCTTATTTCTAACCTCTCTGACACACACAGATTCCATGATTTCTTTGTAGACTCTTTAACTTTAGAACTATTCAGAAAGTAGACCAAATTTCTGTCACTTTGTATTTACTCCATCTTTTTGGGTTTCTCTATTTGTGTTACCTCATAAGAGAAGAGCTTCAAATAACCTCAGTATTTATAAAACAGGACTTTTGCATTTTTTTAAGTTTTTTTTGGGGGGGGGGTTGATACTGGGGTTTTAATTTAGGGCAAGTACCCTACCACTTGAGTCATTCCTCTAGCCCTTTTTCTTTAGTTTATTTTTCAGATAAGGTCTGAGACTGCAGTCCAACTACCTCTTCCTCTCTGCCTATTTAGGATTACAGATATGCATCACTATGCCTGACTTTTATTTTTTTCTGTTGTTTGTTTTGAGGTAAAGTCTCCTTGTGCCTAGGCTGGCTCATCTCTATCTCTTCCCATCCCTATCTCCCTCATATCTAGGATCATATCTAGGTGTGAGTTCTTCCAAACATCTCCAAGAGTGTTTCATTTTAAGTGTTATATAGTTTATATTTCTTGCTTCCCCTCTCCTAGGTAAAATTCTTTATTGGTAAGGGGAAACAAAGGAGGAGGCAATAATGCTTGATAATAAATACACTCATTACCTCGCCCATGTAATTGTAACCCCTCTCTAATGGTATTTTCACAATTAAAAAAAAAAAAGAAAAAAGAAAAAAGTTACTCACTTGTCACGACCAACCTCACAGTATTACTACTGTTTGAATTTATTCTTTGACATTTCATTTCAACTTAATGACAATGGCATAAAAGTAGTTTGAAAGATACTTTGAAGGAAAACTTTAAGGTGGGGAAATCAGAGCTTTCCAGCTGCTTGCTTTTGTGTAACTGATTTATATATGGATGCTCATTTGCTTCCTTTCTCTTTCCTGCTTTTTTTCCTGCATCGCATCTTAGACTGGAGGATTTCCCCACATCTCCTACAAGTACAGCCAAACAAGAGTTTCTGTATGTCACATTCTTTTTCATGGCTTGTCATTAACATAGTATTGTAGACTATTTACAATAACAATTTATTTTTGTGGCTGGGAATATGTGTAGTTGCTGTTTTATAGTCTTAATGCAGACATAATAGATTTAAGCTTACAATATACAAGGACAAAAATAAGGGACTGTCTTTTTGGCAATTGACGCTTTGTTTTGTTATTTCTGACAGATTTATAACATTGTATTTGTGTACTGCTTGTACTTTATAGACATGTTACTATCAAAAGTTCTATTATCATAAATATATTTAATGTTTGATATGATAATAGAAGCCAAAAAATTCACTGCAAAAGTTTCATTGGTCATGAAAATAATTTTAAAACACTAACAAGAAAGTATCTGTATATTTCAACTTTAAAATAGGGTTTATTCCTATTTTGATGAGTTTTTTCTATGGCTTTTACTATATAAACCTTTATATTGTGAATGGCTTAATTTGGTCCATTGCATATCTTGCAGTGGTAGTTATTTAAGTCTGTCACCATTACAAATTAACATGTGAGTTAGTACTAGTTATTTCTTTGAACAATTTTCTATAAGATTTGAATATGTCAAACAAGTGGATAAATGTATATATGTTGTCCACTGGTAACGAGATAATCTGTTTAATGAGATTTGTTTCATTGTATATTAACAAGCTATAGATAAAACATTGTTAATTAAAAGTTTTTTTGAGAAGCCAGGCGCCGGTGGCTCACACTTGTAATCCTAGCTACTCAGGAGGCTGAGATCTGAGGATCCTGGTTCAAAGCCAGCCCTGGCAAGAAAGTCCGTGAGACTCTTATCTCCAGTAGAGCACTAGAAAACCAGAAGTGGCACTGTGGTTCAAGCGGTAGAGTACTTGCCTTGAGCTGAAGAGCGCAAGGACAGTGCCCAAGCCGAGTTCAAGCCCCATGACCGACAAAAAAAACAAATGCAAAAACAAAAGTTCTTTTGAGGATTATTGTGATTATTTCACTTTATCAGCCAACAGAAAACACTAAAAAAAAAACAAAAAACACTTACAGATTTTTTTACGGGAAACTACTCTTTGACATTAGCATCATCTTAACATGTATAAAAAAAACCCACATTTAATTCCACTTCAAAAATCAGAGTACTTAGGGCTGGGAAGGTGGCTCAGTGGTAGAGCGCTTGCCTTGCATGCCTGAGGCCCTGGGTTCGATTCCTCAGCACCACATAAGCAAAAAAAGAAAAAAGCCGGAAGTGGCGCTGTGGCTCAAGTGGTAGAGCGTTAGCCTTGAGCTGAAGAGCTGAGGGACAGCACCCAGGCCCAGAGTTCAGGCCCACGACTGGACCCAAAAAAAAAAAAAAATCAGAGTACTTAGAGGGTTTTTTCCTTTATGTACAAAAAAACATATTGACTTATAATGCTTTTACTGGCTATATCTACTCAGTGATTACGTATTAGCTTATATATTATGTGCTAGACTCTCATTGGGCTGCAGGCATGCAGAAATAAGAAAATGAGAGATGGTTCCTGTCTTAATATTACTTGTAGACTATCATACCCTTTTAGTGTATTTTGATGAGAGAGCTATTAGTTTTTAATGGCTGACTAAATTGCATGCAATAATTATATTGTGCATCCTCATTGTGTAGATTTTCAGGGAAAACTGAATAAATATGAGCAACATAAGCCAGCTTGTCTAAATAGTCTACTCCCTCTCTCTGCCTCTTTGGGACCTGACTACTTAAGTAGATGGACTGAGGTGGAGTTAGAGGTAGAGATAATAATTGATACAAGAACATCACACTGTCCCACTTCAAGCAACGCTGCTAAAATTGGAGGATCATTTATATACATTGCAGTGTGAATGGGGCCCTCTAGTGTTGGGCACTAGAAGTCCTGGAGTCGGTAATCTTAAATTTCCATTGAACATTCTGTTCAGTAGGATCTCTAGTAGGTGAGCAATCGAGAGTTTAGATTTTTTGTTTAAATGAAGAATCCCAGTATTGAATATGTAAATACCTACTAAAAATAATATTTAGATTACCTTTATAAGTGGATAAAGGTAAACAGTGAGATGTCCGGAAAGTAAGGAAGTATAGCTTTTATTTTCAACGTGTACTTTAACTGAATAGTAATAACAGATAGAAGTAGTCTTGTTGGTCATGCAACATAGAGATGATCAGACAGCACATGGAGAAGATGTTCTGGGACTTGGACTGATGAATTCAGTAGCCTATTAGCTACCAATAGGAGGGATCCATTCATAATTTTGTTATAATTCTTAAAGACAGTTATCACCAAACCTAGGTCACTGTAGTCTATGTATGAGCTTTATGCAAGTAATAAGTTTTTAAAATTTCTGTAAAAATAGTAACTATAAAAATATTTAACTTGCTTACATATACATGTCATAAACATGGAAAGTTCATGGCCATGTCCAGGACAGGGTAAAAGACTGATTGACAGTGTGGTCTGTTTCACAGGGTGCTCATAAACCCATTGAGAGCCTCCCATATAGCTACAGCCACAGGGCCTGAGAAGGCCAGGGCTTGAGCTCAAGCAGCAGGGATTTTAAAAGCGGGCCTGCCTGCAACAATTTCTTTTTGCATCACAGATGATAGAGTAATTTGTTATACCCTTTGGTTAAGTTTAAGAAGTATAGTAAGTATATATTCTTTTGATATTTAGTTTCCATCTCTCTCAGAAAGGATTCATAAAATAAGTTGGAAAAGAAAAGGGAAATTGTGAATGTGAAAAATATACCAAAGTGGATTTTTTTGTGTGTTTATATATGCACATTTATATGTGTCAATTTTGTGCTTTTACTAACATGCAACACATAGAAACACATAGTTTTTTTGTTTATAAATTGTTCCTGTTAAAGATATGGTATGCTATTCAGTGCAGTATTTAAGCATATTTTCATATTTTTGAAAACATTTCTTTGATATATGATTTAGCACATCAAAGACCTTGTTTTAGCTCCTTTAATGATTTAAGAGTATTTCCCTTGCTCTCAATACTTTTTCATTTTATCCCCATCTTTGGTTATTTTTTAATGATTCTTCTTCTCTACTGATAGAACTGTGGTGAAATGTAGTATTGCCAAGTCCCAAGCCCTCTACAGTGCCCAGAGAGGGCTGAAGACAAATAATGCTGCTGTGTTCAAAGTCGGAGCTATCAGTATCAACATTCCTCAGCATCCTGCCACCTTACATAGCATGATGGTTCGAAGTTCTCACCAGTTATCCAAACAAATCTCAGACCTCATTCGACAGCCTTCTACAGCGTAAGTTATTTTCTTTTGTCACATTCCATGATTCTATTTATCGTCTTAGGATATTCATTGTGGTGATAACACAAGATGCAGGGTAACCTGCAAACAATGACCATCTGGACAGTAGGGAACGTAGAGATTACTCAGAGATGGCTGTGGGAGAGTAGTATTCAGTAAATCCTGAGTTATTCTGACAAGCAAGCACTGTTTCAGAAAAGCAATTGTTAGTGCTCCATATTATAGATATACAGTTTAAGATTAATACATAAATACAGTTTAAGATTTAATGACATCATAAGAAGTTCTAATAAAAAGAAAAGTGATGAACCCTAAAGCTGTCAATTCTTACTTTGAGTTCATTAAGATTTATGATTGTATAAGTTTCAGAAATTGCAGCTGTCATTTGTGTCTCATACATACTTTTGTGTGATCCCTTATTCTGAAGTTACTGAATCTGATTGATGACTGGATATAATTCCATGTAATTGTTTTAAAGGGCAATAAATTGGTGTGTTTGTAGCCATTTTTCATTGCATCTACCTGCTTAGGCTTCTTCCTTAGCTATAACTAATGAAAAAGATACAACATGTAAACATTTGTTGTATTTCTTTGTCTTTATATTGTAAAGTGAGAAATGTTATTGAATTTTTTTGATGGTGTCCTAAATCAGACTTTTTTGCCCAATCATTTTAATCAGATCTTTAGTTCTCATGTACTAATAAATTATGGCTGAAATTGGCTGACTATTCAAAATTTAAATATATTGCTCCTGTGAGTGAACTATGGAATTCTGTGTACATTCTAGTTTTAAAATACTATAATTTTTCCTTATTATAATATATTACTAATAGGGTTAATAGTAAAAAAAGAAGTCTCAAGACTCTAGAGACAGATTGATTAGGTTTAGTCCCAGTTTTACTACTTTCTAGCCATGGCTAGCAGGTTAACCTGCAAAGCAGGTTAACGGAATGAACTTTGTGAGATTAATGAGATAAAACACAAAATAGAACAGGATTTGACATTGCAGTGATCATTGATATGGCTGCTGCTGGTGTTGTGTATTATGAAATGGTATTCATAATAGTATTGCCACCAACAGTATAGTATATAATGGTAATGCCATAGAATTTGTAATCAGACAGATCTTGAGTTGAAATGCCAGCTTTGCATTAATGAAATAAATCACCGCAAAAGTGTACCATTCCAAAAGTCTATACTAGATATCTATTTTGTTATTCTTGTTTACTTTTCTGAATCATTGTCATCCAGATAGCTATTTTGCAATGAGAAATCTACTAATTTTTTTCAGTGGAGTGGTACCTATTATTTTTAACTATCTTTGGCTTACAGTCCACAGCCTATGAAAGAAGATATTGCAACCCCACTACCTTCTGAGAAAACCCCAACAAGTGTTAATCAAACTCCTATTGAAACCAATGAATTTCCTCAGTTACCTGAAGGCTTAGAGAAGAAGCCTATTGTTCTTAAGTTCAGCGCCATGCTAGACGGAATCGCCATTGGGGCAGCACTTCTGCCATCCCTGAAAGCAGAGTACAAGATGGGAAGGATGCGAAGCCATGGAATGACAGGTAATGTTGGAGTTTCCAGTTCTACCCTTTCAACTTAATGGTATGTCTGAGGACAAAGATACATTTGATGAGAAGGTAAATATAAATCTGAATAATTTTGAAGAAAACAATTTCATTTATGATATGATAATTGTCAATCCAGCCAAAAGTATGAATGTGCCTTTTTGAATGGTTATGATAGATTATACTTTGAACTCTACAAAGTTCTCAACTGTTTAGGACATATACCTAATTTAAACTTAAATCAAATAAATTAAGCAGCTTCTAAAGTTGTTAGGTTTTTGTAGTTTGAGTTGCTTGGCTTATTTTGACTTTGGATGCATTTATTTAAGTCAGATACAATTGTATTTCTTCAAAAGAGCTACTTGTCTATGGTTTTGTGATCTTTATATATTTTATTCAAAAATTATTTACTTCTTAAAAATGTGAATGTTTTTCAAATATACTAAGGTGTGCAAATTATAAACATACATTTTAAGGAAATATCAACCTGCTATCTAACCCAAACTAACAATTAGACCATTGTTGGTACTTTGTAACATCCTTCAAAGGTAGTTTACATGACTGCTTGTGGAAGAGTCACTGTTGGGATTTTGTCTTCATTCATTTGCTCTCTTCATATTTTTACCTCATGTGTGTATGCTCATAAATGATTTAAGGTTTGCTTTTTCACTACACTTTTTTCTGTACATTTGGTTTAAGATTCATTCATTTTTATTTCTCTATCTGGTTTATTCACATATTTCATTGGAACTAAAGAATTAATGTGATTATGCCAGAACTTACTTATTTGTAGGATCTATTTTGAGAGTGTAAGGATACTTAAGCAGGACAATCACTGTAGGGCAAGTGTGCCTTCAGTTTAACTAAGGAACACAGCTATTCTCCACAGAGCGTGTACTAGTTACTCTTCTACCAGCACTACTTGCGTGTTCTTATTGTTCTAGTTTCTTGGAACCACTGTGTCCAGCTTTTATATTGTTGCTTCTTTTTGTGCTGGTCCTGGGGTTTGAACTCAGGGCCCTGGTACTCTGTCCCTGAGTTTTTGTGATCAAGGGTAGTGCTCTACTACTTGAGCCAAAACTTTCCTTCTGGCATTTTTGATGGTTAACCTAGAGGTAAGTCTCATGGACTTTCCTGTTTAGGCTGGCTTTGAACCTTGATCCTCTGATCTCAGCCTTCTGAGTAGCTAGGATTAGATGTGAGTCACCAAGACTTGACTTATATTAACTTTTAAAACAGTATTTTATCATGATAAGTTAACTTTTACACATGTAAATACATGTATTTACATAGTTATCATTATATATGGATTCCTAGTCCTAGAATTCAGGATTTTTCTTAATAGAAGTTTTGTAGTGGTTGTTATTTGTTTCTGAACATTTACACCTGTGTATCACAGTTCCCAGGTTTGGCAGTAAGAAGTACTACTGGGCTTTCAAGTCTTGGAGCCTAATGTAACAATGTGTTGGACTCATTTGGTCATTTATTCTAATCATTGTGAAATACAATGGTTAACAGAAGCAGCAAGTCAAAAAGTAGATAAACAGTTTAGAAATAGAAAGATGGAAATATGTAAGAGCAGAAAAAGCGTACTGTCAAATGATCCCAACAGGGTAAGAAGTATAATCATTGAAATGAAGGAGAACAAAAGAGTAGAAGAATGCCTACATTAGTGATAGTGGATGGATTATAACTGAGGCCAAGGATTGATTCTGCGTGGATGTCCTTATTTAGCAGTGCTGGCAGGAGAGGTGGTGGGATACAGTTCTGACCTCTTGCCCTTTTAGGTGAGGGCAGGTCCCTGTTGGGACTAGAGAGTGAACAGAGATTAGGGTGGTGATGGTAACTATTTTGTAGATACCACAGTTGATAAGTATTTTTGTATTTATGACTAATGCATTTTAAGGATAAATATTATTGTAAGGCAGTGAATATGACCTACAGCAAGTAATTCTTGATGAATATTTTGAAAAATGAGTTATTTCTGCTTAAGAAATAAATTATGTATATGGATAAAATATGGTACTTAATGTCTTTGAGTGGAGACAACTCAAGAAAATTAGTACATTTTTCTGTACATGTGGTTGTACATTACATATGTGATGGGAAATAATAGCTTTTGATTATAGTAAGGTTTCTATTACACCTTCCTGCCTGCATAGACAGTTGGAGAACTATAGGCTGAACAATGGTGCCTCTGTGTATGTGTGTACACACGTTTGTATGTGCTATTTAGTTTACTGTAAAGAGTAAACTAAAATTCCTAAAATCCTTATTTGGATAACATATCTTTACTTGGTGTACCAGTGGGTAATTGTCCCATTAAAAATTGTTACGGTTGGGGCTGGAAAGGTGGCTCAGTGGTAGAGCGCTTGCCTTGCATGCATGAGGCCCTGGGTTCAATTCCTAAGCACCACATAAGCAGAAAAAAGAAAAAAGCCGGAAGTGGCACTGTGGCTCAAATGGTAAAATGCTAGCCTTGAGCTGAAGAGCTGAGGGATAACGCCCAGGCCCAGAGTTCAGTCCCCACGACCGGACCCCCCCCCACCAAAATCGTTAAGGTCAAGGAGGGGTAACAATGCTCAATAGGAAATTTATTCATTACTTTACTCATGTAACTGTAACCCCTCAGTACAGTATCTTTACAATAAAAAATATTTTAAAAAATTAAGGTCAAAGATGCATGGGTTTATATAATTTTCTGATTACATTGAATTTTCCTTGTATGTATTAGAGATTTTTTAAAGAAAAATGTGAACTGATTTTTCATTACAACTCTTCTTTTTGTTTTGCCTTCTATATTGTATATTTGTAGGTGATTGTCTAATATTTAATACAGTGCTGGGAACCTACCATTCCTAATAAATAGGAGCTTAGTAATACTTGCTGACTATTTCTAGTAACCATATATTAGATTTTAAAACATGAGGAAATTTGAAGTATTCTTTCATTTGTTTAAAAGATATAAAAGTGAGAAATTAATGCATGGATAAGTACCTGAACAAACAATAACTTTGCTTTTCTCTTACAGGTGCACAGACAAGGTTTACATTTGAATTGCCAAATCACAGGCTGCGTTTTACTTCAAAAGTTTCTGCCACAGATATGTCAACCATTCCTCCTTCTGCCAGTCTTAACCTTCCTCCTGTTACTATGTCAGGGAAATACATAATGGAAGAACATGATAGTTACTCAGACCAAGTGTGGAGTATAGATGAACTGCCTTCTAAGCAGGGGTACTATTTACAGGGAAATTATCTACGTTGTGTGGCAGAAGTAAGTTTACTTTGATATTTTCTTACACTTTGTAATTAAAGAGTTTCATATTTTAGATGCACCAACATACAAGTGATTCAGACTTTTAAATCACTTGTTCCTATAAAAGCTACTGAATCAACAACAAAAGTGCCTCTTTCCCTGCCTTTCAATGTCTGTCTCTTTCTCTCTTTTCTTTGAGGTTTAATTGAAATATACTTGTTAAAAAATACCAATAGTCATCTTTAAATTTATATTTTTTACAGTGGACTAAATACTTACCTTAAAAATTATGAGCTAGGTATTTATGGCTCATGCCTGTCCTCAGGAGGCTGAGATCTGAAGAATAGGGTTCAAAGCCAGCATGGGCAGGAAATTCCATGAGACTCTTATCTCCAATTAAATACCAAAAAAGCTGGAAGAGCTGTGGCTCAAGTGGTAGAGCACTAACCTTGAGTCAGAAATCTCAGGGACAGTACCTACGCCCTCAGTTGAAGTCCTATGACTGGCACACACACATATAAAAAGATATTTAAGCAAATAGTAGCTGACATTCAAAAGCCTTATACACATTGATTTCTGTAGTTCTTAAATCAGCTCGTGAGGCAAATAGACTTGATTTCATTTCTTAAGTGGAGAATTTAGCCCTTATGATGTAGTATGGCTCTTATAGACATACAAAAGTATTGAAGATCATATAGAAAAATAAAATAGATTTATAGACTAATTTCTATACTAAGGTAAGTTGGAAGTTGACAAACCTGATTCCATCTGTTTGTTTTTTTTTTTAACTTCCTAACTACAACTGTCAAATGTAAAAAGCATATGGACACATGTTTAGTTCAATTTGAACGTCTCAAAGGAAGTTATTTTGAGTTTTTTGATAGAAATATTACAGTTATAGGGAACATTTCCTTGTGTTCCTCTTCCAATTTATGTAGTAGAAAATTGAAGCTGAGAGAAAACAACTTTCCTTTTTAAAGTCTCCCAACCTTTAAATGAAGGAGACAGGACCTCTCTTCAGTAGTTTTCCTCTTCCAGGCAGCACAATGTATGCTCACTCACCTCATCAGTGTGGTAGAAACAGTTACAACCTGGCAAAAAATAAAATAAAAACAATTTTCTACTGGTTTTAGAATTTTTATTGAAATCTGAAGCATCTATAAGATATGTGAGTTATTTTATAAAAATATTACTGTTGCAGAAGACATATAGTCTGACTTTAATTTCTTCAGATCCTACTTAGCTTAGACCTAAGAGTTGGAATTTGTTTATGTGGAAAATCACTACCAAACAAAGCCTACAAAATTCTAACAAGTCAGTGATTTTCTTAAAAGTTTTAAAGTATTTTTTTACTTGTGCTTTGTGCTTTGAAAATAAGTATCCCATACTCAGTTGAGCAATAAATAGTTAAATAAATCTAATGCAGTATGTTGCATATTTCCTCAAGGATATTGGATGTTAATAAAGGAAGAAAGTTTGTAATTCAGGAAGAACACAACCTCAAATTTAGTAAAACATTAATTTCAGACACTTCAAAGAGATCTAAAATTACATTCATCTTACATCTTACAATGGCCCCAAATAGACATCTCTGCCCTATTTACCATACATTGTACAACATAAAAGCATTCTGGCTTTTTGGTGGTTAACTGGAGATAAGATTATCGTAGACTTTCCTGCCCAGCCTGGCTTAGAATTGTGATTCTCAGATCTCTGCCTCCTGAGTAGCCAAGATTATATGTGTGAGCTACCAGCACCCATCAGATAATTAATAGAGATAGGTTCTCACTATGTAGGCCAGGCTGACCATGAGTTTGCTATGGCTCCCAAGCCTTTGTTCTTTTAATTTTTGATCCAAATAGGAACCCTCCAAAATTGATGTCAAGTATGAACTATTTGCCTTAATCATACAGCTGTACTTCTCCTATCATCAACTTTAATTATGAACTATTTTATCTATTTACTAATTTTTGCTAAAAATTAATGCCTTGAACAAATAATACAGTACATATTATATGCAACTTTTTCTTGTTTGCTAATTTACTCAACTATAGTCTTGAGATCCAGGATTTTTTTCTTCACAGCTGTATCCTTAGCATCTAACATGGTACATAGAGTTAATTGTAAAATGATCAGTAAATAGTGAAATAGTTAAATAAATGTGCTTTCATTTGTAGTGATGCTTGTCTGTGCTCTAAGAGCACAAAAGAAACTATCAAAAATAAATTTCACTTTATGCAACATTTTAATTGTGAAATTAGCGGGTTATATAATATTTTACTTGTTTTCAAAAGATCCCACCTTATTAAGTATGTTTATCCCAGTTTATTATGTACCTTTAAAAAAGGTGAATGGCTCTTATCAGACTATTAAAGTATTAGAGAGTCTGGAATTTTAAACTCTTCTTTACTATATTATTCTCAAATAGTTTGTAGACAATTATTTCCTCAGAGGTTTGGATACTTTTTAAAGAAAAAAAATAAAGCTGATAATGCATTCCATAGTGTTAATATAATACTTTGATTTTGTTTGGCAGGTTGGGTCCTTTGAACATAATCTTACCACAGATCTTTTAAACCACTTGGTGTTTGTACAGAAAGTGTTCATGAAGGAAGTTAATGAAGTGATACAAAAAGTTTCTGGTAAGATGATGTAAAATGATCTGCTACCTTTTAGTCTAAGTTTTTATTCTCATTTGCTCCATAATGTTCTACAATTTGAAATAAAACTTGATTGACACAAAAGTAGCAGTAGTGCATAGATATGCTCATCAATCAGTGATAAAAGTTTTCAAATAATGACAAACAGAGCATAAGCTTAAGTTTTAGAAATAGCATTGACTAAGGCGAACACTACTAGAATGAGTATAAGATTTCTAAGTGATGTTGCAAACAGAGGGGTTGTATTTGAATGAAATTTGGGAATGGAATTAGTGTATATCTAGGATAGTCCCAACAGAAGATCACAACAGCTCAATAGCCATATACACATAACCATATAAAATGATGCTAATCGAAATGAACTCCAAAATATGGGGGAAAAAAAAGAAATGATGTGACCAGAGTGGGCAGAAGAACTTCCTTATTGTAAGTAGAAGAGATGAAAAGCTAGTTTGTTGTAACTCTAGTTCTTTTGTGGTCTGTAATCAGAAAAAATGAAAAATAACTCAACAGCTCTCATCTTACCTATACAATCTCTGAGATGATGGCAAGCTCAATATACATACAAAAAGATTAATAATTTTAATATGGTGTGTTTGAAAGTATGAAGAAAGGTTTTCAAATCTAGGGAGTAGGTAGAAGTACAAGTTGTATTTTAATTAGTTCATTACTTTTTGTATAGCACCTGCATGGGCAAAATCATTTTTTCCCCCAGAGCTGAGGACTGAACTCAGGGCCTTGCACTCGCCAGGCAGGTGCTCTTCCACTGAGCTAAACCCCCAGCCCCAAAATCATTTAGGAACTTTCCCACCAGGATGCCCTACCCACCACTGTTTTTAAACTTATCAGACTTACTATTAACATACATTAGCCTTATTTTACATTTCTCCACCTTTATCTTTTTTTAATCTTTTTTGCTTGCAGCACTTCTAAATATATCCAAAAATGTTCACATTGTTGCAGGGATGAACAGTTTTACTTTTTTTGCCTCAAAGTGTCTTAAGTTTTATAATCACCTATTCGTTTCAGTTGTGTGTCTGTTTAAATTAAGCTTTATAAAATATTCTTAGTAAATATTCATCTATGGAGCAGACTTATCCTTGCCTTATGTATGCCTGCCTCAGGGAAATGTAACTTGATTGAAGATTGCAACTGAAGAATACCTGTTCTGCCAGGTGTGGTAGCCACATGCTTTTAAGCCTTCATCCTACAATGTGGACAGCTGAGGCGGGGCAGTTTCAAGTTAGGGCCAGCATGAGCTATATAGGGAAACCTGGACTCAAGAGCAAAAAAGAAAAAAGACCTTTTAATAGAGATTTTTTTTTTTAATTTTTTATTTTTTTGTCAGTTGTGGGGCCTGAACTCTGGGCCTGGGCCCTGTGCCTCAGCTCTTCAGCTCAAGGCTGGTGCTATACCACTTGAGCCACAGCACCACTTCTGGCTTTTTCTGCTTAATGTGGTGCTGAGGAATTGAACTCAGGGCCTCATGTATGAAGGCAAACACTCTTTTTAAATAGACAAAACAAAATTGTAATATTTCTCCTTGTGAATATGGCCAACCTTTTGTTGTGTAACCTCTTCAGGGGGAGAGCAGCCCATTCCACTCTGGAATGAGCACGATGGAACCACGGATGGTGATAAGCCCAAGATTCTCCTCTACTCCCTGAACTTACAGTTTAAGGTAATACTGATTAACAAAACTTACCTTATTTTCTAATGCTGCCTGCACTTTTATCAGCTCTTTGGTTTCTCTTAGACAGATTTCACACATGGTTATTTTCTTCATCTTATATTGAATAATTGCACTTGAGCAAATGCATGTACATTAGTAATTTTGTTTCTTTTCTTCTCTTTGTGATATAATCTGTAGGGTATTCAAGTCACAGCCACAACCCCTTCCATGAGAGCTGTGAGATTTGAAACTGGATTGATCGAACTGGAACTTTCTAACCGACTGCAAACTAAAGCCTCACCGGGAAGTAGCAGCTATTTGAAACTGTTTGGTAAATGCCAAGTAGATTTAAACTTGGCCTTAGGACAAATTGTCAAACATCAGGTGTGTATAGAATCTCCTCATACTAGACCTCTTGCTTTTCAGTTTTGCTTATCATTTTGAACTACTTCCAGTTATGAATTACTGTGCAGTACAAGTTCCTACAACTAGATTGTAAATTCTAATGAAAATTGATGGTAAGGCCTTTCCTGTTTTACTATTTCATTCCTGTGACAAATATTACAGTCTAGTGCTCAGATCACATGAAACTCCTCTAGTATCTTCATAAATACTTGTTAGTGATTTTTAGTGTTAAAAGTTTTTATTTCAATGTCTTATACATTCATTACCTAAAATGTTACTAATGTTATAGTATATTTGCAGATATATTTACAAGTTATATATGTACACATATATACTTTTATGTTAAAGGATGTACATAAAGTTTTATTATATATAATATATATACAAAGTTTTTAAAAATAGAAGTTAATTAGGCTCATATAATTAACTTTTGTTACTCATGGGATTCTTGGTGTAGTTCATTTGCTAAAAATTACTGTGTAGACAATCCTTCTTTCCCTCTTTAAAGAATTAAAAATGCCAATCACGGTTTTAAAACAGAGTGGCTACATTAGAGATTATGTTGAGAAAAAAATTCATAGGAATTTTTTGTCATCTCTGGAACAGCAGTCTTGGTGGTTTTTTTTTTTCAACTGAAAGCATGTTTTACTAGAAGAGGTCTGATTATTTTGAAATATGTAATGTATCATCCTATTACCACTGGTAGGAACAAAAACCCAGGGCTCACTAGCTTGGATAGCACTCTACTGCTGAACCTCATCCCTAGGTCCACAGTCACCTCTGATATGGATGCTTATGTTTTCTCCTAATCTTAACAATTATGGCACAGAATATGGAATGGAGGAAAATGTACCATAATTCTTTTGGTGAACAGTGTCATTAATGATGCTTAATTTTATTAAGATATTTTTTCTATTATTTTGGTTATTACTACACTTTCCATTTTGTTTTAGGTGTATGAGGAAGCTGGTTCTGATTTTCATCAAGTTGCCTATTTTAAAACTAGAATTGGCTTAAGGAATGCCCTTCGAGAAGAAATCAGTGGTTCTTCAGATAGGGAAGCTGTGCTTATTACTTTGAATAGACCAATCGTTTATGCACAGCCTGTGGCCTTTGACAGAGGTAAGATTCGGGCAGTCATTATCTTGTAGGACTGAGAAATGCCTTGGTAATGCTCACAAAATCAGCTGTGGCTTTCCAGAATAAATACTTGACTACTAAATGTCTTCTACATGGGAAAGCTGTATTCTCACTAGTATTAAAGGCATTTTACATGTTAACATTCTTTTGCTCTGTACCTGGAAAAACAGATATGTCTGACTTTATATTTTAATGTAAATACTAAATCTTTTGTTTTGGATAATATACTCCTTGGTGTTTTGACACAGGTTTATTCATCTTATGAAGGTTTACTGGTACCAACCAGAAGTAAAATACAAAATGGACTGCATGATGCCTGCCCTTAAGAACATAGTCCAGTGCAAAAGTGGTCAACTACATGATGGAGTTCTAGAATCTGAGGGAGCCTGTAACTTCTTATGCTTCTAAGAGAACAAACTCTTCAGATTTAGCTCTGAGTTTAGTGTTTACCAGGGTTACAAGACACTAGAATTTCTGTTATTTCCCTTTGTATCCAGGGCCTAGGAGAGTCCTGAATATGGTGAAAACTAAGCAAACATTTTCCAAATAAGAGAGGATAGTGTATGAGCACAGAGATCTAAGAAAAAATAGCAGCTTCCAGGAAAGAAAGTAATAGAAAAGAAGGCTGAACATTCACTAGGGAATATGGGCTGTGTAAATATGTTCAACTTGTATTTTAGAGGTTAAAAAGAACCACTTCTAAAAGCATTTAAGATTTTAATGGGTAACAGTCCAACATTGTTACTGATTTTCTTTTGCTTCATCCTGTATGTATGGTTTTCCTCTCTCATTTTCCCAGCCTTTCCTCAGCTTCCACAAGCTCATCAAAGTACTTTGTACTCTTGGTATATGTCACAGTTGCTACTCTTCCCTCCTGCTTCTGACTCTCCTGTCTTTACCTTCATTTTAGTATTCTTCTGTACATATACTTCGATGAAATGAAGAATTTCCATAGAGTTTTTTCTTTTAACCAGCATATTCTTTGCATCATGTACCTATTTTAAGATAACTTTATAAAGTAGTAACAGTAAACTCTACAGACAAGGACCATGCCTTTTTTCATTATACCGTCTCCATGCCTGCCATGGAATGAGCATTATACAAGTCAGAGGACCTGAGCCCATTTTCGCATTAATTTTCTTAATGCTACCATTTGGGAGTGGGGGGAGGAATAATTTTTACCAACCAACAGGGTATTGCAGCTGTTAGATTAATTAGCCTAATAAATCTGTTACAGTATTAATGTTAATTTCTGCCCTCCCTTAATTCTCAAAAGCGGTGCTGTTCTGGCTGAATTATAAGGCTGCATATGACAACTGGAATGAACAACGGATGGCTTTACATAAGGATATTCATATGGCTACGAAGGAGGTGGTAGATATGCTACCTGGTCTCCAGCAAACATCAGCACAGGCTTTTGGGACACTCTTCCTCCAGCTGACTGTGAATGACCTGGGAATTTGTCTACCTATCACAAATACTGCACAGGTACAAAAAATCAAGTCCTTTAATTCCTTTAATTAAATCATTTAATTCAGGATTAAAACAAAAATCTCCTCAAACCATTTCTATGAGTAAAAGCCATTTCAATGGGTAAAATAATACATTTTAAACAATTTATAATTTGAGTTTGGTACGGAGGATTGAACTTATTCAGCTATCATTCATTTGGACTTTCCACTGCATGAGAGTTCTTGAGGCACTCAGGTAGGTATGCTTCAGAATAATGGTGAGGTTCACACCAGCAGGCTGACAGTGGCCATCCTAGCTACTCAGAAGGCTGAGATCTGAGAATCCTGTTCAGGCCAGAACCTGACAGGCAGGTTCTCCCTGCCTCAGGCAGACAAACACAAGAGATTCTTGTCTCCAGTTTACCACCAAAAAGCTGAAACTAGAGGCATGACTCAAGTAGTAGATCATCATCACTGAGCATAAAGGCTGAGCAACAATGTGAAGATGGATACCAGCATCAAAAAAATTGATATATTCGATAACTCCTATTTTTTACCTTTATTAAAGCTTAGTTTTCATAGTCATCTTTTTTTTGTTAAAGAAATCTTTGAACTATAAAACAAAAGAACATTAAGAGGGCTAGGAAGGTGGCTCAGTGGTAGAGGGATTGCCTGGCATGAATGAGGCCCTGGGTTCGATTCCTCAGCACCATATTAAGCAGAAAAAGCCAGAAGTGGCTATGTGGCTCAAGTGGTAAAACGCTAGCCTTGAGCTGAAGAGCTGAGGGTCAGAGTTCAGGCCCCACGACTGACAAAAAAAATACATTAAGAGTGTTAGTTAAGGGCTGGGAATGTGGCTTAGTGGTAGACTCCTTGCCTACCACACATGAAACCACGGGTTCAACTTCTCAGTACCACATAAATAGAAAAAGCTGGAAGTGCCACTGTAGCTTAAGTAGTAGAGTGCTAGCCTTGAGCAAAAGAAGTTCGGAGACAGTGCCCTGGCTTTGAGTTCAAGCCCCAGGGCTGGCAAGAAAAAAAAAAAAAGGTAACCCTTGAAGAGTGCTAGTTAATAACCTTATCTGTAATATAACAAGGAATTATAAAATTCTTTTTTTTTTTGCGGGGGGGGGGGGGGGGGTCCGGTCGTGGGCCTGAACTCTGGGCCTGGGCGCTGTCCCTCAGCTCTTCAGCGCAAGGCTAGAGCCCTACCACTTGAGCCACAGCGCCACTTCCGGCTTTTTTCTTTTTGCTTATGTGGTGCTGAGGAATCGAACCCAGGGCTTCATGCATGCAAGGCAAGCGCTCTACCACTGAGCCACCTTCCCAGCCCTGGAATTATAAAATTCTTATAACTGTTAATATTAGCTAATAGAATTGAACATACAAGTTTTTTTATACACCCAGATAAAGAAGAATGTTTTCAGGAATACATACATACATACGCAAGAACATGCTACCACTACCTATCTGCCCAGGAAATGACATGCAACAATCACATATAGAGATTTATCTTTTCTGTTAAAATTTTCCTTAAACTGTGGCCAATCATTGAATTACTTTATATTTTAGGATTCTATTTGTCAAGACAGTATTATAAACCTCCTTTGGGTTGAGGATAGGGGCAAGGAGGTCCTGCATTGGTGTATTTGTGTCTCAGGAAATGAACTATATAGGCTTTTTATGGGACTTAGTAAGGCCACGCCCACACAGGAGAATGTAAAACCACGTAGAGTGTAAAATATAAGCTAGTTACAGAAAAATAGGTAGTAGCCCTTAGCAGACTAAGTAAGAAAAAAATGAACATGACAAAAGCATTTCACTTTTAAAAACTCTTTCTCAGCTGCTTTGCAATGAGAATTTCTAGGCTTAAACCTTTCTAGTGTCCCTTTCTGAGTCCCTTGTTGTTTGTGTATCATACAGTCCAATCACACTGGAGACCTGGACACCGGCTCTGCGCTGGTCCTGACTATTGAGAGCACTCTCATCACTGCCTGTTCCTCTGAGTCTCTAGTCAGTAAAGGGCACTTCAAAAACTTCTGCATTCGTTTTGCTGATGGTTTTGAGACATCATGGGATGACTGGAAACCGGAGATTCGTGGGGATCTGGTAATGAATGCTTGTGAGTGTCTTTTATTTTCTATGTGAGGTTTAGAATTATATGAGCTTTAAAAATCTCTATCTTTACCATGGAAGGGTGCTCAGAGGAATATCCTTAGACTTTTTGAAATAAAGACTATTTGTAGTTAATGGTAATGAACCCTATTTGTGCAAAACTACAGCTTTCGGTAGTTTGGATAAGTAAACCAACCTTTTTAGTGCTCTCTAACATCTGAAACTTTGCTTTCCTTCCTGATTTTTGTGTAAGTGATCTGTGAATGGCAAGATAAACCATTTTCCTCCTTAGGGATATGGAAAGAAAGTACTAAATAAAAAGTCATCCCAACTTAAAAAACAGAACAAGGGCTGTGGTGATGCAAACTACTTAAGAGGCAGAGATTGGGAGGATCATGGTTTGAGACCAGCCTGCTCAAAAAGTTAATGAGACCCCATTTCAACAAAGAAGCCAGGCATGATGGAGTACAGCTATAATCTCATGTACATAAGAGGGTTAGGTAGAAAGATTACAGTCTGAGGCTGACTCTGGACAGTAACATTAGACCTTATCTGAAAAACAGTTAAAGCAAAAAGTTGGAAGCATGTGTGAGCCCTGAGTTCAAACTCTAGTATTGCCCAAAATGAAAACATTAAAAAAAAAACCAAACCCTAAAACTCCAGCCTTAATAGTGACAGGAATATGTCTATAGGTCCAAATTTATAGTATAAGGTACAGATTCCTCCAAATTCATAGTACTCAAGATTGGGTTTAACTATAGCAGAGTTTGTGGTTTATTTATAAAACTTTTAAATATCACAATTAAACATCCTAATGTTGAAGAGAAATTATACTTGAAAATTAAAAGACTATGAACTGAAATTCCTCAGCCAATCTTGTAAGTCAATTTTTTTTTCTTTTTTCTTTTTTTTTGTTGTTGTTGTTGGTCGTGGGGCTTGAACTCTGGGCTTGGGTGCTGTCTCTGAACTCTACAGCTCAAGGCAAGTGCTCTTCCATTTGAGCCACAGTGCCACTTCTGGTTTCCAGTGTCCAGCTCAAATAATTCTTTTTAATAGGTGCTATGCATTATTTATACTATTTTCCCCTTTCTTAAAAAAATAACTGCCGTGACCTGGTGGCTCATGCCTATAATCCTAGCTACTCAAGAGGCTGAGATCTGAGGATCCTGGTTCAAAGCCAGCTTGGGCAAGAAAGTCTGTAACTCATCTCCCATTAACCACTAGAAAACGAAGTGGCGCTGTGGCTCAAGTGGTAGAACGCTCACCTTGAGCTGAAGAACTCAGCGACAGCACCCAGGCCCAGAGTTCAAGCCCCACAATAAAAAAAAAAAAAATCACTGTCATTTCCATCTTTTGGCTTTAATCTTCTTTTTTTCTTTTTTGTGCCAGTGCTGGTCCTTGAACTCAGGGCCTGGGTATTGTCCATGAATATTTTCCCCCTCCTCAGGGCTAGTGTTCTACCACAGCTGCACTGTGGGCTTTTTTGGTTATTAATTGGAGATGAGAGTTTCATGGACTTTTCTGCCCAGCTGGCTTTGAATCATGATCCTCAGATTTCAGCCTCCTGAGTAGCTCCAGTGCCTGGCTTTTGGTTTTATTTTTTAAGGCTAAAATTAAGCCTACCAATTTTTATTGAGGTAATATCTTTGCCATCCTTGCATCAATGAAAATATAATATGTGTGAAAGGAATTATGTAGTTTTCTTAGTTTATTGTAAACAAAAGAGATGAAAATAAAAATATACACCTCAGACTCAGCATCAAATCATACTCAGAATGACCAAGCTTTCTTTTAACAATGTAGAACACTAACATGCTGCAGAATATTTCATGATAATTGGAATATTTTCTTTTGGATTTTTGAGTACCAGATGGCTTGATTTTATAACCTATCATTGCTTGAATCTTGGGAGGAAGCCAGAGGAAGATAAGATAAATAGTAGTTTTATTGACATGTAAAATGGACAAAATTGTTTTATTAGTAGTAAGGATATTTGCATGTAACATTCATTTAGTATTTTGGAAAAAAAGAAATAATAATGGTTAAATTTCAAGGGTTTTCATTTGTGCATTCTTCAATTTGAGAGGCAAGCTATATAGGCTTTTTTTTCTTTTATTGTAACTGTGTTTAAAATTTAAATTGAGTACACACCTAAGACTAGATCCTGTTTTTTTTCTTAGAATCAATATATGAGACACTGGTATTATACAGTTCAAAAATAGGTTTTATTTTAGAGTTTTTGGCAATATCTTTTTTTAAATATACATAAGTAGAAATGATCACTTAGTAACAAATAGATCCTGTCTTACAAACTAAGTCATACTGTCTATATTGGGAAATTTTCAAGAGCAGAAATACCAAGGTACCCAGAAAAGGAATGGCATGTCTAACTTTAAGTAGTATTTGGATACTAATTTAGAACTCAGAGGAGTTATTAAAGGATATTCTGTTGAATACTATACCTGTCAAGTTTAGATTGATAGTTTCCATGAATTACTGTGAAAGACTTTAATTCTATCTTTAGATTTTTTTTGTTTAAAAGTTGTTTCAAGGATGGTATATCCTTTACTATTTAAAATTGTTGAATGTAACCTCTTTTTTAAAGCATAAACTGTCAGATTAAAGCTATACTATGTTAAAATGTGTGTCCTTGAAATCAGATATATTCAAGTGGCTAGCTCCATATTCTTAATAATGATAGTAATGGAAGTCAGCCATTTTTGCCTAAAAAACACTTGCCAAGGAAGAAAAATGATATATCATGTTTCTAACACAAGATGGGAATTCCTAGTTGTAAAAATGTCATTAAAAGTAGTTTGCATTTTCAAAACACCATTCATCCCTAATGGCACATATTGTCATAGCATCCTCCAGAGATCCAAGGGAAACAGATGTTGCCCCTTTCAAAAGGAACCACATGTGGACTGACTGAGGCTAAAGCTGCAGGCAGGTGTGAGCTCTAAGGAGGCTTAGGATCATCCTCTACAGACTAGGGACTGAAACCTAGAGAAGCCAAGTACCCTATTTGTGTCTAGATAATATTACCTTTGAGTGAAAATTTTAAGGACAGTGTTTAATCGCATGTATTTTTATTGCTATTTGGGGTCATTTCTTTGCAGGTGTAGTCCCAGATGGCACCTATGAAGTATGTTCAAGGACTACTGGACAAGCTGCAGCTGGTAGGTGTGCACACTATTACTCTCACTATGTGTATCAGGTAGGATTCTGCCTTTGTTTGAACTTAAAAAGCAATTCTGGTAGTCAGTAACCTTTTCAAAACTTTTTGTAATAGTATTAGCATATTTTTGTGTATTCAATTATTAATTAGACACCTACAGTATACAAGATACATTGGAAAATGGTTTGAGGAAGACTTAAAATCACATATATTTGTTATCTTTTATGCATTTGACCTGATGATGGAGTTAAGGCAAATGAAGCAAAATTACATTGGAGTGAGTGATGTGTACAATAAAAGAGTGAAGATCCTAATTGCTACTGAAATATATGAGAAAGAATACTTTCAAATGTGAGAAGACATTAAGATCAGAGAAAGCTTTGTGAAAGAACAAGAACTTAAGTGCTCCCAAAAGATGGACAAAATATTCCTTAAGCAAAAACTAAGACATGTGGCCTCAGAAAACCTAGGCAGAGACTAACATCTATTCTGATGATAATGCATCATGTCTGCTCAGAGTCGTAGTTGTTCCATTTAGCTAAACCCGAAGCAGGTGAAAAGTAAGTGGGGAAAACCCTTAAAGGTCACATGAAGATGATCTGACCCGACCCAGCGTGGAGTAGGGTGCCGTTGAATGTTTTGGAGCAAGAAGCAAATGGTGATACTTCGAAGGATCAGAGGGCAGCGAGTCTAGAAGACCATTGAAGAGATAACTATGGAAATACAATTTTTATCATTTCTCCTGTTATAACATTAGGCTAAGTGAGCTAAATGTAGGCATTTATTTAAGGGCTTTTAAAATGTTGAGAGGTGTGGAAAGTGGCTAAGGTTAGTGAATTTCCTTTCCTTTCTCACTGTTCCTTTTAATCCTCCCAACCATGAGTCTGTATGCTAACCTGAGCAAATGATCACAGACAGCACCAATGCCTTCTTTGCTCATTGGCAAGGAACTGAGAAACTTAAGCCATTTCCAGCAGCACTGCTAGAAGAAAATGGGGGCGAATGATGCAACCAGGTTACAAAGGGCCTTTGTCAGTGACAACAGCCCAGCCCACTCAATCTTAACCAGAAGCAGGATCATATCTTAGGATATTTTCAGATCACCATTAAACTTAGCAATGCTGCTTTGGGGAAGAAAAGGAATGACAGGACCAAGATCCAATTGTTAGCAGGACATGTGGCTCTTGTCTTTGTTTCTTTGTGGATTCCTCATTTTCCTAATCATTTCTGACTAATGAATTATACTCATAGCAATTCCTGTAGAGGAGATAATCCGCAATTTCTCAGGACAAAGAAGAGAGCTGTACAGAGGTTAGGGCAGGTGCACAGAGGGCAATCAAGCTCATAGCCTGTTTGCTTGCTGTGGAAAACATGAGTTATTGGAGATGGCCATGATATATTTTATTACATAAAAATAGGATTACTTAAATTTCTATACTTAGGACTGTCTAAAACAAATGCCATTTTAAAATCTTACAGAAAGCAGTAGTGCTGGGACCTGGACGCTGAATGTGTTGTGGAAAATGTGTGGGATTGACGTCCACATGGACCCCAACATTGGAAAACGACTTAACGCCCTGGGCAACACCCTGACCACTTTGACAGGAGAGGAGGACACAGATGACATTGCTGACCTAAACTCAGTGAACATAGCTGACCTGTCAGATGAGGATGAGGTTGATACGATGTCTCCCACCATCCACACAGTAAGGAGATGATAGCCTGAGACCGGGAGATGGTTCATGAATGCTATCCCATATGCAGAGTAGAAAGGGAGTGATGGTTCCCTGTCTGCGTGTCATTGCTGTATTTAACTGAGTGCCTTGACCTGTATGTAGTGTAGTAATGCAGAAAGTGTTGTGCAGGAAAACTAACAGAGACAGGAAGTACAGTGGTAGAATACCTAGGCTGGGGGAGGGCAAATGGAAGGGACTGCTAGTAATACAGATTTTCAATATTTCTGAGCGTGATGATTATACAACTTTGTGAATATACTAAAAACCATTGAATTTTATATTTTATATTTTAGTTTTAAGTAGTTGTACAAGAAAGTTTCAGTTCAAAAGTCAGAATATGAGTAAAATGTACCTTGACTAATGAGAATTGTACATTTTAAATGTATTTTATGCTAGGGGAATTATGTCTCAATGAAGATGTTTATAAATGAGTTCTTTAAAAAGCATTGTATAGCCGGGAGCCAGTGGCTTATGCCTGTAATCTTTACTAGCCAGGAAGCTGAGATCTGGGGACCATGGTTTGTAGCCAGCCAGGCAGGATAATCCATGAGACTCCTATTTCCAATTAACTAACTAATAAATAAAAACTTGGAAGTAGAGCTATAGCTCAAGTGGTAGAGCCCTAGCCTTCAGTATGAAAGCTCAGTGACAGTGTCTAGGCCCTGAGTTCAAGCCCCAGGACTGGCACAAAAAAATTGAAAAACGTGCATATGCAAAATGAAGTATGTATTTAAAAGTATGTATTTTCATCTATACTATATGTTCTCTAGTATCTATCAAATTATTTAGAAGTCAAAATTACTCTGCTTTCATTCTGATACTGGTTTTTGAAAATTATTTCAAGTATTTATTGTACCATGATATACATTAATATTACTGTTTATTGTTTAGAGTTCAGATGGAAGTTCAGTAAGTGGAGATGGCCACAAACTCACCTTTGGGCAGCGACTTGTAAATCATCTCCTAGGCCTGACGCCCCCAAATCAGCGCTATTCTGTTCCTGCAGAGTATCTGTGTGACACAGAGAAGTGGGGCTCCCCTCAGTCTAGCCAGTCCCATTTGCAAGCATGCAGAGCACACTCATGGGGAAATGTAGGTAGCAACTAACTGCAGTAACTAGATTCCCTACAAAATTGAAGGGACTTGAATCGCTGAAGAATCTAATCATCTTACTTAATGCATAGATGGCTTTGATTCTTGCATGCTTTCTTTGATTTAAGGTGTTAATATTGTAGCATAGATTTCCCCAGTGAACTGAGACTGATACTGACATATGCTTTTGATTTTTCAGGAAGCTGTAGATTATCGAAGACAAGGACCCTCTTCCACCCAGCCAGGAGAACTTCGAGGAAGAAAAATAATGAAACGTTTAGTGGATATCAGAGAATTGAATGAACAGGCCAAAGTGATAGATGATCTTAAGTATGTGTAATGATTTTAAATTTAATATAGTGTCCTCTAATAATTATAGATCACAGAATCATATAGGATGCAAACTATTGAAGAAATTCATTTGGGCTCATACAGAACCCTTTAGTTTATCAATGAGATCACCTGTGTCCAAAGTAGTTTAGTGATTGACCTGAAATCCTAAATTCATTAGTGTTAAAGTTGAACTAGAAATTCTACTTTGGTGCCCTTCACAAATGTTAATTTCTGTGCAATTTATGGCTGGTTCTAAATGACAAACCCAGGTATCTACATAGTGAATGTACTTACATATATATCTTTACATGCATATATAAATTATGTGTATGTAGTTAACATTATTCTGAAATGGAATTTTGTAGAGAAGAAAAGAGAATTTAAGTACCTTTTTAAAGTGCAAGAATTCTTGCTAAACTTTGAAACATTTGTTTTCTCAGAAGTTGATGGTCATGCCTCAGCTATACAAGTGTGTGTGTGTGTGTGTGTGTGTGTGTCTGTCTGTCTGTCTGTCTGTCTGTCTGTCTTCCATCAAGGGCTTCCACAAACATAGGACAAGTTTTGTGAAAGGTTTGTCCTAAATACTGTAAATTATCATTTAGTGAATCATATTTTTATGTCGTTGATTTACAATTTAACTTTTGTTGTCACAGGAGTAAAAACTGATGAAGCAAAATAAATTCTTTCAAAAATCTAAGCTGTAGTTTATAGCAAAATAAATTCTTTCAAAAAACTAAGCTGTAGTTTATAGGTAGAATGTTTACATAAACATGTTTCCTACAGCCAGTAGTTTTCATGAGATTTTCAGACTTTTTATCTTTCTTGACACTACTGGGGTTTGAACTCAGGGCCTCATGTCAGACCAGTGTCAGATACAACAAAAGTTAAGAAGCATTTCTTCTAATGTTAGAGGGTATTGGGTAATTTTTTAAAGTATTGCTTGCCAGATATGACTGTTAAACATGCCTTTGCCAATTCATACATCACTCTGGTATTCTGACAGGGGAGAAAGTTAAAAAAGGATTAAAAACTCAGTTATACTTTCTTGTTCTTTACAAAACTGTCCCCTCCACTTTTTGTGTCTAGGAAATTAGGTGCAAGTGAAGGAACCATCAACCAGGAAATTCAGCGTTACCAACAGTTGGAATCTGTAGCTGTGAATGACATTCGAAGAGATGTTCGCAAAAAATTGCGGAGATCCAGTATGAGAGTGAGTAAATATTTAAAAAGAAGTTCATTTAACCATTTTAATTTTTTTAACTTAAAAAACATAAATGATATGTGAGACAATTGTCTCTTTCTCCCCCTCCTCCTACACACTTAGCTTTTTTTCTAGACCCTTTTCTTATGAATCATTTCCTTCATTCTCACCTTGTTTCTTTATCCTATTCTGCTCCTAATCTTTTTCTCCATTTCTCTTGGGCCAGCAAGTGGCTTATATCAATGATGTGAGGTCCTAGAATAGCTGTATGATATTCTGCTTTGACTCATTTATATTAATAAATAGTGTTCAAAGTCTCCTGGGGTTGGGGAAGCTAACTAACTTAATGGTAGAGTGCTTTAGTTTATCTGAAGTAAAATTTTAGAGCCATGTACAATTGCCTATAGTTCCTTTTTTTCTCTCCCATTTCATTAGGCTGCTTCCCTAAAGGATAAGTGGGGTTTGGGTTATAAACCAAGTTATAACCGATCAAAAAGCATTTCTGCTTCTGGAAGACCACCTCTCAAGCGAATGGAGAGAGCCAGGTATAGCGTATTTCTACCAAAATGAAAAGAAACACTAACATTGCCATCTTTCATAAGATTGACTCATTTTGTTTACTGTCTTATAATTGGTAGTAAAAATGGGTCTCACTGGTAAAATAGCAATCAATCTGGTCACTTGAACTTTTTTTTTGTTTCTTTTCTGGTCCTGGGGCTTGAACTTCATGCCTGGGTGCTGTCTCTGAGCTTCTTTTGCTCAAGCCTAGTGCTTTACCAATTGAGCCACAGCACCACTTCCAGCCTTTTTTTTTTTTTTTTTAGTTTATTGGAGATAAAAGTCTCATGCACTTTCCTGCCTGGGCTGGCTTTGTAAGGCAATCCTCAGATCTCAGCCACCTGAGTAGCTAAGATTACAGGCGTGAGTCCCTGGCCCTGACTGAACTTTGTTTATGTAAGGAATTCCTCTGCCATGTCTAGACCAGTATCAAGTGGCTTTAATGAAGTACACTGCATGTTGGATAAATTTATGCATACATTTATAGACTATGTAAGGAAATAAAACTGCACACTAGTAGCTATGGCTTTATGTCAATGTATCAAATGAAGAAATGGAAAGTTTTCATGTCAAATTAAAATAGTGATTTAGTACTAAACTAGCACTCTAGAAAGAATCAAATGTTGAGTCTTTTTCCTAGAGTACTGTTAAGAAATGAAATAACCAAAAAATTTAGTCTTTTTTGATAAAGAAGGTATTTATAAATAGAATGTTAACACCATTAATCAGACTCCTTTATATTTTACTTACAGTTCTAGAGTAGGAGAAGCTGATGAGCTCCCAGAAATCCGTGTGGATGCAGCATCTCCTGGACCCAGAGTAACTTTTAACATCCAGGACACAGTAAGAGAAATGGCATTTGTTAGAAATACCCATAGATAAGTTTCTACTATTTTGAAACGCTGCTTCTACCCTACAGTAGAAATTGTAATGATCAGACTGTCTGCATAGGCCCACTAGTGGAGCATAACCTCACCCTCCCTTGGGAGACTGGCTGCCAGTGATAATGGTGAAGACTTGTAACTGCTTGGTCTTAGCTAGAAAAGTCTTTGTGGAGTATTTCTTCCAGGTTATAGTATATATTACACTATGATAATTGAAAGTGTTTGTACTTATTTGTGTATTTTAACCATACAAATAGTGTCAGAAGCCAGAAGGAAGTTCAGTTTCAAAGTTATAATCTAAATTCAAAGCATGCTAAAACTTACTGTTAAAATGTTTGTTTTATGTATTTGTTTACATTGTTTTTTGTTTTTCATGAGTTTTTCTTTTCTTATTATTTTAATTAAGTTGAAAAATACAGTATGGGGAAGTACACCACAGTCCAGCACTCCCAGGGAAGGGTATTTTCAGGTACATATTCAAAACAACAATTGCACTTTTGAACTAATTAACAACCCTGAAAATTTGCTTTCAAAATATCTTCCTTTCATTTCAAACTGAATTGATACCTCAGAAATACCTCAAATATTTAAGATTTGGGTTCTTTTCATCATATATATTTCATAAGCTCTTGCATGCATTAACTTTAGCTTTATACTTGTAGTTTAAGATTATTTTGATTTTCAAAATTAAGATATTTTAATCTGCTTTTCTAATCAGCTCAACCACAATCTTAAACTAAAACTGCAGTATATTATTTATTGATCTCTAAGTGAATCCTTTTTACATTAGGTACATTGATTCTTTTTATAAATAATACCCATTAATTAACTCATACTAGAAACACATATAACTCAAATACTCAAAACAACAAATTAACAATTGAATGGTGTTTGGGGGGGGGGGGGCCACTGGTATAAAAGTATTTATTAAATGGCCCATTTAAATTATTCTCATGTCTGAGCATAATTGTTATTAACCATATAAATATGATTAACACATTCATAAGTCAAATGTTTTCCCTATGTATGTCATAAAAGTAAAAACAGATTTTAAAAATATTACATGCTGATAATCTTTGTGCAAGATTTTTTAAATTACATTTAAAAATTGGTACTTTGATCCAAAATACATTTTCTTTATCCTATTCTCTCAAACTGGAGGCTCAACCTATGTTCTGTAGTTACATTGAATTTAGTAACACTAGACTTCATTTTAGAACTATTAAATTGTAAACAGCAAATGAATTTCCAATTTTCTGAAAAACAAAAAACTTAGAAACAAATCATGTATGTTAATTGAATAGTTCCTACTAACTAGATGGGCTTCTTTGTATTTTGTTTTGTTCTGAGGTTCTGAGGATGGGTATCAGGGCTCCAGCATGCTAAGCCATCAGGTGCTCTACTACTGATCTCCATCTGCAGCCCTAATTAGGTGATTCTTAAAGGCATTAATACTTGAAGTGACTAAAGTCCTGTTTTTAAATAACAGTGTATGGTGCTTGTAAAAATAAATGTTATGTAAAAATCACAAATAAGATAAGAGGTATGAAATTTAGACTTGCTAATGATAAGTTAGGAAATAGATTATTGATATAGTTATATAAAATATGTATAAAATAGAAATTTTTCTACATAAATATACCATTTTTTTGGTTGTGGGGCTTGAACTCTGGGCCTGGATGTTGTCCCTGAGCACTTCAGCTCAAGGCAAGTACTCTGCCCCTTGAGCCACAGTGCCACTTTTGGTTTTCCCCCTTGGTTAACTGGAGATAAGAATCTCACAGACTTTCCTGCTCAGGCTGGCTTTTTTGAACTGTGATCCTCAGATCTCAGCCTCTTGAGTAGCTAGGATTACAAGCATGAGCCACTGGTACCCAGCAAATTTACCAATTTTTAATTTAGAAAATGTAAGAAACCTGATTTTATGATTCATTTATTGACATGTTTTTGGTTAAGTGCCAGTGACTCATGCTTAGAATCCTAGCTATTCAGGAACTTGAATTCTTAAGTTTGGCGCCAAGCCAGCACAAATATACAGATCTTATGAAACTCCAGTTAAAACCCAGCAAAAAGCAGGAACTGGAGGTGTGGCTCAAATGGTAGAGCTACTACCCTAAGTGAAAAATCTAAGCAAGAGTACAAGGCTGAGTTTCAAGCCCCAGTGCTGGCAAAAATTCAAAAAGGAAAAAAGCATATTTAGTTCATAAAGTGAAGAACACCTAAATTCTGTAAATATTTGCAGTTTTGATTGTAGGCTTTCACTACAGATTTTGTAGTAGCACTCAGTAGTTTAAAATAATAAATTACTTGGCCTTATACATTACACTTTATAAATGCCAATTATTCTCAAACCATACTGCAGCAATAGTGAGAAGTGAATAAATTAAGTCATGAGAATTTTTTGTTTTTAGTTACCTAAAAGCAGTGGCCTCTGGGTATTTACCTTAAAATATACCATATTCTTAAGTTTAGCTAGTACCTGCAGCACTTGACAATTTACAAACACTGCATGTTAATTGCCACTAATTGTTCTCCCCATCTGATCCATACTTTGCTACTTTTCTTTCCACATAATTATCTTTACTCAAGTGTTTCTCTTAATTAACATGATGATAATGTTCCTATAAAGTAAAATTTTCTGTGATTTTTAAAATGTCAGTGGTATGATGTGTGGTTTGACCTGCTTCCTTCCTTGGTGTGCCATTTCATGTTTTCTTCAGTGTGACCTTTGAATTCAAAGTGAGGAAATTCAACTCTGAGAAGATTTTCTGTTAAGACATATATTTTAGGGACTTCTGGACTTGAAATGTGAATCTAATTTGGGTTGTTTTCTCATTTTACAATCAGTTTCCAGAGGAGACAGAACTGGACCTTTTATCTGTAACTCTCGAAGGTCCATCTCATTACTCATCCAACAGTGAGGGGTCGTGTTCCGTGTTCAGTTCTCCCAAAACTCCAGGCAGCTTTTCCCCAAGTATTCATTTCCAACCTGAGGAGGGTCGACGGGATGACAGTCTGTCTTCTACCAGTGAAGATTCTGACAAAGATGAAAAGGATGAAGACCGAGAAAGGGAAAGGTTTTATATTTACAGGAAGCCCTCGTGAGTAGCCTTTATTTATTTATGTACTTATTTGTTTCTCTCAAGATCTCATAGCCCAGAATGGAGCCTAAAGCATTATACCTACTTTATACCAGAAATTCTATTGACTAAGTCATACCTCTACATTATTAATAATGTAATTTAGCTTCTTAAAGCACATTATTTTCCTTTTCTAATGCAAACACATTTATTTAAATAACCTTAATTATTTCTCCAGTATATTTCCTGTCAAGAAAATGGAAATAAAGATGTGGTAATGAGTTAAATAAAGGAAACGGTTATAGTTTTCCTGAGCTTAGAAAATAACAAATGATAAGGAAACACCTAGTAGTAATATGTAATGAAGAAAAATGTTAAAGGACACAATAAATGAAAATTTTAACAAATTCTTGAGAGGAAGAAATAGGTGAAATAATGTTACATAAAAGCTTTATAAGAATACACCCTCAAGAAAAGCTGGAAGGATCTTGATAATAATGGGAAATTGACTAGACATACAGGTAGTCATGTAACTTAGTATAGAAGGAACTCACTCCATCTTTAATCTTCGCCATTCTGAGCTGTGGGGATTCTTTTCTAAACTAATTTCAAGCTCCTAATTCCTGAATCTCTTTTATATAGGCACATTTTTGTTTTATTTCCTCATTTTTCTAGAATACATATTCAAATAATCTTCTAAGAAAAGTTGTAGTAAGGACTTTTTTCACTTTTCTAAGTCTCTAAGACAACCATGCTATTCTCATATTTTATTATTGGGTTGAATATAGGATTATGCCTAACATTAAAATTCAGCAATATTTTTCAACTCTGTAAATGACTTATTTCACAGATATGTAAATATATAAGAATGTATAAGAAATATATGCACGAAATACACATTTTTAAATATCTGGGATTTTTTTTCTTTTTTTTTTTTTTTTTTTTTTGGTCGGTTGTGGGGCTTGAACTCTGGGCTTGGACGCTGTGCCTTGGATCTTCAGCCCAAGGCGAGCGCTCTACCACTTGAGCTACAGCGCCACTTCCTCTGGGATTGTTTTTTGAGACAGGGTCTCACTGGTAGCTGAGGCTGGTTTTGAACTCTGGATCCTGCTGCCTACACTGCCACATGCTGGGATTATAAGCATGTAACACTACATCTGGCTTAATGTCTGTTTTCACACGGACATCCTAAGATTTTTTAAAATGATCTTTGTGTTCTTTAAGCAATTTTTCTATGTATTTTTGCTTTTTCTTATTTTGAGGGAAGAGAGGACAAGGGCTTAAACTCAGGCCCTGGAACTTCTTTGTTCCACTAGCACTCTAATGCTTGAACTGTGCCTTTAGCCCTGCTTTTTTTTACTGGCCATTTTGTAGGTGGCAGTTTCACAGACTTTTCTGCCCAGTCTAGCCTTGAACCACAATCCTCAGATCTCAGCCTCCTGAGTAGTGAGGATTAAAGTATGAGCCACCAGCCCTGGGGTATTTTAGTGGTTTTCAAAGCAGATTTTTAACTGTTTCATAATTGTTTAAGTTTCCCCTTTTAATAGTAATCCCACAACTCGCAGCTCTTTTCCTGGACAGCTGATCTCTTTAGTTTCACATTCATTCCTATTTTTACAAACATTTTAATTCATGTTTATTCAGATAAACTTCCATTAGGGTAGCCATCTTTTCTAGGTAAATATTTTGATCATTAAAAAGAAATTTACTGGGCTGGGAAGGTGACTCAGTGGTAGAGCGCCTGATTTGCATGCATGAGTCCCTGGGTTCAATTCCTCAGCACCACATAAGCAGAAAAAGCCCGAAGTGGCGCTGTGGCTCACAATTGGTACAGCACTAGCCTTGAGCTGAAGAGCTGAGGGACAGTGCCCAGGCCTAGAGTTCAGGCTCCACAACCAACAACAACAACAAAAAAAATTAGTTAAAAGAGAGCATTAGTATGAGTTTTTAAAATTTTGTACTATATAACAAAATGGTCCAATTTATTGTTATGCATGTAGATACCCAGATTCCCTACTACTGTTTGTTAAAGAGCATTGGTTTTATTTTTCTTTCTTTCCATATTCTTCTGTCCTAATTTTATAATTTGTAAAAATACATTTTCCATTATATTATATTCATGCACTGATATAACAATTCATTGATAATAGTGGCTATGCTATGTTCTCCTCACTTAGTTCAATAAAATGTAACCCATTAAACTTAGGAAAAACTACAATTAGTATCTTCTAGTTAAGTAATTTGTGCAGGTTTATGAACTCTTTCTCACGTTTTGGAAATCATTTATTAGAATGACTTATACCATTTTAGTATAAGTACTGATCACTTTTTCTTTCTCTAGACACACTTCTCGTAAGAAAGCAACAGGCTTTGCTGCTGTGCATCAGCTACTTACAGAACGCTGGCCAACAACTCCAGTCAACCGAAGTCTTAGTGGCACAGCTACTGAGAGAAATATTGACTTTGAACTTGATATACGGGTTGAAATTGATAGTGGGAAGTGTGTACTCCACCCAACCACCCTTCTACAAGAACATGATGATATAAGTTTGAGAAGGTAAGGAATTGTTAGAAAAAGGTACACATATGACCTGATCTGGTAGAAATACTAATCTTTTATCATTGGATTTTTATCACAAATGTTTGTCCCCATTCTCAAAATGTATGTACATTTAAAAAGTAGATGAACATAATTGTAGTGATTAATTGCATATAAAAATATATGCAGGAAATATATGCAGATGTCTAATTTAGAGTCTATGATTTTGTTATTAAATTAGTTATATGTTTGGAATTCTGTGTTCAACAAGAATGAATTTTTCCTTCTCTGTTCTTGTACATGTTTCTATTTTAAAGAATAGTGTGGTATCTTGGTTTTGGAGAGTTTGATGAGTTCAAAAGGAAAAAAAAAATCTAGAAATTTTGTACAAATAGGCTTGATTAGACTGAGATATGATTGTGGTTCTAACATTTCTTCACATTATTAATGAAATGGTAATATAAACTATTTAACATTAGATTTTTTTCTTTAAATTTTTCTTCTTTTCCTGATAGACTACAAAAATAAAATAGTGCTTACACTTAAGAGAGTTGTAGAAATGTAGATGAAACAAGAATGGCAGAATGTTGATAGTTGTTAAAGTAGGTATTTGAAATTTTTCATAAGTAAAGATTTCAGTGGTCAAGTTTGTATAATGCAGTTTTTATAAAACGAGAAAGAAAAGAAATGGAAGCAATGATAAAAAAGAAGTTATATCATTCTAATTGAACCATAATAATCCAAAGTAAAGTGCTAATATAGAGCCAGCATTCTACTATAAAAAGAGCAGTTTCATTTGATCCATCATAAATCTGTGCAATAGGAAGTGGCATTATGGCTCAAAGTACTAGTGCACTAGCCTTGAGCAAAAGAACTCCAGGATAATGCCAAGGCCTTGAGTTCAAGCCCCACAACCAACAAAAACAAATTCTGTGCAGTAAAATAGCCATCACTTTTAAAAACAATAATGGCAGCAGGTGTGCACACCTGTAATCCACTCAAGAAGTAGAGACAATTCAGAGCCAGCCTGGGATACATAGTAAGCCACTGTCTGAAAAACAAAGAATAAAAATAGCTACCCTGTATCATTAAGAAATACACAATATTAACACCATTAAACTGTCTAGCTAAATAGTGCTGAGCTGTTTTTCTCTTTTTCTTTTATAGGAGTTATGATAGAAGTTCCAGAAGCTTAGATCAAGATTCTCCTTCCAAAAAGAAGAAATTTCAAACGAATTATGCTTCTACCACCCATTTAATGACTGGCAAGAAAGTGCCATCGTCTCTGCAGACAAAGCCTAGTGACTCAGAAACAACAGTATTCTACATTCCTGGAGTTGATGTAAAGGTGAAGACCTAATTGTCTAGGCTAAGAGATTATTCAAGTGGTGTTTATTTTCTGTCATGTATGGTCTTCTTTTGCTTATTACATTAAAATGAGACTTTCTGGCTTATCTAGGCATATTCTAGATATAAGAATATATTAACTGCACATTGCCATTTCATTTACACAGCTTTTTCCATGAAAGTCTGGCAGAAAGAAGTTACACCAATATTTCATAGCATGCTTTAAAGAATGTACAACTTTGCCTTGGGCAACTTCATTAAATAACTTTTTTTTAAGAGTCTAAAGTTGTAAGTTAGAAAGTCTTAGACTATTAAGCTAGAAATGACTTCAAAGATTACCTAGAAAGACATTTTCAATCTTAGAAAAGAAAAAAGCAGTGTCTTGCTGGGATCAAAAGCTGACTTACACAAGGTCAAACTTTGTTTATACTCCTGAGCTAGTGTTCTACCACATTTTCTGTATTTCATCTGCAAAATTTTAATTTCAAAGTTTGTTTTCACTGCAGTTGCATTATAATTCCAAGACACTAAAGACTGAATCACCTAATGCCTCCAGAGGATCTTCCTTGCCAAGAACACTCTCCAAAGAGTCCAAGCTGTATGGTATGAAAGACTGTGGCACGTCTCCTCCTTCTCCTCCTTTACCTTGCACTGTCCAGAGCAAGACTAACACCTTACTTCCTCCCCAACCCCCACCTATTCCCTCAGGTATTTAAGGAGAATATATTTCTATTGCTTGCCATTTTCTCATAGCTTTTCATCATTCTACTTGCTCTATTGTAAAATAGACATTGACTTGCCAAAATTCATGTATGGCTGTAGTTATTCATCTTAACAGTTTTCTTAACTAGATGTTTAAGACAGTGTATGTTTAGAAAAAGGTGGTTTTATGTAGTTTAAATTTGGCAGCTATTATCAGATAGAAATACCAAATTTATATACATACGACAGAGTACTGGGGTTTGTTGCATTTGTGTGTATTATAACAGCATTTAGTGGCTTATAATGTCACAGTCTCTGTTGATCAGAAATGCAGGGGCAGTTTGGCTTGGTGCATCTAACTCAAGGTCACTTAAATACTTGATTGACAATCTGGAGAAACCTTTCCTTGTGTCCACTGTGCTTCATTTCCACACCATGTGAGCATTTCACAGGGCCACTTGAATGTTATTTCATTACGTTGCAGCTGACATCTTTTGAAAAGAACTATCCCAAAAAGAATGTAGCTTAACCTGCTTACCTTTTATGGTTCAGCCTAACAAAGTTATATGCCATTGCCTAGACAATATGTTACTGATCATACAGATCAGTAGAAGGAGGGAACTGGGGGTATGCCAGGCTCATTGGAAGCATTCTTGGAAATTTGGCTACCACAGCCCAGTTTACCTCACACACAGTGTGGCAGAATTCCCACAGAACAAAAGAGTAATAGAAAGCTAGATGAGAATTAGTCGAGAAGTTGCCCTTGGAAAACAGAACTTTATATATATACATATGTACATACATATATATGTATATACAGACATATATACATATATATGTATATACATATATATAAACATATGTATATACAGACATATATAAAAACTTGGTTAAAAACTGAAGAATCATGATGATACCACTTAACATTTTTTTTTATCACTTATCAATGATGACACATTTCTGTCAAGTATGTGGTAGATATTTGAATCCCATTTTATAATTGAGGAATGTTAAGGATCATTGAATGAGAACATGTTTTTTCTACATTTACAAAACTAAGAAATGCTCAAGTTGGAAACCTAAGCCCAAGTTAGCTAAGATACATTAATTGTTTCTGTTCATTTGACTGAGTGAAAGTAATTTAGTTAGGAAGTACCATGGAATTCTGTATCAAGAACCACTGTGAGTATGTACAGGCAGTGCACTAAACATTATTGTTCAAGGTTTTTTCCCTTCTAAAATGGACCAAAGGACTAAAGCTAACGAGACTTAAGCAACTGTAAAGTTGAAAACTGATCCAAAATTTATGTCTTAGAGCAAGTAAGAATAACCATTGTATATACATCACTAATGACCTTCGTTTTCTAACTCTGATGTATCATTTCTATCAGCCTGTGTGTGTGTGTGTGCGTGTGCGTGTGTCGCAAGTACTGGTCTGGGGGTCTAGGCACTACCTATGAGCTTTTGTGCTCAAGGCTTTTGTGCTCTACCACTGAAGACACAGCTCCACTTCCAGCTTTTCTTCTTTGGTGAATTGCCATCCTCAGAGCTCAGCTTCCTGAGTAACTAGGATTAGTCAAGAGCTATTGGCATCTGGCAATCATCAGCCTATTTTTATTGCCCTGAGGTACTTCACCTGATGAGGCTGGTCATATAATTATAGCTTCTCATAAATTTGTCATGTTTTACTGGAACTTTAAAAAATTAAACCCTATTAAATGAACCTGACATTTATTAATGTTCTAGCCAAAGGAAAAGGAAGTGGAGGGGTGAAAACAGCCAAGCTGTATGCCTGGGTGGCACTTCAGTCATTGCCAGAAGAGATGGTTATCAGTCCTTGCCTATTAGACTTTCTGGAAAAGGCTCTGGAAACTATCCCAATTACACCAATTGAAAGGAATTACACAGGTAAGAATCTTCCTTATGTACTTCCATGTCATATGAGGGGTGACTATATTACTATACATTAAGTATAACTGGAAAAGAACCTGAGAGATCATCTAATCTCCATTTACAAGAGATTGAGTCCTGGGGAGATTACATGATTTGTCTTTGGGAAAATAACCAAGATGTTTGAAGCAAATACTGCTGGGTTTTCATACCTATGATCTCAATATTGGTAACTCTGGTTAAGGACCTTTTAAGTGTTTGCCATTGACATGTTTAATAAACTTACAACTGCGTATTCTAACAGGTGTCAGCTCCCAGGATGAAGATATGGGGCATTTTGAAATACCAGATCCCATGGAAGAATCAACAACATCATTAGTATCATCTTCTACATCTGCTTACTCTTCTTTCCCTGTAGATGTTGTGGTCTATGTACGAGTTCAGGTAATACACTTGATGTAATCTTAAAGTTTTCTTAGTTTCATGATCCATTAGTCTATTCACAATAGCTGAGAGGTTGCCTGAACTCTGGACAATATAAAACTTTAAATACATATTTACTTCTCTTTGAAGAAGTTGCACAGATTTGGGGTTTTAAATTTTTAGTTTTTACACTTTTATGGTAAAAATTGATATGTTAACAAATTTTTAAAGTATTTTATGAAGCTTTAATTCTTACTATTATACTCCTTTGTGGGCAAGTAGAAAGTGTAGTAAAAATAAAAAGTCACAATAGTACCTTTAATTGATTTTATGCCAACAGTTAAGTAGTTTTTACTTAATATTTTATTCTAAAATGTTTTCCTATTAGTAGGCCTTTTAGCACATGATTGGATTTGTTTATTAAAGACTATTTGAAAAGTTCAGACTTCAAAGTTTAGTTTATACTCAGTTAAGATTTCATTTCTGATCTCAAGAATTTTACAATACTGATGGACATAGTTTTTTCTTTTCATTTATTGTTATTGTAAAGGTGATGTAAAGAGGGATTACAGTGACATAAGTCAGATAAAGAATACATTTCTTTTTGAACAATGTCAGCCATTCCATTGCTCTCTCCCAGTTTTTCCTTCCCTTCCTCACCCACAAGTTGTATAGTTCATTTTCCACATAGTTGGTCAGAGTATCAGACTATAGATCTTTTGGTCAAATTACTAAAGATCTTTTGGTCAAACTATGTCCAACTATGTGGAAAATGAACTATACAACTTGTTTTGAAAGTCTGATGAAAATACATAATATATGACAACTGGGGTCTTTATAAAACTTACTATTAAACCAGTGTTCTAAAATTTTAATATTAGATCACTTCTTAAAAGCTGCCACACTGGGGGGGAGGAGAGGATTGGGTGGTGGGGGTAGGGGGGAGGTAGGGAAGGGATGTGAAGGGTAAACAAAGGAGGAGGCTGCAATGCTTGATAAGAAATGTATGCATTATCCTGCCCATGTAATTGTAACCCCTCTGTACAGTATGTTCACAAAAAAACAAAAAAAAAAAGCTGCCACACTGGCTCATACTTATAATTCCAGCAGCTCAGGAGGCAGAGATTAGAAGACTCACAGTTTGAGGCCAACCTGAGCAAAAAGTTTCTGATACTCCCATCTTAGCCAACAATTAAGGCATGTTGCCTACCTCCAAGTGAAAACTAAAGAAGTTGGGGGCATTGCATAAGTGGTAGAGCACTTGTCTAGTTAGTATGATTTCCTGAGTTCCAACTCCAGTACTTAAAAAACAAAATGATTTGATCTTGAACAAATATAATGTTAGCATAAATACATTTAAGTTTCAGAAATTCCTAAATGTCTATTTAGCTTTTTTAAAAACAGTACCATTTTGTAAATACACTTGGCTCATACACCATATGCCTCTGTTAGCAAAAGCTATGACAATAGAAAGTTCTTCTAAGTCTCTTATGAGTAAACATGATGAATTTGACATATGTGGGCTAAGGAGGAACTTTTGGAATCCAGTATGAAACACAACATGCACCTCCTAGAAACCTTATTGTTTTTATTTCTCTTCTTTTTAGCCATCACAGATCAAATTTAGCTGTTTACCAGTGTCAAGAGTGGAATGCATGCTAAAGCTACCATCCCTGGATTTGGTGTTCTCTTCAAACCGAGGAGAGCTGGAGACTCTAGGGACTACGTGTCCCATGGAGACTCTGTCTCCTGGAGGCAGTGCTACACAGAGTGGAGCAAAGAGCTCAGCAGGCAAAGCTGGAATGCCAGGTAGAGAGACATGGCTTCACAACTCTGGCAGAAAACTAGACAATATTTGAGAACTGGAATATTTATAGAAAAATATCAAGACCAAAGCCTGGAGTATATCCCAGTTCTGGGTTATCAGAACTTGAATTAGTTCAGTTAATCTGTAGTTTGAGCTCAACAAAGGATAACATTTTGATTTGAGTTTGCATGTGTACACTATAAGCAATGTTAACAAAATGGTGCTTAATAATCTGTACACTCAAATAATTTAGAACACTTTGTTATATTTTACATTTAAGAATCATCAATGTTACAAGCAGTGTAAATCTTTGAAAATTTTCATAACAAAAATAGGAAAAAAGGTTAATTTCTTAGAAATAAACTTTTGCTAATGTGGCCAACTGTTATCTTGTACTTTGCTCCAAAATATCGCTGTAAGTGTATGATAGTCAACAGATTATTAGAGGTAGAGTGCTGGCTATTGAAACGATCACAGTAATTATCGTTTATTATTTTTTTTTTGGGGGGGGGTCTGGTCATGGGGTCTGAACTCTGGGCCTGGGCGCTGTCCTTCAGCTCTTCAGCTCAAGGCTAGTGCTCTACCACTTGAGCCACAGCGCCACTTCCGGCTTTTTTCTTTTTGCTTATGTGGTGCTGAGGAATCGAACCCAGGGTCTCAGGCTTGTAAGGCAAGCACTCTACCACTGAGTCACCATCCCAGCCCTTGTTCATTATTTTTAAATGGAAAAGTATTACAATGTAATAAAACTAAGAAAGAATATCCATTTATCATAGGTAACAGGTCTTAATCTCCTTTCTGGCATTGTAACTTCAGTCTTTTCCAGTATGTAACTTTGTAAAATTTAAAATGTCATAGGTATTTTCCCAAATTATGAAATAATTTCTCTAAAATAACTTGAATAGCTGTACGTTATCCTATCATTCTGATTATGTATTTGAGATTCCCTAGAATCTCTAAAAAAATCTCTCTTCCTTTAGCAAAGTCATCTCAGACTTTTCTTCCTAGGCTGGGCTGGCATGATGATTCCTTCCAATCTCCACCTCCTGTGTACCTTGGCAGGACAGATGTGCCCAGCTATGGGTTGAGAAGGGTCATGAACTTTTCTGTCTGGGCTGGCCTTAATCTGTAATTTTACTGATCTTATTTCCCCAGTAGCTAGGATTACAGGTATAAGCACAGCACTCAGCTTTTTAAAGAAAAAATTTAAATAATGTTTGTAATTTTTTTTTTTTTTTTTGTCGGTCATGGGGTTTGAACTCTGTGTTTGGGCACTATCCCTGCACTCTTCAGCTCAAGGCAAGCGCGCTACTGCTTGAGCCACAGCGCCACTTCCAGTGGTTTATTGGAGACATGAACTTTCCTGCCCGGGCTGGCTTTGAACGGTGATCCTCAGATCTCAGCCTCCTCAGTAGCTAGGACTACAGGCGTGAGCCACTGGCTCCCAGCTAATGTTTATAAATTCTTAAAAGTAGAATTTCTGAGACAGTGTGAATAACTTTTTGTGTGCCAGTAATGGGACTTGAACTGAGGGCTTTGTACTCTTGCTTTGGTTTTTTTCAAGCTCAAGTCTGGCACTCTACCCCTTGAGCCTTGTTTCCACTTCCAGCTTTTTGCTGGTTAAGTGGAGGTAAGACTCTAATGGAATTTCCTGCCTGAGCTGGCACTGAACAACAATCTTCAGGTCTCAGCCTCCTAGTGGCTACAATTGCAGGCATGAGCTATCAGCTCCTAACTCCAGCACTTTGAACATAGTTTTAATGGTTGTCAGAGTGTCAGGTCTAGTCTGGTCTGGAGATAAATTTTGTATAACACTCTATTCACAGAGCTCTTTTTATTTTAATCTTTAAAGTATATTTGCAATTAGCTTATCCATCTTGAGTAAATGTTAATAGGAACAACTTACTGTGTAGGAGAAAAACATCTTTTACTTCTATATTTGCATAACTTGTTTTGTGTTCACTATACCTACTGAAATGTGTACTCCAAAAATACAATATGCTTTTTCCAGTTCATTTTCCTAGACTGTGTGCTTAAAACTAATCCCAGTGAGCAAAAGAGAAAATCATGTATTTATTAGGCCAAACGTGTATTAACAGTTGTTTAAAGATGAAGAGAGGATCTCACCTTGGTTTACAGTATAAATTAGATCCTTGTTTTAATATTAAAGTTCTAAATCTCTTAATGTTTAAGTTTCTCCATTGTATTTTGAAAACACATTTGGCTTTTAAGAACCTGTTAGTAACTGTCTTCTTTACATCTTTTTATGGCTTATGAACATTTTGGGTTTCTTATATTCACTATAGGTTCATCAGGACTAGGCAGTCCCTTGGGCAGAAGTCGGCACAGTAGTAGTCAGTCAGATCTAACCAGCTCCAGCAGCAGCTCCTCTGGCCTGAGCTTCACAGCATGCATGTCCGACTTTTCCCTGTATGTATTTCATCCGTATGGGGCAGGGAAACAAAAAACTGCCGTTTCTGGACTCACACCTGGATCCGGAGGACTAGGTATTCTTTATGTTTGTTGTTCTTGGAGCTTTCTTGTCATAATCATTCTGCTTTTAGAAATAGATAAAAACCTAGATCAATTTAAAGGTTTAAATCATTTGCTACTTTTAGATGAGAATTTAGTGAAATTAAATTTCACTGACATTTTGAAGTACAGATGAACCACTAAAAGTGCATAAGATCTTGTTAGTGAATATTTCTTTGCTTTTATTGAGACAAATAATGAAGACACGTGTGTCCATGTGGATTCTACGTTTTGTTATTGGCAAACAGTTGTAAAAAATACCAATTATGTTATTGATTTGAACTTATTAAACAATTGTTAGGAATACTACTGCTCATTAGAGTTTCCTATTTAAATTTTTACCTAAGTTAAATGGTTTTGATTGACAGCACATTACAGTATGTTGGACAGTTTTCATTGAAACCAATAGCTGAGTCTATATTTACAAATACACATGTAGAGATGTCAGGCATTGGATTTTTTGTTTGTTTCCTTTAGGGAATGTGGATGAGGAACCCACTTCAGTCACTGGTCGAAAAGACTCACTCAGTATAAACCTTGAATTTGTAAAAGTGAGTTTGTCTCGAATTAGACGTTCAGGAGGTGCCTCATTTTTTGAAAGTCAGTCTGCAAGCAAGTCTACAAGCAAAATGGATACTACATTAATAAATATATCTGGTATTCAATTTTATAGCTTTTTAAACTAAGATGTTATTTTCCAGAATTAAAGGCCTTTGTTTTAGTAATGTTTAAATATGAAGTATTTAATATTAAGCTTTGATGATTCATTGAATTTAAGGAAAAAAAGGACAATCTAACTTTTTAAAGTTTTTATTTTTTTATTAGAAAATATTAGTTTCTGTAATCAAATCCATGTAGATAAGACCTTATATACTTAATACAGTGCATGTACCCCTGTACAAATGAAAAAAATTTTAATGTTTCTAGACCAATATGGTGATTAATTTCTGTACAATGCAACTCAACACAGGACAGTCCAGCTTATAATACAATCTGAACTTGAGCATCTAATGCTGGAAATAAGATCCAAGGGGCAAACTATTCAATATTCAATAACTAAAATGTTTTTCTTCACTTCTCTATCATGACTTAGTAAAATTTCTAACTTTTTAATGTTTCATTCTTCTAATTGTGAATGCTACAACTCCAAAGAGAGAAAAACATTACATTTTTATTTGACATTGACTCGTACATGGGTAATGCAAGCTTTAGTTAGATAGCTATGGACATGTCTTGTTTACACCATGGCTTAACTATATAAAGTTAAATGCATATGGAATTATTTAAGAATTGAGAGTACCTAGTGAAAACATAATTACTAATCTAATAAAAAATGAAGTGTTTACCTAACCTGGCATTCATTTACCAAACATGTTGAATATGTTTTATACTGAACATTGTAGTGCCCGACCCTCTGCTCTGTTACTTGGGGTAGCAGGCATGGACAAGTTAAAGTCCTCTCTGTAGACAATAACAAGGAAGGAAGATAAAATGCTGTAACTCTGGTGAATATAAAGAGGAAGAAATAATAAATTTTGTCTTTAATGGAAAATCATGGAAGGTTTCACCAAGGAAATTATACTTAGGCCCCAACAGAAACAACAGTAAATATCAAAAGTCTTTTCTTGAGAATTACCTTGAAGATAGCAACTTGCTATTCTGTGTAATCAAAGTATAAAAAAGTGGTTCTTTTAAAGTGTCCTTTAGTTTGTTATGGCTAGTGCATAGGCATAACTAATCGTCTAATCTGTTGTACTAAGTAGGTAAGGTGAGGGGGAGAGAAGACTGGCTAGAAGATGGCAGAATTGATTGGTGCCATATTGTGGAAGGCCTCATACACTAAGCAGGGAATTCAATTCTGATCCTTCAGGCAGTGAGGAGCCATGAGGTTTTTTTTGTTTTGTTTTTAAAGAAGTGGAATGATGCTTCAGATTGGTGTTTTACAAAGAACTGTTGGCAGCATGACCATGAGAATGGAGAGATGCTTGAGGAAATGGTTTAGATAGACCAAGCCACGGTACATGAGACTTGAACTGCGACAATAAGGAGAAAGAGAATGACTTTGAAGGGAAAAATAGGCAACAGTTTGAAGTTGGCTAAGGAGCAGTAGAGGAAGCAAAGTGGCTAAAAAATTAGCTTAGAGCTGTTAACTTAGATAAAAATGAAATAAAGAATTCCTAAGGCCATTTTGGTATAACAGCCTGGGGAGCAATTAACTGATGGGCAGAGTGGTGGGCTCAGGCTGCAACAAGGTCTTTGCTTTGGTTACGGCATCCAAACGTTCTAGAGCTGTGAGGGAAGGACAGAGGAGCACGTACAGCAAGAGCAAAGAAAGCCAAAGGAGGAAGCTGTTGGGTGCTGTCTTTTCTTTGTTGTTGTTGGTTGGTTGTGGGGTTTGAACTTGGGGCCTGAGCTCTTTCACTCAGCACTAGCACTCTACTACTCTGAGCCACAGTGTCTATTCTGGTTTTCTGGTGAGTAATTGGAGATAAGTGTCTCGTGGATTTTCCTGCCAGAAACTGGCTTTGAACTGCAATTCTCTGGTATCAGCCTCCTGAGTTAGCTAGGATTACAGGCATGAGCCACCAACACCCAGTTGTCAGGGTGCTTTCTATTCAAAAGGTTAGTAATTTCCTTGGCGAAAGTTTATATCCCAGTTTATGGTGATGGTTCCTGTTTCTTACTTGAGAGGAACCCTATGCTGAAGTGGAAGGCTACAACAATTATCTTTTGAAGCTCTCTGACAGCTTCATCAAAGATACTAGAATCCCAAGTCCTCACCGCAAAGAATTGAAGCTCATAGTCTTCTTACAGTGCAGATTGTCATTTAAAGAAGGCTGCATAATTAAGCATAAAATGTAGCTTATTTTTATATTTCATGAATTTTAACAGTAATTCAGCTGTATAATTTGTCTTATACCACCACATAAAAATACCTAAGTTTTAAAAATCTGTTCTATGACCCAGCAATCCCACTTTTGGGCATTTACCCAAAGATTTACAAACAAGACCACACTAAAGCTACCAGCACAACTATGTTTATTGCAGCATTATTTACCATAGCTAAGATATTGAACCAACCCAGATGCCCCTCAGTAGATGAATGGATCAAGAAAATGTGGTATATATACACAATGGAATTCTATGCCTCCATCAGAAAGAATGACATTGCCCCATTTGTTAGGAAATGGAAAGACTTGAAAAAATATTAAGTGAAGCCAGGCCCAAAGAAACATAGGTCCCATGGTTTCCCTTATTTGCAATATCTAGTATATGTATGAGTCAAGCAGAAAAGGTCAGATAAGGTAATGTTAGGAAAATGAACCCTAAGATATGTATTTAAATGTTTTTTTTCTTTCATGCATTTGTTTCTAAAGAATTTATAAGATTATTTCTTTGTTGCTTTGTATGTCCCTTCCCCACAGTATAACCCCTTCTTTCACTGTATTTGATGTCGGTATAATTTGTGGAGGGGAAGGGGAAAAACAAGTCGTTTAAATAAGGATACAGGTGGACCCATTGCAACAATGAGAAGTATAAGTTGTCATGTCGAAAACGAACTTTACAACTTTGGTGGGGGGAGGGGGGAGAGGATTGGGTGGAGGGGAGGGGGGAAGCTGGGAAGGGATGGGAAAGGTAAACAGAGGAGGAAGCTACAATCCTTGGTAAGAAATGTACTCACTATCTTGCCCATGTAATTGTAACCCCTCTGTACAGTATTTTCACAATAAAAAAATAAATAAATCTGTTCTAAATTCTAACAAATTTTATTTCTGTATCAGCTGTTTGTGATATAGGGTCTGCCTCCTTTAAGTATGATATGCGCCGACTGAGTGAAATTCTGGCATTTCCAAGAGCTTGGTACAGGAGAAGTATTGCAAGACGTCTGTTTCTTGGAGATCAAACTATAAATTTGCCAAGTAAGCTTGTTACTTAATTATAATTAGGTTGCTTCTAATTTTGATTGTAATAGTTTCTTTTTTTTTTTTTTTTTTTTGTCAGTCATGGGGCTTGAACTCTGGGCCTGGGCACTGTCCCTCAGCTCTTGAGCTCAAGGCAAGCACTCTACCACTTAGCCACAGCGCCACTAATAGTTTCAGATCCATGATTGAGAACACAAACATTGGCTTACAAGTATACTGTGTAATTCATTTACTCATTCCAAAAAATGTCTAGAATTTCTCTAGTATGCCAACCACTGGGCATCTATCACAGAAACACGTAGACAAACATCCTCTTGGAGATTAAATTCTAGCTGATATCTTATTCCATAATGATTACTCCATAATCATTGTAAAAACTGTAAGTGCAAATATATAATTTAACCATCCAACTTAACCATGATTTAAACACAGAAAAAAAATGTTGACATGATACTATTGTTGCCTTCACTTGATAAAAGTATCTTGTTTTTATATATTGTTGTGCTCACGGGAGAGTTGTGGAAGGAAGACTACAGTCATCCTGATAACAGCAAAAAATTAGAGATCCTAGCTGGGTGCCAGTGGCTCACACCTATAATTTTAGTTACCCAGGAGACTAAGACCTAGAATTATAGTTGAAAGCCAGCCTAGGCAGAAAAGTCTTTGACACTCCTATCTCTAATGAACCATCAGAAGGATGAGCTGAAGGCCTGGCTCAAGTGGTAGAGCACCAATAATGGTTGAACAAGTCAGCCAAGCATGAACAAGAGCACAAGGCCCTGAGGTCACACCTTTGGACTGGGTCTAGGATTTGCCTTCTCATGGAGTGTTTGTGAAAATTAAATACTGGAATGTTTGCAAACTGTAAACTACCATACAGTTGCCAGGTAGATAACTAGAGGGACTATGCAGTATGATTAGAAATGTTGTCTACATGAACTGTCTAATCATACAATGATTTTACCTTGTTAATTCTTTTTTTTTCTTTTTACTCTGGTACTAGCATCTGGTCCAGGGACACCTGATTCCATTGAAGGGGTTAGCCAGCACCTTTCCCCTGAGTCATCAAGGAAAGCTTACTGCAGGACCTGGGAGCAGCCAAGTCAGTCAGCCTCCTTCACTCACATGCCTCAATCACCTAATGTATTCAATGAGCATGGGACAAACAGCACCATGTCCCCAGGGACAGCAGCCCAGAGCCTAAAGTCCCCAGCCTCTGTAAGATCAAGGAGTGTGTCTGATTCTTCAGTTCCTCGAAGAGGTAACAAGCACTCTTGGTTACTAGTAACCCTCCAGTGTCCCCAAGATAATAAACCTTAGTTGCTCCAAGAGTTCTATACCTCAGTTGTAGGGAGATGCACAGGCAAAGTTTTCTCTATGATAAATTAAGGGGCAAAACAGAAACAATAACCAATAAATACTTCAAAGTACTGCCAGCAGAAGAAATTAAAAGATGGCTAGTAGCTTTGCAAAGGGATGGAAAGAAGAATTATAATTTGTCTGTATGACTATGAATCACAGTTACTTTCAGAAATAAACCTACAGTGTTATGAACTTGGTATCTTGATAGTGAAAAAGTTTAACTTTTATTCATTCATTTTAATTTCTTCATCTAATCAGTATACTTTTTGAACACTTAGGTGAAAGGTTTCACCTTGTGTCTGAAATGTATTAGAATGAATCCTATGGTTTTTGTCAGGAGACAGAGTTCTAAGTATGATGTGTAAATATAGAGTTCATTTGCATACTGAGTACCCTGGAGTACAGACACCCTAGTAACATTGCATTGCAAAATTGGGCCTTGCCTTGTTCACTTGACACTGTGAATAAAGAAGACCTAAGGTGAAGAATTACTTGTGTTACTGTTATCCCACCCATGCACAACAAAATTTCCTCACAGAAAATGAGGCCACACAGAATTTTCCAAGTGTCTCAAGAAGTAAGGCTTCTTACTAGGCCTTTTATTCAATAGTTATTATTTTAGAGGCTGTATGACAATTATATTAAACATTGGGTTCTTACACAACATTAGGTTCTTCTTTATTTTTACCTTTCAGATTAGAGAAAGAGGGTTGTTTTTGCTTTGTAGTAAGCTTGGCATCTATGTGAATAAATGTTTATTTGATTTTCCTGTTTTTAGATTCAATTTCAAAAACATCAACTCCTGTCAACAAGTCAAACAAAGCAGCAAGCCAACAAGGAACTCCCTGGGAAACACTTGTAGTGTTTGCTATCAACTTGAAGCAACTAAATGTTCAAATGAATATGAGTAATGTAATGGGAAATACAACGTAAGCTATTCCAACAAAATGAAACTATGCTTTTAATATTTGTAATTTTTCTTACATTATAGCAGAGCAGCTCAAAATACTTTCTAAGGATAAAAATATTTGAGACAGTCAAAAATATTGGTAAAAGATAATAGATTGTTTTTAATTCTGAAAAGGGCTTAATTGTAAGGACAATACTCTAATACAAAGAGCATAAAATGTGTTCTAAAAAGAGAAAAATCATAAATAAGAGAGATAATTTTCTACCTCAGAAGAAAGCTCCATTCATATTAATATAAGAGCTGGGAAGGTGACTCAGTGGTAGAGCGCTTGCCTTGCATGCCTGAGGCCCTGGGTTCGATTCCTCAGCACCACATAAGCAAAAAGAAAAAACCGGAAGTGGCACTGTGGCTCAAGTGGTAGAGCGCTAGCCTTGAGCTGAAGAGCTGAGGGACAGCGCCCAGGCCTAGAGTTCAGGCCCCATGACCGGACCCCCCCTAAAAAATTATATAAGAAATGTTGAGCTGGGCACATGCATGTGTACAGTCCCAGCACTTGCGATACTGAAGAGGGCCACTTGAGCTCAAGAGCTTAAGTGACAGAATATCAGATGTGACCTTTTATTGAAAGAATGTATTCACAACATGGGAAACAATATATCTGATAATTCCTTTTCCTTTTTTATTAGTTGGACAACTAGTGGATTGAAGAGTCAAGGCCGTCTGTCAGTAGGAAGTAATCGCGATCGAGAGATCAGCATGTCTGTTGGTTTGGGAAGATCACAGTTAGATTCCAAAGGAGGAGTAGTTGGAGGGACCATAGATGTCAATGCGTTGGAGATGGTCGGTATGTAGAACTTTTGTTTACAACTCATGTAGCAGATCCTCAAATATTACATTAAAATGTTTTTGAAAACTGATTTTGATGAGTCCTTCCTATAGGCATTTCTATGGAAAGTAATTATTGTTTCTACTTTAGCTCATATTTCTGAACATCCAAATCAGCAACCCAGCCACAAAATTCAGATAACCATGGGTTCTACTGAAGCACGTGTTGATTACATGGGCTCAAGTATCCTCATGGGCATCTTTAGTAATGCTGATCTGAAGCTTCAGGATGAGTGGAAAGTAAACCTGTATAATGCACTGGATTCAAGTATGACTGACAAAAGGTATTTTAAAGCTACAACCTTCTGAACATTCTTCATGACTGCTATTCACACATCATTTAACATTCAGTGGGAGAAAAAAAGAAGAGTTTATATTATATAGCAAATACAAATGAAAAAGCTGGGTGGGGAAGAAAGTTTTCTTTTTCTTCAATATAATAAAAGCTTCTGTTCTATGTTTTAGTGAGATTTTTGTCCATGGAGATCTAAAGTGGGATATTTTCCAAGTAATGATATCAAGATCAACTACACCTGACCTAATAAAAATAGGAATGAAGCTCCAGGAATTCTTCACCCAACAGTTTGACACAAGCAAACGAGCTCTGTCTACCTGGGGACCAGTTCCTTATCTTCCACCAAAGACAATGACTAACAACCTAGAGAAAAGTTCACAAGAGCAATGTAAGAATAGAATGAAGTTTTTACTGTATGTGTTATATTCTTATAAGATATCAGCTCTTTCCATTATTCAGTGGAGGATGATTTCCCCCCTGCGGTTAGAGGCCATCTGGAGCGTGATCATTTATGTTTCCTCCTCTTGCAACAATCCATCTGCAGCCATATCTGTTCCATGCTCTTCAGTACAGATTATTATGGCACGCCATGACTGCTTTGAGCATGGACTACAGAGCCAGAACAATTGAGCATGGTTTGTTAGCAATATGACACTAGACAGATTTCATTTTCATTCAGTATTGGTAATAACAATATGTTTAGATACAGTTGTAGGTATAAGAGGTCTAGTGGTAAACAGTCCCTACCCTCAGGAAGTATACATTCTAATGGAAAAGTAACAGTCCATAATTTTGTAATTCAATATATAAGATAATTCAGGGTAGAATGAAGTTCTAATTAAAGAAGAAAGCAAAGGAGGGGCATAGTGACAATGGGGAAGGACAGCTATATTAGAAAGAGTGATCAGGGAAACCATGTATGAAGTGACATAGAAATGTGAATGAGTGAAAGAACCAAGATAAAATGTAGGGAAAGAAGATACTGGGAATAGGGAACCATAGAGGGTCTAGAGCTTCTATGTAGGAACCAATTTAGCTTAATTAAGACCCATTAAAGTAGCCACTGTGGCAACAGCAAAATAAGTGATGAGGAAAATAAAGGCTATGAATTCAAAGACCAGATTGCTAATATCACAAGAAACTGTTGGAGTATTCAACAGATTTGATATCATTTTTATTTACCTGTCTTTAAAGCACCCCTCTAGCTACTATATGGAGAGGCAGACTCTAGGCTCTTGAGAAGGAAACTACTGCAGTACTTTTCCATTGCAACATTTTCAGTTGCCACTGTGAGGAGTCCATTGCATGAGTGTAGGCAAAACATAATACTTTTCACTAGATGACCGTAGTAAAAGTAGCGAGGAATAGTCAGAATAAAGGTATCTTTTTCATTTTTTTTTATCAGAAATCATTGAAAACTAGAAAAGACAAACTAGAAATAAAAACACCACATTCCAGTTGAGTGTGGTGGACATGCCTCTAAATTTTAGCACTCAGGAAGCTGAGGCAGCCTGGGCTATATGCTGTATAGCAAAAGCCACCTTAATTTAAAATAAATGAATAAATAGGCTGCTGGGGAGGGGAGAAGAGAAGAGGAGACAAGGAAGGGAAGGGAAAAGAAAGGAAAGAGAAAAAGTGCCATCCTACTAAAAAATCACTATAATCACCTTAGAGCATTTAATTCCAGATAGTTTTCCAAGTATCTGTCTGTATCTTGATCTACTTTTAAAATCAGAATATCCTTTTAACTCCTCCGTAACATTCTAGTCAATAATCTTTTTTTTTTTCTTTTTGTCGGCCGTGGGGCTTGAACTCTGGGCCTGAGCGCTGTCCCTCAGCTCTTCAGCTCAAGACTAGCACTCTACCACTTGAGCTACAGCACCACTTCCGGTTTTCTGGTGGTTTATTGGAGATAAGAGTTTCATGGCCTTTCTTGCCGGGGCTGGCTTTGAACCGCAATCCTCAGATCTCAGCCTCCTGAGTAGCTAGGATTACAGACGTGAGCCACCGGCGACTGACAATAATCTCTTAACTTCCCATTTTATCAATTACCTTCTCTGGCTCTCCATGTACAAATTTTCCTAACTATCCTAAAAAATACCCTTTACATCTGGCTTATTCAACCCAGTATATCAAATTCAAGATCAGTTTAAATCTTAGTTTCCTTTCCTTTCTCTTAATTTGCATAGAATTTTTTGGGTGAAGCTTGCCATAGATTCCTTATGGTATTAATTTTGTTGTTTTAGTTCCTGTATTTCCTATCAACAGTGTTGATATCAGGCCTATACAAATTGAAGGGTATTTTGTAAAATGCTTGGCTTAGTTTCTTAAAAAATGTTTTTGTCTTATGAATAATTAAAGTATTAGGAAAATGGAAGTGGTTTTATATTAAACATGCCAGATTAGTTGGATATCTGATGAGAAGTGTGGGAAACATGCAAAAGAGATGTTCTAGAATAAATAGAAAATGTGTCAATTTTTTTTCTTTTGTAGTATTAGCTCATTGGACTTGCTTGCTTAGTTGACACGCTTCCATTTAAGCCTCACTACCAGCCCCCTTTTTACTGGTTATTTTGGAGATGGAATCTCAGAGACTATTTCTGCTTAGGATGTCCTCAAACAACAATCCTCCAGTTCTCATCCTCCTCCATAGCCAAGATAATGGGTGTGAGCCTTCTGCACCCAGCTAAGTTGTTTAATTAGTGTATCTCAAACATGAATGTGCATTTGACACAACTAGAAAATCTTTTTAAAATACAGATCTGATACAGTAGGTATGGGATACACTTTAAAAAGGGCATTTCTACCAAGATTGCAGGTTGCTAATGTTGCTGGTCCTCTCCCTTCAGTTTGAGCATCAAGGGTATAGAAAAGTAAAAAGTGTATGAAAAAAAAAAATCACTTCTGGTTATTTTTGCAAAGAATCAAGATGAAATGCCTAGCTTATAGTTATTGCTATATGGGAATATAAAATTTCATGCAAGTACTTTGTAAATCAGAATAGAAATTGATAGTTGTAAATATTAGAAAGTTATGAGGATTCTTAACTCCACCTTGTCTCTGTTGTTTAATGTTAGCATGCACTACATATTATTTTCATCCATTACCTGAGTCACTTTCAAGTGTAGAAAGCATCCACTTGCTGCCATCCCCCATGATGTTCTGGGGCAATTGAGGACACGTTTTCTGGTTTTCTTGCAGTGCTCGATGCAGCTCATCACCGACACTGGCCTGGAGTGTTGAAAGTGGTGTCAGGATGCCACATATCCTTATTTCAGATTCCACTACCAGAGGATGGAATGCAGTTTGGAGGATCAATGAGCTTACATGGAAATCATATGACACTAGCTTGTTTTCATGGTCCAAATTTCCGTTCAAAATCCTGGGCCCTTTTTCATTTAGAAGAACCAAATATTGCCTTTTGGACTGAAGCTCAGAAAATCTGGGAAGATGGTAAATTGATACATTTTCAGCTTTAATTTTCCTATCTTCTGATATGGTTATAAATGATAATTTTCTTTTCCCAAATCTTTTTCATGTTTTACTAGAGAATTTTGGACATAGGTCCCTTGATAGCAAGGAATTCACATTCAGTGAGGCAGTATCTATTAAGTCTGGAACATGACACAAAAAAAGTGTCAAATATATTTCTAAACTTGACATTTTATGGACTATTTCTTAATTAAATCTTGTGCTGCTATAGCTGATGCCATCATGGTAATAGGTGTTTAATAAGCACTTCTTATAAAAGCATGAAGGAAATGGTATTGTTAGGAAATTCTTTGCCAGTAAAACATGTTGATAAGGCTGTATTTTTTTTCCTTTATGGGCAACAGTAAAAACTTTATACTTTATTTTTCCACTTAGTGGTTCCTTTCATTGTTTTGTTTTTTGTGACCCTGGGCTAGATCATCCTGGCCTGGAACTCTATGTAGTCTATCTATCCTGGTCTTAAATTTATAATTCCTCTGCCTTGAGCCTCCTGTGTTAGGATTAGAGGCATGAACCACTGTGCTTGGCAGGCTCAGTGGTTTCTTAATAAAGGTAGAAGAAAAAAATGGTTGACACATTTCATCCTACTGGTGATAAAAGCCAAACAACTAAAAAAATTCTTTGTGTTTTTCCTTTTTCACTTGAATAGTCTTCTTTATCTTGTGTGTAACTTAGCTAAAGGTGTTTCTGTGGGGCAACAACTATGTAAACATAGTTTTCCACTTTAAAAACCATGTTTCTTTTGTTCTAGGTTCCAGTGATCATTCTACGTATATTGTACAAACCCTGGATTTTCATCTGGGTCATAATACCATGGTTACCAAACCATGCGGTGCTCTGGAAAGTCCTATGGCAACGATAACCAAGATAACACGGCGTCGCCATGAAAACCCACCCCATGGAGTAGCAAGCGTGAAAGAATGGTTCAATTACGTTACTGCCACCAGGAATGAAGGTTAAAATTTGATCTCTGTTGAATTTTTCCGTTTTGAATTATTTGATGTGTTTATAATTTAAGTGGAGATAGTTTTCCTGGGTCTTTACATAGCTTTCCTTTTATTTCTCATTCTTTTTAGTTTATTAATCCCATATTGACACAGTAGTGATTACTGACTACATGATTTCATCATCCTGGTAGTATATCATTTCATAAACTCAAATGATTTTAAATATAATTGAACATACAATTGTTTTAAAATAATTATGAGTTTGTTAGAAAATATTTTTAGAAATATTTTGGAAGCTTTTACTAGAAAGATTTTTTTACTTAAATAATTGGAGGTTTGGGAAATTATATACTAAATAACATTACCACAGACTTTTAAGTTCTGTACATCCATAAAAAACTAATTTATCAAGTCATAAACTAAGTAATCTATCAGGTTATAAGATCAAAGATTGCTGATGAGTTTTTTACTTCTTTTCAAAATGAAAAATGTAGATGATTTGAACCCATGGAGAATAGCTACCATGGAGTCCTGTATCCTAAGGGATCAGAGACTTAGGAAAATACTTAAGGAAAAAAAGGATAAATTGGAAGGTTTCATTCATTTTCCAGAGTCTACTAAGATAGGGATTTTAGAGATAGGCATTCTTTTTAACTGGGGTATTCTAGAATTATTACATAATCTATTGCTATTTGTGTATCTAGAAAACCATCCATCTTTAGAAGACAGCTAAAATGTTATAGCACAAATGCTGGAAAAATTAGGACTTATATCTAGTTTCAGGAGCCATTATCATATTTAACCCCAAGTTCTACAAGAGGAAAGTGTTAGGCTATGGAGACCTTCAGGTTTAATGAAACTCAAGTTCAGACATGCTTTTAGTTGAGAATAGTGTCAACTCTAAAATTGGAGGAAAAAAACAGTACTTTTGGGGTTTATCCAAAATCACATTATAAAGTTATAGTCTTGATAACAGCAATACACACTTGTGTATGTATAGCTTTATTTTTAAAAGTGTGATTCTAGCTGGGCACTGGCTCATGCCTATAATCCTAGCTACTTCTTAGTACATTGAGATCTGAGGATCACAGTTCAAAGCCAGCCTGGGAAGGAAAAGTACATGACAATCTTATCACCAGTTAACCACAAAAAAAGCAAGAAGTAGAACTAGGCTTAAGTAGGAGAACCTCAGGCCTTGAGGTTAAAGTTTTGGGACTGGCACTTGGGGTCATGTGCACATGCGTGTGCGCACGCACACACACACACACACACACACACACACACACACACACACACACACACACACACACACACACACACACACACACACACAGATTCTCCACCTTTGGAAATGATGAAAGCTCAGTTTACAATACTGCTCTGAAAGCCAACAGTGTATCCATGACTACTGGGTTGATTCTGTCTTTGTTTGTGTAGAGCTCAATTTACTTCGTAATGTTGATGCCAACAACACTGAGAACAGTACAACTGTGAAGAATTCTAGTTTATTGAGTGGATTCCGAGGAGGCTCTAGCTATAACCATGAAACAGAGACTATCTTTGCTTTACCAAGGATGCAGCTGGATTTTAAGTCCATTCATGTTCAAGAACCACAAGAACCTTCATTACAAGGTATGTGGAAAAACAAATCTTTAGTTTCTTAAAGTTACGTAGATAATTCTACAGAAATTTTAGACTACTTCTGTTTTTCCCCCACAGGTTATTTTGGCATAGTTAATCAAGTTAACTTTGAAAGTCATATTGGCAGATTTTCTTACAAGGTGTATGTCCTCTGGTGCATTTTCCTCTCAAATAAAAGAAGAATTAGAATTAGAATTCATTTACTGGGCAAAGGAGGAACAAATGGCATCCAGTGATTAATGGCTTAATCATTCTATAAATAGCACATGGGAAGTATTTCCTAGTCTTTGTAAGTAAAAGCATTTATGTGGAATTATGTCTTTTATTAATTGTTTCAGATGCCAACTTGAAGCCAAAGGTAGAATGTAGTGTGGTAACAGAGTTCACTGACCACATCTGTGTGACCATGGATGCTGAACTCATTATGTTCCTCCATGATTTAGTGTCGGCTTATCTTAAAGAAAAAGAAAAAGGTGGGTTGCATTTTAGTAATGTTTCAAGCTGCAAAAAAAGGCAGTTGTTAGTGCTGTTTCCATGAATCTTAAGCTGTAGTGGCAAACACCAGCCAGTAAATAGTGTTACTAGACTTCTGAGTATCCACTAGATACACGGCACTCTTTTTCTAACCATATGTGCTGCTGAATAATGACATGCATTATTGTACAGCTTCAGTTAGAACATGTCTTTTTGTCAAGTTCCAGGAAATTGTTAGAAAATACCGCAAACTTCAGTAAAATGACAATAGAAGCAACTATGTAATAGTTGCATAAGTTACATAATTGGAAAAACTGAAATGAATGAGATAAATCTGTTTGGAATGAAGATAGAGAACATTCTGTTTTTATAAAAAAAATTATTTAGACCACAGTAGTATTTTGATGAGCTAGCTAAGAAACATACAGTAACCCTAATATCTATTTGAAACTGGTCATATATAATATGCTGTAGCTGTTTAAAAGAATGAAGCAGTATGGAATGTAATTATATAGGCTGCTTTCCAAAATATATAGTCATTTATTCAACGCTTATTGTATAATTGTTACTTATATATTTAGTTACATGTATATGAAGATAAATAATAAAACAACAGCTGGGATTCCTTCTCCCTCATCTCCCACCCCCAGTCATGGGGCTTGAACTCAAGGGCCTGGGCGCTGTCCTTGAGATCTTTTGCTCAAGGGTAGTAGTGCTCTACCACTTTGAGCCACAATACCACTTCCAGTTTTCTGGTGGTTATTTAGAAATAAGATCTCATGGATTTTCCTGTCCCTGCTGATTTGAATGGCCATTCTCCGAGCTCAGCCTCCTGAATGGCTTGGATGACAGGTGAGAGCCACTGGGTGGGATGCTGGGCACTGGTGGCTCACACCTGCAATCCTAACTACTCAGGAGGCTGAGATCTGAAGATTGCGGTTCAAAGCAAGCCTAGGCAAGGAAGTGAGACTTTATTAGTTTCCAGTTAAGTACTAAAACAAGCCAGAAGTGGAGTTGTGGCTCAAGTGGTAGAGCACTAGCCTTAAGCACAAAAGCTCAAGGACAGCACCCAGGCCCTGAGTTCAAGCCTCAGAACTAGTACACGTGTATGCACACATGAACATGTGCACACACATAACATACACAAAGTAGTTTGGAAAAATGTAATTTGTTCAGCAATGCTGTAATACTATATCATTTTCTGTGATGAAAAACATAATATTTGTCTTGCAAATACTTAAAGAATAAAGACTAACCAAAAACCTTGAAAGAATTAAGAGGTGGTATATAATATAGACTGAATTGCTTTTTTGTTAAGATTCAGGAGAGCAGTGCCAAAACTTTACACTTTCTAAAGAGTAAAATGATGATGCTGAAAAGATATATCAGACTGTAGTTGAGGCTTCCGGTAAAAAAACTGAAATCATGTCATAGGTAGTCCCACGTATTATGGATCGATCCCTAAGCATCAACCTATACCAATCACCTGTAATCCTTTGTTTTCCCACTGCCATAACAGTACAGAAAAACAATTACTGTATAAACGGGAAGATTCTAGTTTCCTTTCTATTCTATCTATATTTGAAACTCTGTCTCTCAGATTATATGTAAAACTTTTTTTTTTACTGTGGTAATGAGGAATTGAACCCAGGGACCTCATGGATACTAAGCAAGCACTACTAACGACTCTGTGTACTTCTAAAACATAAATCTCTTAAACTGTCATAAAATGGTTTTGAGAGTTTTTTTGGCTTTAGTGAAGTAACAGAATCAGAGAGATAGCCAATCATTCTGTTCCTATAGTGGTTTAAAACAGACTTATGGTATGGATTTCTAATATATCTTTTTTATTATAGCCATTTTTCCACCTCGGATTCTATCTACTCGACCAGGACAGAAAAGTCCAATTATTCTACATGATGATAACTCCTCTGACAGAGACAGAGAAGATAGCATCACCTATACCACTGTGGATTGGAGAGATTTTATGTGCAACACATGGCATCTAGAACCTACTCTTCGGTAAGTGACAGGTAGACATATTGTACCCATATCCAAAAGGAATACTCAGAAAAAAACAAATAATGCAGGTTAAATTTGGCTATATTTGGCTATATTTAGAATGTAGTCACTTGTAACCTCTTTAGCCCGAATGCTATTTCTACATCTGTTTTGATAAATTCGGTGGAAAAAAAAGTACAAATAACAGAATACCTCATCACTGATTACCTTTCTACTACATGACATTCTGTCCCTTAGTCACCAAAATGTAATTCTCCTTCCACTATTGCTATTGTTTTTTATTTTAGCAGGTTATTAATTTAGATGTTACTGGTAACTATAGTAAAGAAAAATGAAGTGAAAGTCATACATCATCCTTAAGAAACCATTAACATTTGACAATGTGACAGAATCCACAACATCACTGTGTCCTTCTTGTGTGCATACTACACAATATTAAACCATACTAAAATATTGTATTTAATGCTTTTGGGTACAGGTTCCTTTACTGAGGCATGTTTTTCTATAGTCACAATCCCAATTACATTTTTCTTATCAAAATTTCAAAAGTATTTTGTAACTTTAATTAGAATGGGTGCCACGCTTAGTGGTACTTGCTTTGTGTGTTCACACTTGTGATTAGTACTCTTGGCCTTCCTCTCTTTTTCCCTTTTCTCTCCCTCATTTGCTTTGTTAATCAAATTATGACTGTATGGATCCTAGACTATTATCCAGAAAAATCCATGATACCTAAACATAAAATTGTACAAAATGTTACAGATTTTATTATTATTCAGATATTTGTACTACAAAATGTAAAAATAAAAATCCCTTATACAAAGGACTACTATAAAGCAGAGAGGACTTTCTGTGTTAGTAATTTTTAAAAATTTATGTTAACTAAATCAACAATTAAGTAGAGTCTACAATATGACATTCTGTCACTTACCAAAGAGTTTATTAAGAGTTATTACTTCAGCACTGAAGTTTGGAACAAAGTCCTAACACAGAAAACTATTTGGGAAGTACATTTGTTTTTTTTGTTTTTTTTGTTGTTGTTGTTGTTGTTGGTTATGGGGCTTGAACTCTGGGTCTCTGCGCTCTTCAGCTCTAGGTGAGTGCTCTTCCACTTAATCCACAGCACCACTTCCAGTTTTCTAATGGTTTATTGGAGATAAGAGTCTCACAGATGGGCTGGGAAGGTGGCTCAGTGGTAGAATGCTTGCCTTGCATGCATCAGGCCCTGGGTTCGATTCCTCAGCACCACATAAGCAGAAAAGGCTGGAAGTGGTGCTGTGGCTCAGGTGGTAGTGCCCTAGCCATGAGCTGAAGAACTGAGGGACAGCGCCCAGGCCCAGAGTTCAAGCCCCATGACCCCGGGGGGGGGGGGGGCACTCTCACAGACTTTCCTGCCTTGGCTGGCTTTGAACCATGATCCTCAGATCTCAGCCACCTGAGTTGCTAGGATTACAGGTGTGAGCCACCAGCACCCGGCTTGGGAAGTACATTTTTATGTTTGGAAATAAATAAAATAATTATGAAATTAACTATCTTTGAATGCATGTTTAACTTGGCTACAAGTTACCTTTGTTAGCATATTATTTTTTTAGCAAACATGAACAGGTAAGGAATATTGTATAATGGTAGTGATTCATAGCTCTGGTGCTAACCTCAGCTTTATTGTATAATAGGTTAAAAGATCTAGGCCAAGAGACTCCCTATCCCCTCTGCCTCACATGCCTCATGAAAAACTTTGAAAATTCAATTTAACTTTCCTTAAGAGGTTAAACTGGTTAAATGAATTAATTGAATTATAATCCTTATATATAATCTGTGCTTAAAACCTCCTCCTTGAATTCAGTACCAACTTAGTGTGAAAGCAGCAGTGGGCAATGAAAAAGGGCCATTATTTAGTACTGCTGTCACTTGGATGTGTGGCAGTGGTAGCTTGCTACTACAAAGTCTGGATTTGGACTCAGCTATAGGGCCATAGCAATACAGAACTCAAGGGGCAGGGTTCACTAGAGTGTACAATCAATATCTTTGGGTACTCAACTACCCAAAAATAGCACTCAATGCCTCTAGATAACTTGTTTAGGGGAGGAATAGACACAAATGAGAGACTCCTAAGAGAAATCCCTAATACAGGAACAGAGAGAGACCAGGGGTTGTTTTACTAACATACCTCCATGTGGAAGGAAATATAAGCAAAAGGGAGAAAATGAATGGTCCTGCCTTCAAATAGTATATAACACTGAGTTTTAGTCCTTTAACCCCCCTATTATGCTGCATGCTTGTAAAATCTTTTAACAAGACATAGTTGTAAATGTTTAGCTGTCCATGTAACATGCCTAAAATAAATGGATCAAACTGAAAGTTCATCCATACTTCTGCTACGTGAAGGACCTCATGGATACTTACTGTCACACATACATTATTGTTGCTACTTAATAAACACAGGAACTATAGGCCCAATTGTTCAAATGCACTGAAATATTATTACCAAATGCCTTGAGGAGCTCAAGGATGTTCTTAACTCACCCTCAAGAGCATGCTAGAACCTTATAATCCTTAGTAACTATCTATATAATTATTTTTTAGATTGATTTCTTGGACTGGAAGAAAGATTGATCCAGTAGGTGTTGATTATATTCTTCAAAAGTTGGGCTTTCATCATGCTAGGACTACTATTCCTAAATGGCTTCAGAGAGGTGTCATGGACCCACTGGACAAGGTTTTGTCCGTCCTAATCAAAAAGCTTGGTACTGCACTACAGGATGAAAAAGAAAAGAAAGGAAAGGACAAAGAAGAACATTAGAAAGTAACTTGATCTGTGAGCAAACTGTATCAGTTAACTCTTATTACATGGGAGTGCTATTTTTAAGTAAAATTTTAAATACGACTTTAAAATAATTCTAATATTGTGGCCATTACATTAAAAGTTAGCCTGTTTATTTTATTTCTACCAACCTGTGTACAAGTGAAGTATTGCATGATAATGTAAATTTTGTGTAAACTAGATTAAAATATGTAAATCTGCTTGTGAAGGTTTATATTATGTGCAATATGAATCCTGCATCTTTAAAATATTTGCAGAGTAACTGTGAATTTTTTTGTTATTGGCCATGACTTTTAGGAAAGAAACTGTTAATAATGTGATTTGGAGGGGTCATTAGTTGCTTTTTGTTAATGTAGACTTGTATAAATACTTATTTGTATATAGTTGAGCAATTGTGATATGATTGTATACACTAAGATATTGTTTGTACTATTGTAATAAAGTCACAGTAATGGTTTCAGTTAAAGCTGTTTTGGGGTTTTCTTTCCCTTTGGTAGTCTTCATCCTGTTTCACAATTGTCGATTATCATTGATAATTAATACTTACTAAAATTTCAATATATAAAAACATTTATAGTACTCATAATAGCTTGAAGACTAGTTGAGACTATAGGAGAGAAGCAGCAGGAAGAGGAAAGATGAAAACATGAGGCTTCACAAACATTAAGCATTGTTTGTTCTATGCTAGTGGTATCCTCATTATCAAAAATCTTCTCCAAATCAGGAACAAAAGAGAACTTCCTTAGCTTAGTGAGGGGTATATATAAGAAACCTACTATTTTCTTACATCTTAATAAATAGTAGGGATATAATGAATGCTTTATGAATTTTGGAATAAGGATGTTCTGTCTTATCACTTCTTTATGACATCATATTGTAAGCTTTCACTATTGTACCAAGGCAAAATATACTGCACATAAAAACTGCCCATTGATTTTTCACAAAGGTACAAAGGAAATTCAATGAGATCTTCAATGAGATCTTCATAAGGGGAAAAAACAAAAAAATATAAATGCACTTTGATACATCTCTCACATCTCATTCAAAAATGATTATAAATATTTGAATGTGAAAAACATAATTATAAAATTTATAAAATCATATAATTTATAAAATTTGACCCCGTGTTTAGTGATGATTTTTAGGTACAAAAGCAAATATTTGATTCATAAAGGCAAATAATAAATTGGACTTTACCAAAATATAAAAGTTCTACAAAGGTATTTTAAATAAATACAGGCTGAGCAACATAGACTGTCTAGTTGGATTAAAAAGAAAGATCCTTCTATCTGCTGCCTTCAAGAGCCACACCTTGCCCATAAAACCAAACATTCTGAAAGTGAAAGGCTGGAAAAAAATCTACCAAGCAAACGGCCCCCATAAACAGGCGGGAGTTGCAAACCTAATATCAGATAAAATAGACTTCAAATTAAAATTAGTGAGGAGATAAAGAAAGGTCGCTACATACTAATTAAAGGATCTCTCCTTCAGGAGGATAGTACAATTCTAACTTTCTATTTACCAAACAACGGAGCACCCAAGTTTATCTAAGAAACACTACTTTCCCTCAAATCTCACATATATCCAAAGACATTAATAGTTGGGAACTTTAACACACCACTATCCCCACTAGATAGATCAACTTGGCAAAAACTCAACAGAGAAACCGCAGATCTAAACAACTGCATAGATCAACTGGATTTAACAGACATCTACCGAATATTTCACCCAGCAGCATCAGAATACTCGTTATTCTCAGCAGCACACAGAACATTTTCCAAAAGAGAGCACATTTTAGGTCACAAAGCAAATTGTCCAGATTCAGAAGTTATTGAAGTTATGTCCTGCATTCTCGCACACCACAAGGGAATAAAATTAGAACTCAACACCAAAAGCCACCAAAGAAAGTTCTGGATCACATGAAGGCTGAACAACACACTTTGAGCCACCAGTGGGTCATGGAAGAGATAGAAAGGAAATTCAAATATTCATGATATTCAACAAAAATGAACACACAAATTACCAGCTCCTCTGGGACACAGCCAAGGCAGTACTCAAAGGCAAGTTTATAGATCTGAGTTCCTACATCAACAAAGTGGAGAGATCTGAAACTAACAATTTAATGAGACATCTGAACCTTCTTGAAAAAGCTAAACCCCAATCCAGTAGATGCAAAGAAATAATTAGAATTGAAACAATTAAACGAATTAGAATCCAAAATAAACACAGAATCAACAAAACAGAGTTGGTTCTTCGAAAAAATTAACAGACCTTTAGCAAATCTTATCAGAAAAAGAGAACATACCCAAATAAACAAACTCAGAGATGAAAATGGAAACATCACCACAGAAACAACCAAGATTCTGAACATTGTAAGGGAATACTTCTCAAACCTTTACTAATAAGTTTGAGAAAATGAAAGAAATGGGTGATTTCCTAGCAAATATCGACATGCCAAAAATGAATTAAACCAACGTAACAGTCCCATATCAAGCATCGAAATAGAAACAGCAATAAGAGACCTCCCATCTAAGAAAAGCCCAGGACCGGATGGATTTACAGTGGAATTCTACAAGGCTTTCAAAGCAGAACTCACACAAATACTCCTCCAACTCTTCAATGAAATTGAAAGAAAGTTCACTACCAAACTCTTTCTATGAAGCCATCGTAATCCTCATCACAAAACCAGGCAGGGACTCATCAAAGAAAGAGAACTATAGACCCATTTCTTTGATGAACATGGATGCAAAACTTGTCAACAAAATTTTGGCCAGTCAACTTCAACAATTCATCTAAAAAAATCATACACCACGATCAAACAGGATTCATTTCAGGGATGCAAAGCTGGTTCAATATACACAAATCAATTAATATAATTCATCACATCAACAAGAGCAAGCGTAAGAACCACATGGTTATCTCAATAGATGCAGAAAAAGCATTTGACAAGATCCAACACCCCTTTTATGATGATGGCTCTGCAAAAACTAGGAATCCATGGAACATTCCTCAATATAATATACAAAATACAAAAGGCTATGACAAACCTACATCCAGCATTATACTTAATGGTATAAAACTAAAGCCATTTCCTCTAAACTCAGGAATGAGACAAGGATGTCCTCTCTCTCCACTTCTCTTCAATTTAGTATTAGAATTCCTACCTATAGCAGTAAGACAAGATGAAAATATAAAGGGGATCCAAATAGGGAAAGATGAAGTAAAACCCTCCCTCTTTGCAGATGGCATGATCTTGTATTTAAAGAATCCCACGGACTCTACTCCCAAATTACTCAAGCTGATTTGAAACTTTGGCACAGTAGCAGGGTATAAAATGAACCCTCAAAAATCAATGGCTTTTCTGTATGCCAACAATGAGAAGAGTGTGGCTGAAATCAGGTAAGCAACTCCTTTTGTAATAGCCCCACAAAAAATAAAATACCTAGGAACTAAAAAAGTGAAGGACCTATATGATGAAAACTTTAAAAACCTGAAAAAGGAAATCAAAGCAGAACTTAGAAAGTGGAAAAACCTCCCATGCTCCTGGATTGGAAGGATCAACATCGTAAAAATGTCAATACTTCCCAAGGATATACACAAATTCAATGCAATACCTACAATATTCCAACCTCATTCTTCCAAGGAAATAGAAGGGGCAATCCAAAAATTCATATGGAACAATAAAAGACCCCGAATAGCAAAAATGATCCTTAACAGAAAGAACAGCTGGAGGAATATCAATACCAAACTTCAACTCTACTACAAAGCCATAGTAATCAAAACGACTTGGTACTGGCACAAGAAGAGACATTGAGGACCAATGGAATAGAATTGAAAACCCAGAAATGAACCTAAAGACCTATAGCCACCTAATCTTCAATAAGGGAGCTAAAAAAATAGAAGAAAGACAGCCTCTTCAGTAAATGGTGCTGGCAAAATTGGTTAATCACTTGCAGAAAATTAAAGCTAGACCCTTATATATCACCCTGCACCAGAATCAACTCCAAATGGATCAGAGACCTTGGAGTCAAAGCAGACACTCTGAAAACATTACAGGATGGAATAGGAGAAACCCTAGGTCTTGTTGGCACAGGCCGAAATTTTCTTAATAGAGACCCAGAAACACAACAAATCAAAGAAAGATTGGACAAATGGGATTGCATGAAGCTGCAGAGCTTCTACATGGCAAAGGACATAGCTAGCAAGATCAATAGAAAGCCCACGGATTGGGAGAAGATCTTCACTAGCCATACAACAGACAAGGGTCTCATATCTAAAAGATATTGGAACTCAAAAAATTACATTCCCCAACAATAAATCCTTAAATAAACAACTGCGCGATAAATAAGTGAGCTAATTACTTAAGGAGAAACTTCTCTGAAGGGGAAATAAGAATGGCTAATAGACACATGAAGAAATGCTCAACCTCCCTAGCCATAAAAGAAATGCAAATCAAAACAACATTGAGATACCACCTTACCCCAGTTAGAATGGCCATAATCAAGAACTATAATAACAACAGATGCTGGAGGGGATGTGGTAGAAGGGAACCCTACTGCGTTGTTGGTGGGAGTGTAAACTTGTTCAACCACTTTGGAAAGCAGTATGGAGGTTCCTCAAAAGACTTCACATAGAGATCCCCTATGCCCCAACAATCCCACTTTTGGGCATTTACCCAAATGATCACAAACAAGACCATACTAAAGCTACCAGCACAACTATGGTTATTGCAGCATTATTTACCATAGCTAGGATATGGAACCAACCCAGATGCCCCTCAGTAAATGAATGGATCAAGAAAATGTGTGTATATATATATATATGTATATATATACATATATATTGTATATATATATATATATGTATATATATACATATATAAATATATATGTATATATAAATGTTATTCTTTCTGATGGAGACATAGAATTCCATTATACATATTATATATATATTATATAGTATATATAATATATGTATTACATATAATATGCTATATATGTGATATATATAGTGGAATTATATTATTATATATAATGTATTATATATAATGGAATTCTCTCTATATATATAAAATATAATAATATATTTAATAATATATTGTATTATATATTTAATAATAATATATATAATAATTATATAATATATAAAATATATATATTATATATAATGGAATTCTTTGTCTCCATCAGAAAGAATGACATTGCCCCATTTGTTAGAAAATGGAAAGACTTGGAAAAAATATTAAGTGAAGTAAGCCAGGCCCAAAGAAACATAGGTCCCATGGTTTCCCTTATTTGCAATAACTAGTATATGTCTAGGACAAGCAGAAAAGGTCAAAAGCTATGTACATATGACCAGATAAGATGAAGTTAAGTGAAATGAACCCCAAGATAGAGACACAACTTATTTTTTTCTTGCTTGCTATTATTTCTAATGTATTTATAAGGTACCATGTGATTTTTT